TTAGATTCTCGCCATCATTTATAACACGTCTGGTGTTAAAGTGTACTGGTTCAGTTAGTATTACAGTATAAATAAAGGTAAGCTAGTGGTGACTGCCCGTTTTGCAGTCTCTAGAAAGAGTGGTATGAGAACATGAAACGATTAAAATCATGAAAATCAGTGGGTTTCTTACATCAATGGTGTGTGTTCATTAAAATATAAAACATGCAACTTCAGTGCATGCAATTTTCTCCAGTACCAACAATAATACAGAAACTTAAATCCTCCAATTTTAATCAGACACACAATATATTAGTACAGCTGTACTCGCAAAAACCTTTCCTGAGCTTGAGAATTGGCCTGGTTTGAAGACAGTCTTTTTACTAGTCTTTTTACTAAACTGTAACTGCAACTGTGATATTAACTGACAGGGCATGCTTTCAATAGCTGACATCAGAGTTGACAACAAGCAGATTCATGTGTGCTTACTGCTGGCACATCAGAATCGGACTGGCATACAGTTATGCAACAACCAAATAAACAGAGGTGCAAAAATAAACAACCAAGAATAACCCAAATCTAAATATAGTCTCAACCCGAACACAGTACTTCAGTGTGCACAGGCTAATACTAATGAACAGCTCTAAGGCTCTATTCATTACAGTGGGCTTTTAAATTAGCATGACCAGCCTCACACGGCTGCCAGCATCCCATCACTGTCACTGAATGTCACTGTGCGTTGCAGAAAGATTTCCAATCGCAAAGAACTGTGCCTAAGGGCTGTGTTAGGGCAACTCTAGTCTCAGTTTATAGACAACCCATGTCTCCACTGCTTGTGTATAACTACACTTTTTACAGCAAAAACATCCCTGTAACAGCTGCGACCAATCATGACTTGTAGGAGCATCATTTCCGGTGAATACAGCACTGTTGGCATTCCTTGCTTTCCTTCGATTGGCTAGCTGAAACAACGAACACTGTTACTGTGGTTTTGGCAGTGATTGTCGTTAGTTTGGAGAAAGCTTATGGCAGTGGTATAGCCAGAATTCCACTTTAGTGGAGGGGCAGGGGAAGCAGTTTACAGACTGAGACAATCAGGAAGCATTATGTCTTAACTGCTTACTTTGTGTTTAACTGGGTAACATAAGTTACTACAGTGACTGACAGCATACATGGAGTTCTTGGCTTCTTATTCACCTCTGAGGTGCCAGAATGTAACTGGTACACCACTGAAGGCAGAGCAGCGTTGAAAATGAAGCCACCTTCAGCCTTGTATAGGTAAAGTCTAACTAACTAGAAGTCCACCTTTTACGACAGCAGGTATATGAGATGTTCAGAGCGAACAGCTAAACAATGTGCTTTTTTAAAGTGCTGAACATTGTTTTCTTCCCCACGGCTAAGTACTAACTACTGTTACTTGCTAACCAAAGTAAATAGCTTATATGAACTATGCAAACCTCAGCTAAGTTCTCACCATCAGGAGAAACTGCAGAGCACATTAACGTTATGTTTACTTATTTTGAAAAAAATCGTCTTTCCACAACTTTCTGCATGAAAGGTGTGGAAAGATGATGGCAGCGATGCAGCCATGTAAACATTGCCATGGTGATAGCGCCCAGGGAAAATTGGTGACGATGTAATGTGAGCTTATATCTGCTAATTCATGGTTTGAGGCATGTTTAGGTATGTACACTATCTTTGTTATGCCAGTGCAAAAGGAAAGAAACAAACTTCAGACACAAAACATGTCTGGGCTGATTGTCTACATCTGGGCTACGGGGGGAAACTGTATACAGTTCCAGTGTAAAACTAAAGGAGAAACTCTTCTTAGAAGCAAAATAAGCAAATGTTTTCCACAGAAAATGCCCATCAAGTCAACAGACTTTTGTAGATTCATAGTCTGTAGACTTTGCTGATTGAACCATCAGAATGAGCTGAAATATGTTCTCAAACTGCTCACTTAAATTCAAAACAACTAAGAGTGATTTACACAGCCGCTGAAGTTTTACTGGAATGTTTTGTTGCTCACAGTCAGGAGCCAATCAGATTTTGTCTTTAAATATAGAGAGCAGTCCCAAGACATGTTAACCAGGAAAGATATCAGCAAGAGATCAACAGTGTTTAGGACAGGGCAAGTGAAAACAAACTTTATCAGCGGATCTCTTAAGCTGTTGTTTATGTTTTCTAGGCAGATCTTCATTCAGGTCTTTCCTTGTTCCTTTTCAGCCAGGCTTGTGGTGCTTCCCCCATGAAGCACAACTTCCTCTATACTTCATCCCTATTCATTGTAAACAAATGCAATAACCAGTCCGCAAACTGACAACTAGAGAAAAATACCCTCTCCCCTAATTTCCAAAACAATATCATCATTTGCTATGGTATATAGTATATTTCAGCTACTTGTGCTGTTCAGGCACCCTCAATATTTAAACAAATGGCAATCAAACATTCCAATATTTTATAACGCTATGGATAAAAAGGGTGTAATATCAATTTATTGCATGGAGCTAGCGTAAGATGTGATCTGTACCCACCTGTTCAGTCGATTTAGTGATTTATCATTGGGTTTTAGACACATGTGATTTAACACACTATGATTTAAACTACAGAACAATAACTTCACAAATTCTTTGAATTTATCATCCTTTTGTCAGAAATATTTCCATATATAGCCCCACTTGGATGTCATTAGGTCACAGAAAGTGAGTGATATTATCAGCTGTTTGTGTTCCAACTTTACAACAACACAATTTACTTCACCTTTTTCTTCTTCAAACGACACATCCTACTCAAATGCCCAATTAAGCAAACAAGTATTCTAAGATGAGTTTGAATAGCACTATATTATTATATATTAAATAACCATGACCTTCCCTAAAGATATTATGAGGGTTGTACAGCTTAGCAGTTCTGAAAATGACTGTAGAAATCTGCTTTTCTGCTTTCAACAAACATCAACAAACTGAATCAGCAATATTAGAGAGATGCTCTGACTACATGGTGTACGTTACAGGAGGCAACTGGCCAGCATGCACAGCATGAAGCTCTAGATTTTTCCCCCTCCACTGAGAACAAAGCAGTAATTCTCTGGCTATGAACAAGATGGCTTATGTTAGAATCTACGCAAACAAAACAGAACTGTAAATATCTACATATACAAGCTATACATTCCACTTATATGCAAATGCTGACATTATAATACCCAACTAGTTGCAGTTTAGATGACAAACCAAATGTACCAATGACCGCAGTCTACCGGAATAACCCTTCTTTTCATCCAAAAAGGGGGACCCTGTTTTCCCTACCAGGGGTTTTCCCTTCCTTCTTCACTGGAGAGCCTCTCACAGGACTGGAGTGTGCCTGCCCCAAAGCCATTAATGAGCTGCAAGATAGTCCTATTCAGCCCCACTGCTCTATTTGCTACAATAGAGGGCTTGTCTGAGCCTGACTGTGGGCCAGAGCTGCAGACAAAGCCAGCAGGACGACAGAACTGGACACACAGCTACTGCTGAGAAGAGGCGTAGCAATAGTCAGTTAGTGCTTCCATTAAACTATGCACTGCTGCTTAGCCACTAAAATCATTAAAGAACATTAGCGTGTTTTAAATGTTTCCTAGATATTTGGGCAGACTTTGAGAGCCGGCAGGTGTGGCCCATGATGTGATATTGCCGAGATGCCTTCAAGTCACGGGGTGACCCACCCATGGAACCTAAAAAACACTCTTGGAAACACAGAATGGCTGAGCCAGCTAGGCAAAGCCTGCTCCTCCTCCTCAAGATCATTAAAACACATTACTACAATCTGCCTGATGAAATGAAACCAGTTGGCACATGTAATTATACAAAACTCAGCATGTCTAAAAAACTGAAAGCCCAGTCATGCACAAATGCCCATTCCATCAGGTCTCACAGAGGTCTATGTTAAATAGACTATAGTCTATGAGCAGGATCTGTCATTTAGAAAAATGTTGTTGCCATAAATAACAACATTAAAGAGGAATTACGTCAATTTTTCAATCAAATGTGAACAAACTCATGCAGAGTGGTTTAATGTGAAATGCCCTGTTCTAGTAAAACTCAGTCAGAACTGTTCAGTTCAATGCCTCTAAAAGCTCCCTCACAGAAGCCATTACACAAAATGGCCATGAATATGCTGCCTGGTGCCAGAGACATTGATTTATGATAGCTTGGAGATGCTAAAATACTTTTTAATCCATTCATGGTGCAGTGGTACATGCAGGGCATTGCAAGGCAGAATGGCTACCAAAAAAACCTATGTCTTCAGTTTTATCACTATTTTACTATTAACAACACTGCATATAAAATCCCAGACGACACGTGTAGATTCACTGGTTGTTTTGGATGGATAGTAAAATGCCCATATTTGTGCTGTGGGTATTGTGACCCCTGGTTCCTATCAGCACAACTGTAAAGAAAAACTCTAAGTCTATCCACAATGAACCATATCTCAGGTCAAACCTCTCTGAATTACTTTGCTTTACATCTCAACCTTTGAAGAAAATTTGAAAACCGGTGGAATTCCCCTTTAACAACACTTCTGCCGCCTGACAGACAGAACTGCACTACGACAACAGCGTAAACATTAAACGCTTCTGTTCCAGGTAAACGAGCTCCTAAAGACCGCAAAGCACACAAGTCGTGATTTGTTTCGGTGTTTCACGGATTAAACCCAACCTCACTTCCAACTCCCACTGAGCCACAGTCTGGCGACCCCGTTTTGCCTTATTGCTGCTGCAAAGCCCAAAATAACTAACGCTAGCCTAGCAGTGAACAAATGACAGCATGGAGACAGAATCCACTAAAAACAAAGCCACAAACATAAAAATAACAATTAAGGCCGAAGTAAGTTAAGCTTCTTGTTTGAATTGTCCCGTTCCACCTTAAACGGTGCAGCAGTTACACTCTCGCGCCTCAGGCTGTAGAACGTAACGTTAACTGCTGCACCGTTTAAGGTGGAACGGGACAATTCGAACAAGACTTGTGGAAAGCTCGACAACTCACCTCCAGACGGAATGAAGCGGCAGCACAGCCCTTCAGGAACTCCCTGATATTGCTCAAGCACTCGCTGTCGGTCCGGGGCTCCTGACAGACCTGCGTGAAGAGGAAGAAATCCGCGGCTTAGCACAGCTTATTCGAGTCTCACGCACTGTAAACTGTATCCAGACCGGACAAGCCACATTCGTTAACGGCGGACAACAACATCATTATCATCATCATCTCCCCAGTAGCTGAGAAAGCTGAGAAAGCCAGCCAGCCATCCTCCAAGGAGGCGCAGGGAAAGCGGAAGTGACGCCAGATGAGGGCGCTTGGCGCTGAGTGGAAGCGGCTATGCTGTGTTTACAGACGGATAAAGTACTTGCAGTGGGCCGAAGCTTAAAATATCTTGTTTTCTTCTCACTAGCCTTGGATGAAGTCTTCCCTGAGACTCCAGTAAACGGTTTTAGAGGGTCTGGGGGGTATTTTTCAAAGCAGGATTTCTCAGTTAGCCAGATAACTTAAGCCAAAAGCCTGTCCAGTAGCAGGAGAGGTGATGGACATTCCTGGGCAATCCTCACTTTGGTCACTTTAGGCTTAAGTTAAGCTCCCTGAGAAATCCTGCTTTGTGAAATACCCTCGTATGAGTTGCAGTTATGTAGAGACTTCCCTGCTGGAAAGAAAAAAAAAAAGTTTCTCTTGGTTTCTGGTGGGTTTCTCATGTGTTTTGGCTTTTCTTGGTGGGTTGATATCACAGTGTAAAGGATTTTAGTGGTTTAACAGGTGTTCTGTGACTGATTTCAGATACATCTCATGGTTTCCTAATGGGATTTTCCATTGATGGGATGGTTCGAAAAGGACTTTTTTCAGCCAGTTTGGAGGCACTACACATTTCTGGATTTGCCTGAATCAGCTCACGAAGGGTTTGATCATTTACCTGATAAGCTGGGTCAGGTGTCAACCACAAAAATGTGCAGTCCAGGGTGCAAGAGAAAAGCAAAGAAGCCTTCTTGTCGAAACTATAGAAAAAGACCAGTGATATGCGACACTGCTCATGGCGGAACTTCAAGGGGAATAGGATCTTACAGGGGAAAAAGTGATGGGAATCAAACGTCCAAACCATTTAATTCTCTAACAGCTACCTCACATAAAATGATTATTATTAACTGGCTATGAATACGCTGCCTGATGACTTAGACATAGTTTTACAATAGTTTTGAGAAATGTTTTTGGTCTCAAATGTATTTTATAATCCATTCATATCAGAGAGGTACATGCAAGGTGTTGTAAGGCAAAATTGCACGTTTTTGTTTAGTTTATTTATTTATTTTTTAGACTGACCACTATTATTTTTTTAAAGAAACATTACATATAAAAACTCTGAAGGCATGTGTAGTTTTATGGTCATTTTACATAGTACAAAACAGATGTATGTTCATGGTAGACATCATCCTATCAAAAATCAGTAAGTCAGTAAGTTTCTCTGCAGTGCCCAAGTTGACTACTCTGAATGACTTTGTTTACATCTTAACCTTTAATTATGCAATTTTTTAAAAGAAATGGCTGAATTCCCCTCTAAGTAACTAAGGATTTATGTCCAAAGCATTTCTGTGTCTGGCAACCTTTAACTATACCACTAAATATGGAGAGAGAAAATCCACCTGCATTAAAAGATCTTTCTGTAGCCTTAGATAAAAAGACAATTTCAGTCAAGCTTTCACTTTCATTCATTTCATTCCACTAGTTCAGTCTGGCATTACCTGAATAGTGAACGTTTGTGCACATGGGTGTGACCTTTAAACAAGTCGGTACACCAAACTCTTGACGAAAGCATCTGGGACAAAAGCAGCCTACTCTGCAATATGCCTTCCAGTTCTGCTTGTATCTAAGCCGCACTAAAGGCCATTTCATCATGGTTTCCTCCTTCAAATATAGCCACCAACTGAACCACCTCTGCTTATGAGCACACAATGACTGCTCTAAAAAACTGCCCACAGAAACAGCCTTGCTAATAATAGGCTAAAATTGGGGGGGTAACATAATGAAACTTTGCCTCACACAGAATGATTTTGTCCAGGCTGTTGAGCCACATCTGGCATATTCCAGCATGGGCTGAGAGCAAGACTTATTTATGTTTAATAGAGCAATGATAGAAGAAAACATCATCGCTGCCTTGGATAAATTGATTTACCTTCCCTCTGAGTCATGTATTACTATTCAATTTTATTTTAAACTTACTTCAAATAATATTTACTTTGATTTACTTCAGTATTTACTTCAATAGATGAAGGAAAATTCCTCTGACTTTTAAAAATTGTCTGCATAATTCAATGATTAACATACAAGCAAAGTCATTCAGAGTAGTTTGATGTAAAATGCATCACTCTAGAGAAACTTACCAAATTTGAATTGTTCACAGTGGTGGTCATAGGAACCAGACGTCACAAATGTCTGGTAGGACTGTGTGTAACTTTAAGCACAATTATTTAACAAGCTGAAAAAAGCCTGATTTGTGATTAACGAATCAAAACTATTATCAGTGTCATGTAGAACACCAATCATAAAAATAAAAATGAAAAATAACAATGAAAGCTAATAATTTGTGCACATGGCAACCCAGTACAAAACTGCATATACTTATTTTACATGCACATTGGTCTGAACAAATGCTGCAACTATTCCATGTTCCATTTTACAAACATATTACACTGTTTTTTCACACCAATTAAAACTGACCCCTAAAAAAAACAATACAGCCAGTGCAGAAGCGTTTAATTTTATTTTAGAAAAATAATCACACTACACAGCCATTCAGCCGTCCTTTAAAAAAAAAGGACACTTTTTTTTGTAACTTTAATGCTGTAAGGCTTGGTCAGTAGGGGAAGCAGTGCACTTACTGCTTGACCTTAAACTCCACTCACAAGTGCAGCCATTGTCTCGTGAGCTGCTGAATACTGAATGTTATTAGCTGAAAGATCTGCATGAATTAGTTTTGTTTCATGTAAATGATATGTAAATTAGGTGGCGCTTGATTTCATGCACTGAAGCCGATTCATCATTTGTGCTCAAATCTTGTTTCCGACACATACAAAAGTTTCATAGATCAGACACAGAGAAGTCTGTGCGTCATTAAAGGCGGTCAGATCTGCAAATGTTTCTTGTGTATTGCAGTGAATATACCTTTCATGGTTTTTAATATGAGTGTAAGGTCTGTGGAGTGTTACTGAAACAAATGACAAGTAAGTAGTTGTAGTACGTAAACCCCCAAAAGCACTACTACAAGCAGTCTGTTAGGGGTGGACACAGTACAATACTGTACTTGAGTAAAAGTTGATGGTAAATTCTTACTTAAAGTAGAAAAGTACTTGCTTTTAAATGTACTTAAGTACAAAGTAAAAGTGATATGAGTTATAATATTATATTGAAGGACGAGCTGTGTGGCTGCAGACATAAACAGACAGATCTCCTTAACAGAACTGCATTAGAATTACTTTAACTTTTAGGTAGAATACTTTTACTCAAGTGGTAATTTACCAAGAGTACATCAACATTTGTACTCCGTCCACTTCTAGCTGTAGTAGTGCTTTTGGGGTTACTTAATGCTGTTGTATTGGTTCAGCACCTGGACTGTTATCACCTCTCACCTCTGAGCCTTTCTGGGGACCAAAACTTTTATTTCAGTACCACAAAAAGACGAACAGCACGTAACAAACTTCACTGTTCTGATAGATGCCGGATGTGGGAGTTCCAATAAAATTTGATTGGGAACTTAATATTTGAGGTTTTTTTTTTACTTTTACTTCTGCTTTGGTCATTATTTCAGTATTTCATTTTAAGTAAAAACAATTACTTGTGGATGATTCAAACCTCTTCTCCAACTCCTGAAGCACTTATCATATTGTTATAACACATTAGTAACACAAGGTGTAGACATTTTAGACGTCTAGAGAGCTTATATCAGCAAGCCATGCCTGAACTGTAATGTCTATCAATGCAGTCCCCAAAAAAAAAAATATATATATATATATCCATCCATCCATCCATCATCTAAACCGCTTATCCTTCTGGGTCGCGGTGGGGCGCTGGAGCCCATCCCAGCTGTCATTGGGCGGAAGGCAGGACATATATATATATATATATATATATATATGTGTGTGTGTGTGTGTATGTGTGTGTGTATATGTATGTGTACATACACACACAAAGTAAAGTTGGCATTTTTGAGAAACCTTTTTTGAGAAACCTGTTTTTTCTAAGCATAAACACTACAAAGCAAACACTTTTAGCTCCCTTAGAAAAGTGTACTGTGCCTTTAAATCTGAGGGGATTTCTCTCCCTCGCTCAATGTCAATGGCCGCCTGCTCATAGTGATGAACCCATAAACATCAGCCACACAGATCAGAATACAGCCTCTTCATCATACAGCATAATCTATATTTACACAAACGTCTCACTTCTTCCGCACTGAACTAGGTTTTATGCTAACATTTGCATGACCGATACTCATTACTCAGCATTACTGACCACCTCGTGTTGTAGATGAAGCTTGTTTTGCTCATTTAGACCCTTTTCGGGCCTGTGTTGCTGATCCTCTGTTCAGTAGTTTGAGTGAACCGACGGTCGCTTTGATCGCTGCTGTTGTGACTGAATGTCCCGCGTGCGTTTCGCCTGACAGGACAATGAGGCTGGTGTGCGCGTGTCCGCGAACATGTATTTAGGCCTTAGTGGGGACCAGAACGTCCCCACAAAAACGGAAAACACTTTTGTCGCTGCGAGGACGTTTTTCTACTATGTATCTGTATTTGAGAAAAAGACAAAGACTTTTCTTTGCTTCCTGAGAATAAAGTTGTATTTTTGCATAGGGTTTGGTTTAGCACTAGCATCAAGTAATCAGTATGGTGAAGCAATCGGTACCCACGCTAATGGAAACACCCCACAAAGACAGGAATACAAACTGGTGTGTGAGAGCGTGTGACCCAAAAACGGGCAGCAGCAACACCAGCAGCTGTGTGTGTGTGTGTGTGTGTGTGTGTACAGTAGGAAAAAGTGCTTTGAATTTAATCCATTCAAACATGTACATGATTTTCATATGCATAAACACAAACTGAGTGAACTAAAGCGATAACTAGCCTATGTGGATGTTAAATGATACTCTCCAACGTTCACATTTGAACCAGCTACACTACTCAAAGCACTATTTTCTTCAGTGAGTGAAGAAAAAGCCTCAAACCGTCTGTCTGTGTCTCTCACCGTGAGGTTTAATCCTGGCTGTAGTCTGTCCAGCAGCCTGCACAGCACCACTCCGTCCCTCAGGCTGGACTGCAAGAAGCCCTCGGGGTCTGACACTGTCTTTTTGGGCGACTCCAGGACCCCCAGCGTAATAAGCCATGTTACCGTCTGCTCGGCCGAGTTCATGGCCACCTCCTTTATGTCCTTACACGCTAACGCCAACCTCGACCACAAGAAACCATGGATATCCTCGATTTTCTTCTCTTGCCCTCACGCTACGGGCTCGTCCGCTGGGGCTGGTGGATATGAGCCCTCCTGCTCCTGCTGGCTGCAGCTGACGATTTGCCTACATTTGTGTGGCGGCTCTGGTTTCGTTCTCCGCTCACCCCCGCCACCCCTCCTCCCCATTCCCCCTTTGGCAGGATGTCAGCTGACCCCCCTCCCCAAACCAACATCAACAAAACCAATATGTGCCGGTGGATGGACTATTAAAGATTGGGTTGGAGGTCTAGTAACTATAGTCCCATGTATTTAAAGGACCCATATTCTGTTCTCTATGTATTTTATCGTTTTCCCCTGAAAAAAACTCAGTAATACTTATAAACACTTATAATGTTTGGGCTGTTTTTGTTACTGTGCCTTTAAGAGAGATATATGTAAATGAGCTCTGTTCTTATTGGCTGCCCTGTATTGCGCCTTCCTCGTTCGCTCTTTATAATTTAAGTGTGAATGGGGCGGGGCTAAACTACTGTAGGCTGAACAGGCAGTATGTAAATATGCTCGTTTTTTGTGACCTATCATTAAGATGAATTCAAAAGTGTGTTTTGAATTTATTATGATATTATTTTTGTATACAGACTGATAAACTGTGGAATTAACATTTTAAAACAATCTTTACATGTGACATCAAACTATTTTATAAAAAAAAGTTTACCACGATATGGGCCTTTTAGAGGGATGGTTCACCAAAAATAAATAAATCAAAAGATCTAAAGTAATGCTACAAGATTCCTTTTAGTTTATTAAATTCAGACAATTACCACAGTTTACTACAGAATACTAAAGTATTTTAGATTATATTAGATTACTATAGCACAGTACTACAGTAATAAATAGATGTTTTATTCCAAAATGCTGTACACTCATTTGTATTTTGGATATAAAGATATTTGAAAAGAATAACACCTGACATATAATAAACTTTGATAAACATTTTTATTTCTCTAGGTGGTATTAATTATAATGTATTTATATGTAATTGATATATGTAAAGCCAAGCCTCTACTATGTAGAAAAAAGAAAATTCATGGACATGGTGTTTAATGCGCTTTGGAACAAGACCCTTCAAATATTACAGATTATTATAGAAATATTGTACAGCACTCTAGAAATCTTAAAGTTTCTTGCAAGTCAGGGGGACAGAGTAGCCTAAACCCTTCCTCAAGTATTGTTACTTCACCTGAACACTGACTCTAGTTAAAGAACCTTTAAAAAACAAAAAACAACTGGAGTTGAAGTACAATAGAACCAGGTCAAAAAGCACTACTTAAGTACTGATTACAACCGCAGCTGAACTGCTTACAACGTCCAGCATCTATCCGGATAGGGACTGAAGTCATTCTTCTTTATCTTTTCTTTTTCTGATTTTAAAGTATTGTTTGAAAATGCTGAGAGAAGTACAAATACAGCAAAATGTTACTTAAGTTCATGTAGCTAGTTACTCATGAATCCTGCTTATAGTATAATAGATCTTTGATGTAAGGTAATTTGCACCAAAGCCATGAGGCTGATATAATTAAATTAGTGTCTCACAGAATAAGATTCTGTCAGCTGTCATTAATGGTTAGTGACAGTAGCTTTGTAGTTCAAGTACAAAACTAAAGAAGCAAACTTTGAGAACCAAATATGTTATGGCCTATACTTCATTTGAGATAAGGGGAAATTTGTGTACAATTCATTTTTGGGTGAATCGTTCCTTTAAGCACAGTTCTGATAGATCTGTACGTTTCTGAGAATCTTCAAATGATATGTTTAGTTTTACTCAAGCATCCTCGCCTGTATCTGTGAGAGGAAACTGGCCTATGTTTGTGATTAGTTATGAAACCTAATATGTATTTCACACACTGAGGCCTGTTGGTAAAGTAGGACGCAGAGAAGCAGTTTTAACCAGAGGTACAAGTCTCCTCAGCACAGACAACCACAGTCCAAATTCATTAGCATTTTAGCACCAGTGACCATCCTGACATACAGAATTTATCAGCCTCTGGGTTTCTTAGGCAGGAGGCAAAGTTGGCTTACAGCGCTCCCTGCTGGACGCTAATAGTTGGCATATATAGCGTTACAGAGCCATTCAGTCATATAGTAAAGCAAGGGTGGGCAACGCAGGTCCTGAACAGTCTCTGTCCAGCAGGTTCGGGGTTCTTTACTCCAACACACCTGCTGCTAAACGTGGTAATTAATTGAGGAGTCGAATCAGGTATGTTTCAACAGGAACATCACCCAGCTGCACTAGAGTAAGGCCCTCCAGGACTGAGTTGGCCAGTTAGGCATCCTGAAATGCATCACCTTAATGTCATTTGAGTGCATATGGTACTGCATTGGGTTACAATGACAAAACGACCACTGCACCATCCTTAAGTTGTAAACATAGCCAATAATCAATTGTTTATTGTTCTGTATTTGTACATTATGCTGTGTTTTTATGCTGCTAATAGAATAGTACAGTAGAGACCTTAAAAGGGGAAATCCACTGATTTTTCACAGTTTCTTCAGAATTAAACGGTTAAGATGTGAACAAAGTCATTTAGAGGGTTTGATGTGAAATGGTGCACATTTCTTTACTGTGATGGTGATGGCAACCCGGCCTCAAGTCTACAACACACATATAGCCATTTTATTTACTACCCAAAATGACCCGTAAACCTCAGTGTGTCTTTAAAATGCAAATGTTGAGAATGGTAAAATAGTAAATCCAAAAAAATTACTTTTCTTTGGGTACAATTTAGCCTATCCCAAAACATTCATAAAATGTCTAAGTCAGGCAATGTATTCGTAAACATTTCATGTAGTAATACGTCGTGATGGAGATTGTAGAAGCATTTAACTCCTCAGATCCCATCACCACCCCTCAAAACAATACTGACTCAATAAGTTTCTCTAGAACATTCATTCTGAATGACTGTTTATATCCTAAACATTTAAATATGCAGAAATTCTGAATAATCGGTGGAAGTTCCAATTTAAAGGATATTTAGATAAATATTTCATATTAGTCACTGACATAAAAAATAAAAAAGCATTTTAAATAGGGAAGAGGCAAAGATAGAAGAGGAGGCAGTGGGCAACCCTAAGATGTTTTTCCACTGCACAAAGCACTAGAAAACTAGAACTGTGCTTTTACCCTTGGCCGTTGATCCAGTACTGAAGGTTCCAGTTTTATGTTTTTTGGTACCTATTCAAGACTGGTACCAACAGGACCTAATGGTACTTAAGGGCGAGGCGAGCAGTACAATTCAGTGCTGACTGATTAAGCTATTTAACAGGCAACATGGCATTATTTGTGATTATTTATAAAATGTCATGATTGTGACAAGCACAATACACAAGGTAGTTTATTAAAGGTGCACTGCAGCCTAAAGCTATGCATTGTGTTATACTGTATTCTGAAGTGCAGCACTGTGTCCTCAGCCTCATCGGTTTGACAAAAAAAATCACCATTCTGTTTAATCTATCAATATATATTTCTCTATGGGAGAAAAGAATGGAATTTTCAATATTCTCTGCTATTGCACCAATGCAGTAAACAAAACAGTTCCAACCCAGATACTTTTTTTCCTACAGACATTTTTTCACTTGAATGTCACTGGATTCTACTTATGAGACCATTTAGGAGTCCAAATAAGAATAATGCTTACATGCTACAAGCATGAAATGACATTACACAAAAATAAGTATGCTATTAAACTTAAACACCATTATATCTGTGATAACATCAGCTACTCACACTGTAGGTTACTACTTTTCAAAAACAGACATCAGCTTCTCAACAGACAAAAAACTTAAAACCGGAGTTCCTAAAATGAGCATCACGCATGTTACAGAATGAAGACTCAACTTTAGAGGTCTATAAAACTTCTAAAAAACTGGCCAGCTGTGATAAATAAATGCACTTATTTGGAAGCTAATAAATACAGGTGTGATAGTCTGCTTACTGGCAGTGACGACAGCTATCTGGCTTCCTTCGGCCCCAGCCAGCTATAAAAAAAAATAAAAATAAAAATAAAAAAAAAAGACCTCTCTTCATGACATCACTATGGGGGGGTCCCCTAGTCTTTAAACCAAAAAACATCACTCTAGAGACAAGTACGGCACAAGTGCAGGATGCGAGTAGGCATGTTTATACTGGCCACAGTGTCCCTTTCATGTTGTCAGTATAACCATAGAGGTTGTCTCTAAAAGCAAACAGAAAGTGATGAATGAGTTAGAACTAGAACCCTAAGTTCTGTTGATTCCAGATTGAGATGTTTTTGAATGTGCAGTGGAAAAACGTCTCTATTGGCCAACCTTAACTTCTGACTAACTGCTACCACAGTTAACTGAGAACTCCTGCTCTGTGATATTCTCCAATGCTCATCATTTGCCAAACTAGTTGAAATGAATCATGTGGTTAGATCCTGCTGGCGGGGTCACTTCAAAACATGCTCTCAATCATGGAAAGCATTCAGTGGTTTCTAAAAGCGTTTCCCACTCATCAGGTACATGACATACAATGGGTACATTTTTTTGCAACACAAATCCAGCATATTACTATGTCAGAACAAACACTTTCCAAAATACAACCATGTCTATAAATATGCCATCTCTTTATTGGTGCTGATTTTAAATCTCCATTTATTTTTGCTTTTACAAGTCAAACTCGAGTCAAGGGATGCCTTTTACCTAAGCTTGCACTTCCACTGTCTTGGTAAAGACGACAACAGGCACAAGGCAGATTCAATAGAGTAGTGGCAAAGGGCTTGGGTCATGATACTGACTTATATAGATGTACCTCAAAAAGGAGCATAAAAGACCTGCATTCCAGGACCAAGGACTATCAAGGAGGGGAAAAAAGAAACACTGACAAGGTCAAGATTTTTCCAGATGTCTAAAATCCTGGTTTAATTTTGAGTCCAGCAAAGCAGGACAAGTGAAAAGTTACACTTGCTGCCATCTGTCCGCTACATCTTGTGGTTGATTTTTTTTTCATTTCCTGATCACCACCTAAATGTCTTTTACCGGAGACCAGGCTAAATTGGATCCTGGGAATCTGGAAATAACCATCAATGGTATCCTTCACCCAGACAAGCTAACGTTGCTAATAATTCTAGTCAAGAGCCAGTTAGCATTTCCCAAGCAAGACCATGCTAACTGGCTCCCATTAACCTTCATATATTGTTAGCCACATTAGCATTTGTGGATGAACTACTCCTAAGCTTTTTGTTAATGGTGCTAATAATTATAGTCAACAGGAGCTGGTTACCATTATTCAAACAAGACCAAGCTAACAGGTACTCCTGATCTTTTACTTATTATTAGCCACATTAGCATTTGTGGGTGAACCACTAAGCAGCCCCAGCTGGGGGTAAGCAACGGTGTCCATCTGAAGAAGCAGCTGAGAAATGAAGGAAATTGATTGATCAGAAAGAACAGGCACGTTCGGAATAGTGTGTAAATGTTTCTCTAACCTTTTTTGTCTAACAGGTCACTGTTAAAACAGTGGTAATAGTTCAGTTTCTCACAGAAAAACACTCATCTTTTTCTCTTTTTTCTTTTTTTTTTCATTTTTGTGCTCTCCACCAGTCCCAGGGAGGTGGAAGGGAAAGGGGGACGAGCATGTGCTCGACCTTGCACACACCCACCTTTATCCCCTCTGTGGTTGTGGAAAAAGAAACGTTCGTATCATTTGTAAGAAACTAGTAGCAACACTTAGGACTCCTTGACCACAGATGAACTCAGGAGTGCGCATAGGATGGTGTGTGTGTGTGTGTGTGTGTGTGGGTGTGTGTGTGTGTGTGTGGGTGTGTGTGGTGTGTGGTCGTCTCAGCTCATAGGTCAGTTTAGAAGTCACTGTCTTCTCAGATGATTTCAAAAGTTTTCTTCAGCTCCATGATGAGCTGCCAATCTGACTTCTGCATCTCGTCTCGGAACCAGTTCTTTAGAGCATCAATGGACTGACGAGTAATCTGCGGAAAAAGGAAAGAAAGACTGTTTTCAGGACTGCAATTTCATCTCAGCCTTCAACGCCGGAGGCACTTGATGGGGGTGGACAAAATCTTTTCGCCTGGATGCACTTTGAGGATAAATGAAAAACACATACAAACATACACCCACACAAGCAAAACCGTGAACACTCCTAGTCAAATTACACGTTTGGTTGATTTCCGAAGTGAAAATCATGTCTATAATGTGGAATCTTTCTTAAAATTTTAGGACACAATTTTTATTCATTTGCTAAGCCTAACATTCAAAAAACTAAGCATGCCATAAATTTTGCAGTTCTGTGGATTCTTTTTGCTCATTTAGCACTGCATTTAGCTTCATTTGTCAGTGAAAGATCAGAAGATTTCTAAACGTGGTCCTACCTTGCTAACTATAATGTCAACAGCCTCAAAATGACGGCCATACATCTTGGGCGACTCTCCGGGAATGGGCTCGATTTTCACGCAGATCTCCTGGCCCTTTTTGGCAGTGTCCACAGGTTTGTGGTTCACCTCGATACTGGTCACAATGCCAATGTCTACAAACTGAAAGAAATAGATCACAGATCAGAGTATGTAGAGTGTAAATATTAGAATCAGTATGAAGGAGGAGTGAAACAGTGTAATAAAATGTGCTCATCAAAACAGACACACTCATGAGGGATGGGTGGAGTTATTCAAATGTACAGATATCCAGACTCTTCTCTGTATTACACTAATGCATGTGTAGCTTGGACTACAACAACTTGTTTTTTTGTAGTGCAAGCTTGGACTACAGCAAGCTGTTTTTCTTCATGTGTCTCACATTAAGAAAAAGGAGAGCTAAACATGGAACTATTTCAAACTAAAAGATGTATACATAGTACGTTTGTGCAACTCTGCATTATTATTATGTGGCCCAACTGGTAGTGTGTTAAATCACATACACCTAAAATACAAAGATAAATCACAAAATATATAGCTGCATTGAGGAAATGGCGAGGATATCGTTTTATTACCTTATTTTGCATTCCTAAGGTAGTTGTCCTTTTTGCTTGATAGTACAGTTATAATAGGCTACGTCTGTATCTGTCGTTTATATGTGCTATAGATTTTCGGTTACATCACAGTTATACTTGATGCCTAAACGCTATATATGCATTTGTAAGAATTTTGGATATAATGAGTTTTTAAAAGGACGAACAGTTGATGTATATTGTATAAACTATTACAAAGGTGGTTAGTCATAATATACAACACTACTATTAAGAAATTGTGGATATCGAAATAATAAAAACGGTTTAAAAACACTTATGCCTTATAGTCACTTCTCCAGACTTACCCCTTTGCTGGGCACACATAGCGGGGTGCCTGTCTTCAGTACACCAGCCTCCACAGTCACGCCCCATAACAATGGGGTCTCTGGAGTTAAAGATGAACTGAGGCAGGATACGCAGCTTACAGGGAAACACTGCTATGTGCCTGTAAGTGACAGCAGACAGTTTGTATTACTCTTGCAGTCATTCTCCTCAGCCAGTTTAACACCTGCATCCTAAAATGACTTTGTACAGACCCCACCAGAACAAAGCTGTTTGACAAAAACTAGTTTAATGTGTAAAAAATATTTTTGATCTAATCATCAAGAATCAATGGGAGTGTGCTAAGGAGAATGGAGCAAGCAAAAAATTGATTAGTTATTAGGGACAATCATGTTTGTACTTTTGTATGTTTTCTCCATTGATTTAGGAGAAATTATCACTTTATAGCACTTCCACAACGATGGACGAAAAAAAAAAAATCAGCAGTTTCCATACTTGAACTCATCCTGTTTCTGTTTCTTGTAGTCTTCTCTGTATTTGGTGAAGGCATCGAACAGATGGTAGATGATCTCAGCGCTGAAGATCCGAACACCCAGACTGTCAGCCATCTCCTGAGAGTCTCTCTCTATCTTCACGTCAAATGCCAGAATCACAGCATACCTGCACACAGAGAGAGAGAGAGAGAGAGAGAGAGAGAGAGAGAGAGAGAGAGAGAGGAGAGAGAGTGTTTGTGAACCACTGAAAATCACAGGATTCAGTCAGGAAACAGGTAGAAGTGACAACATTTACTGAGACGTATAGCCAGTACGTACTGTGGGTCGTGCTCCAGCATTGTAGATGCCTTCATGACATCTTTCTTATGGACAGGACCGATATTAATGCCAGAATACTAAAACAAAATAAGAGAAACAGTACAATTCACTTATATCAATGTTACCATTAACAGCTGGTTACAAATTAGCCTTATTAATTCAGTGAAAATAGGTAAACATGGTCTTTGTGCGAATTTTAATGCATAATTTCTATTTATTTGAGTTTAACATATAGGGGAAAATAACTGCAAAATATAAAATCTGCAATAATTTTTCTACATGCCACATTTTATGTTTAAATTTTTTCCCAATACATTAATTTTAGCAAATAAACAGTAATTGTGCATTAACAGTTACAGAAGTGTGTTCTCTGTAGAGATGTGTGAACTTATTTTCAATCAGAAAATCAACAAAACATGTTTGTCCAGGGAAACCCGAACTTTTGCATGTGACTCTGCATTTGGCAGACGCTCTTATCCAGACAGACTTCCACTTTAAACATGTTACAGATGTATTACAGATACAGACCGTATGCCATAGATTATGATACAAATGATGTACCATAGATGTGTTCTGGTGCATGTAGTTTTATCCACTATGTTATACCAACCACTTGAACCTGTGTTAAAAGCAATGGAGATGTATGAAAGATGGGTCTGTGAACTTACCGGCACTTTAGAAGTGCGTAAGAACTCCAGCAGAGCTTCCAGAGAGCCCAGGGTTGAAGCCTGCACGTACACACCCTTCTCCTCCAGCTTTATGGCATTCAACGTCTGCTTCAGCTCCCGGATCAGCTCATCCTACACAGACACACAAAGAAAACTAGCATCACAGTGCGGAAACTCGGTGCACTAGATGTTTTGTAACTTTTCCCAAATACCTTCATAAGCCATGTCTACACTTAACATTCCAGCAAAGTTTAGATTTTTTTTTTTTAATTTTTACCCAATTTTCTCCCCAATTTAGTCGTCTCCAATTCCACCCACTACTTAGGACTCCCCCAATCACACGATGCTATCAACGCTAGGAGGGTGAAGGCTAACACAGGCTAGCCTCGCGCTGAGTGATGGGGGGAGAAGGAGGGGCCATCCCACCCACCCAGAGAGAGCGAGGTCAATTGTACTCTCTTGGACTCCCGGCTACGGATGGCTGTAGCATCACCAGGGATCGAACTCGCGATCTCCTGATGATAGGGCCAACGCTTAGACGGTTGCGCCACTCGGGAGCCTAGATTTTTTTTAATGAACACAATTAAAAAGGGCCTATACTAATTTTTTTTTTGTTTTGCCCCTGAGCTCCACCTTTATGTGCTGGTTTATGCACCAAAAACACCATTTTGTCATTTGACAATTTTTCAACCTCTTTGCATTCCTTACAATTTAACAGGCTGTCTGTCTGTTACTGTGCCTTATTTCTTAGATAAAACCACAAACGCTCCTGGAACTAATCATAACAGGCTCACCCTCAGTACAGGGATTTCATCCTCTTTATGGGCCACCAGCAGTGGCAGGCCTGCAAGAGTCTTCTCCAGATCCTTCCCCAGAATCTTTACTCCCTGAGACGTACACACCTCCTTATGCTTCTCATACTGATTCTGCAGACGAGCACACACACACACACACACACACACAAAAGGAGAGAAACATTACACATTTATAACAGACATACCCCTGCATAACAAATCTCTAACATTTTATAACTATGCTGTTACTTAAGAATTAGTGCACTTAGCAGTCTTTAAATAAAATAAAAAAATGCAAAAAGCTCAATTACGTTTTTCAGAAATTAGTTATGATGTGTAAAAGGTTTACGTACTGTGAAGGGTAAAGAAAAAGAGGAATGAAAGAAACTGATTAAGAAAAGCGAAAAGAAAACAGGAGCTCGAAGTGCTGCTTTAATTTTCTAACGAGTTTCATAACTTCGCATTTTTAATGTCTGTAACCCAGTTACAGTTGCTTTTGGAGAAGCTGGCACCACACTTGGCAAAGCAGATCAGTGACTAGTCGTGCATCTGAAGTTGTCCCTACGCCAAAGCCAGAGACTTGTCTCTGTCAATGTATAAGATCTTTATCATTATGGCACACAGGACAATGTTTTGACAGTTCTTGGATGCTTTAGGGCCAACTAACATGTATGCATGAACTTAACACAGTGTCTGTCAAAAAAAAGCCATAAAATCGTTAATGTGACAGCCATCCACACTCACCCTAAGAACAGCAATATGTAATCCAGAATTTGCTTTTAAGTGGTGTTTTTTATAATCAGATATCTAACACAAGCTTTCTAATTGTCAATGGAAATTCCTATATAATATTAGCCTCAAGCTAACGATTATGCATGCTCTACCTTAAACACAAAGCTTTAAAACAGACATTTAAGCAAGATTTTCTTACTTTGTAGGATTTTACAGTCTCTCTATAATCTTTTAGAATATGATAAGTTTGTAACATGCAGACTAGTCGAGAAGCTGCTCACAGTGATTTGACAACCATGTCTCATAGTGGCTTAAAATTTAACCCTTTTATACCCAAATTATGTTCCATAACACAATGATGACCTAGATCTAATTTGATTCTAAAAGCTGCCATATATGATGGTAAATCAAAAGTTTATAATTGTTTATAATTATTGTTTACTAGCTATTACTGATGACTAATATATAATAAGTTTAGAATTATTAAAAGACATCCTGAACACAATCTAAATTTACAGAGATTTGTTTTGCATTGTAAGTATGCAGTTCATTGCAAGGAATAAAGTGATGCTTTAAAACGTTACATATTTAGCTACAGAGCTTTTAAAAAGCACATTCAGCTACTGTATACACAAATATATTTATGGACCATAGATGTGTTTGTGTTTCTATACATATGTATGTGTGTGCTAAGCATGTATTCTGTGTGTTGCTATCTGACATTTGTCATTTTTGGGCATCTCTGACAAAGTAGTAGAAAGTTTCTAAAGAAAAATGGAATGTAAACAAAACAGTTTATTATTTTGGATGGCCAGTTTTCACAGCTGACAATATTTTTTGAGATGGTTCCAAAGATGGCTAGTCTGGAACCCTGAAATTTAACTAATGTCTGAATAAATTATGTTGTGTACAGGCCTTAAAGCAAGTAGATGTGAAAAAAAATAGAAAAGCAGCAGGGCAGACCTTGACCCGAAGCTCTTTGAGTGGTGGGGGTAGCAGCAGTCCTCTGATCTGAGTGACGATGGGCCCCTCTACACCCGGAACTATGATGGTCTCACCCTCACGCAGACGCCCGTTGATCAGGATTACGTCTATTGTGGTGCCCATACCAGGCAGAGCCTTCACCTGGAGCATGGGAGAGAAGAAGGAGGATTTAAATGGATCTTTAAGTTACTCAACGTTTAAATCAGAGGTGAGAGTCAAGTCCTGGAGGGCTAAGCACTGCAGAGTTAAGTGTTTGATCTGCTGTAACACTCCTAAATCAACTCATGAAGACTTTTGTAGTGAGAGTAAACAGTGAAACAGTGAATTATGCAGCTTTGACCCCCCAGGACTGGAGTCTAATTCACTGTTTTTAAAAGAACAGCAACAATCATGACTTTTTTTTTTTAAGGCAAGACATTACAGGCAGAAATAATGATTTGTAGTGATTTTTATCCCATGAGTAATTTTTCAGACTTGGATGAATTGCATCTATTGCATTAAACTACAAGTTTAACGTCTTCTAACTGTAACACGTAAGAAAGTCAAAACAACAACAAAAAAAAAGTTTATTTCAACGTGTTTTATCCATTCATGTCCGCTTGGTGTTTAACTGTTTTTTCCTAAAGCGAGCAACTTGGCACAACTACATCACGTTGCCATCACGTCGTCCCACTGACAAGCTCCCTCTTGCTACAATATCCAAATATGTCAATATCCTTTGTACTAACAACAATTCAACAAATGACGCATGTTTTCTGAAATCTCACTGGGTAATCCAGGCTGATTTTAATTTTCTTTTTTTCCCAAAAAGACAATCAGAAACAAAAATACTGGGAAAACATGCATGTTAATTCCTAACCTTATTCTAAGAGATACTATGGAAGGATTTCTTAATGTATGGCTAGTAGTTGGATTTGCTATGCTACGTTTTGGACCACAAAATTATTAAAAATGTTTTACAGTAACAGTGAATAGTGCTTTCTCAATTAAACACTAAAACAAATCAAATACAAAGCTCATTTGCATAACTATGTTTTTTTAAGCACTAAAAAAATAATCAGAACATCAGCAACTGAAAGATTCCTTAGAATATCTACTATTTTTCTATTGTATTTACCTGTAGTGTCTTGCCTCAAACACTTGCTGCATGAATAAAGTTCACATTCACTTTCTTCATTAAACTTCATGCCGATGATTCAGCTGACCTCTTTTATGCTAGAACAGCATTACTGCTACTGCTTCAAGCATATTAGCACGGTCATAGCAAGTTGTGTTAATGTGAAAGCAAAGATTCTTGAACGAGACCTCACAGTACAGTGGGTAAAACCTTTATAATAAAGTAATGATCACATGATTAATACAATAGGGTTTAAAAATATAGTGCCAAAATTTGTGCAATGACAATCAAATATTCCTAGTGCAGCATTAGTGTGACCATTGACCTCACCTCCATGACCTGTGCACGGAGCTCGTCGCAGTGGGCCAGCCTGCGGGCCAGCATGGTTTGGGTGAGCTCCACCAACAGGCCAATCAGGTTCCCCATGCCGTCGCCTGAATGGGCTGAAGTGGGCACCAAGGACACAAAGGTCCGTGGGTCCTTATTCTCAAAAAACAGAGCAGCATTCAAACCCTACAGACACAAACACACACAGTGTGACTCGCTTTGACAGTATGTGGTTGCTAGAACCCAGTATGATGGGGGGTGTGGCAGGTATACTGGTAATGTTTTTTCATGATATGAATTTCACCATATCTTGAATACCATGATAAGCCCAAAAACAGGGAACCACAAACAGCACTGCTCCAAGACAAACTAAACATGAGCATGAACATAAATAACTAAGAAGCTCAACAAAAGGACGTTAAAAACAAAACTGCAGTAGTCCTAATTTAACATCCAGTCAAACAATGTTGACAGCTACATCAGAAAGAATGTCCTCAAGCAAAACTGAGAATGTCAGCAAGTTATGACTGAGGAATCATCGTATTTCAGAGCATGAAAAGACCTGCTGGGCGAATTCCACGATGACTGCCTTGGCTCGTTCATCAAACTCATCTTTTGTGTTCTTCTTCTGCTTTTTCAGAGTGGCCACCACGTCCGTATCTGGACTCTTCTTCCAGTCATAGAGACGGTCAATCTGTGAGAGAGAGAGAGAGAGAGAGAGAGATATAAAACCCAACCTGTTAAAGATTCAATTCAGCTGCCTAAAGCGCAGATTTAAAATCAGTATAATAACCTCTTTCACAGTGCTTAGGACTGGACTGCCCAATCTTAGCAAAGAGCGCTGTGGTTGCAGGTTCTTGTTCCAACCAAGCAGGAGCACACCTGAACAATTTTTTGAAGACTCGCTGCATCGGCCCTTTGCGGACAAGATCAGACTCTCCTGGCTTAAAATCAAGTTCAATTGGATCAGCAGCAGTGAGGCAGACATACCTTGTTGAGGGCTACGATGAAGGGGCACTTTTTCTCTTTAAGCAGGTTGATGGACTCGAGAGTCTGGGGCTCCAGGCCATGCATGATGTCCACCACCAGGATCGCAATGTCACACAGGGAGCTCCCCCTGTTCCTCAGATTACTGCAAAAGGGGGGGAAGAAAGAAAGAAGTATGAACGATAAAGTATTTTACAAGCAGATCATATTCATATCAGGCTTGAGCCAACTGACAAAACCATCTGATAGTGCTGCCTCTACTTCGATAGATCCATCAAGTTGGATGAATTAAAAGTTAGAAAATACACTGTCATATGTGTCTTGCAATTGTTTTATTTCACCCGGAAGGCACCACTTTTTTGTTTTATTTACCTGAGTATTGGCTAAATAGATAAATCCATGCTGTAGCCTATCTCGTATGGAACTTTTTTTTTTTTATGAAACAAGAACGTTGGCTTAAATTTGGGACACTGTGGTTGTTAAAAACTAAAATAAATTTTCCTATTTTTCCCAGCCTAATACCAATAACAGGCTACAGTAACAGTTGTCTGTTAACTAACTTAATTCAGCAAGCTTTGGCCATTTTATTATTTTAACAATTAGAGATTTATAGGTTGTAAAAGTGTGATTTTACCAAACCATACCTAAGTTAGCTTAGCAAGTTACTGAAAAAAACAAGTATTTATTTTATCTGGTGTACACAGGCTTCTCTGTGGTGTTATTGGTGAAAAGTGCCATAAAGTCTAAATCCTAATATCAGTTTCTCAGTGGCTCCTGCTTGCCTGTCACCATGTGCTGCCCACAATATTATCGTCGATCAGTGATGGTTATTTCATATTAATCATTCACACAATTTCTCTGAGTAATTTATATCAACATTTCATTTATTCAACCCCCAAGCCATTAAGAGTTAGCATTTGCACTCACTTCATGTGTGTGTTTTTCAGTTGATCAGTGCTTACCTGAAGGACTCGTGTCCTGGTGTATCAATGATCAGCATTCCTGGAATCTTCACGTTTTCCCTGTCAAACTAAAGCACAGACAATTACTGTTGTGCAACACAAAGCAAGGAGGTCACAGAAATGTTTTGTCCACAGTAGAGCTTAAAATATTTCATCCGAATACGACGGGACCCCATTGCTCATGTGGAGTTCGGACGTGATTTCACAAGTATGTGCTGGGATCCCACAGACCGACTTTTGAAGAGATTTTACCCTACATTTCCCCTTCATTATTTACTACTTTCAATACATTACACAGAGTGATCAGCTCAACACAGAGGTCCATTAGGCCCATGCTCGTGAAAAACAGGACACAAACAATGAATCAATTCATGACAGTACAATTTAGTGCAACCAAAAGAACAGCTGTATTTGAGTTCAGACCAAAATGTGCTTGTGTTTCAGATACTCACGTTTTTCACCATCTTTGTTTGCTCAATGATGGTTTCCAAGGGAACATTGGTTGCCCCAATCTGCTGAGTGATTCCACCCGCCTCACCATCCTGTACGTGTGTGTGCCGCAGCTGCAGACAAGAAAACACAAAACGCAGTTATTATAAAACTGAACTTGAATTCAGGTGTGCAAACACAGCAAAAATCAGATCTGAAGTGAGTCATATACAGCATACAGAACACACACCTTATCCAAGATCTTGGTCTTCCCTGTGTCGACATGCCCCAGCACACATACGACAGGAGCTCTCAGCTTGTCTGGGTTGATGTTCTTCAGGTTCTCCTGCCTTCGTTTCTACAATAGAAATGAAGAAATAAACTGAGCTGTTTCGCTTACTCTCCTTTGCCAATATATATGGCTTAGTGCATTTGGGGAGTTATGGTAACGTACACTATTACTCTATTTATTTAATTTCCAGTTAAAATGGCCATTTAGTGAGTTATTCATTTTACGGTGTCGGGGGGAAAAGCAACCAAAACGTATGTTAACAGCTTCAGCGCACACACACACACACACACACACACACATTCTGAAACCGCTTATCCTTCTGGGTCAAAGGGGGTGCTGGAGTCTATCCCAGCAGTCACTGGGCGGAAGGCAGGATACACCCTGTACAGGACGCCAGTCTATCACTGAGCAACAGCTCCAACAACTAAACATAATTTATGTATTTCTTCAGTATTTAGTGTGTCAACGCTTTGCCCTTATTACAGCTTCTGTTCTTTTCAGGAGACTTGCTTTCAGTTTTTAAAAGAAATCTGCAGGGATATTTGGGTGGTCAGGCTATTGGTCTGTGAACATCAACAGCTTTCTTTGTGTGATCTGTAAATGCTTTTCTTTTTTGTCGACATGCTTTTCTCAGTAACAGCTTTCTTGACAGCTACATGACTGCTGAACTCTGGAGTGGTCAATTCATTGTTCTAAGGACACCAGCAGCTTCTTTGTTTGATTCGCAAATGTTCTTCTTTTATTATCTATGTCCTTTTCTCAATAACAGCTTCTTGTCAGCTACACATCCTTTCAGACTCATAACATTGAGTTGTCTTCTCACAGTGGAAGAATGGATAAAAACACCTGTGGATTTTTTTCAGATCTGAAGCTATCAAAGCAGAGCTTGATTTTGTCCTCTCTCTCAAAGATAAAGTAGTTTAAGTACTGTTTATCTGATGTTGACAGTTTTGGTGGTCTACCAGATTTTGCATGGTTGTCTATGCATGCCATGTCAAGGCATGCCACTGTCTATATATTTTAATCCTCTTTTTGAACTCCAGTTTTAGAAATGTATATTTTTTTTCATTTATTTTCCTCTTAATATTTCCCTTCCTTATGCAGGTGGAATATCATATCTTTTCAAAAATATCTCCTGATTAATTAAAAAGTTTGTACTTGTACTTACTTAATGGCTATTTTAACGTCAAAATAAAATTAACGAAAGGTGGCTGTAATTATTACTCCAGTATCTCTTCAGGTAAAGACCTATTCCTCTTCAGGTAAACTACCTCCTGTGGTAAAGGTACAGTCTATATACGCTATTGACAAGCAGCCTACAAATTCTAAAGTCTAACTTAAGTGGACACAGACCCACTTTTTTCATCTTCTTGGTGTGGCAACAAAACTAATGGCATAGACGCTACCATTCCTAATTTCTACAAGGAACTCTCATGTGAATCAGTCCTCAACTTCACAGACATCCTCTGGTAACATCACCTTCTCTCTGTATGTATGCATGTACCTCTATGCGTCTCTTGGCCTTGTCGTACAGCCGCTCCTCTTTGGTGCGCTCGTCATCGGAGTCGCTCTCGCTACTCGACTCTGAGCTCACCTCCTTCCCACTCTTTGACTTGGCTGTTGGGCTCTCCTTCTCTTCCTCTTCCTCACTCTCCTCCTCACCATCTTCTTCTTCCTCCTCTTCATCTTCCTCCTCTTCATCATCTTCCTCATCCTCCTCATCTTCTTCGCTGCCATTCTCCTGCTCAGCAGGAGCAGAGGGTTTGTGGGCTGGCTGAGAAGCTGACGTCTCCTTTACCTCGATATGGACCTTCTTCAGCTCTGGGGTCGAGACAGGCAAGAAAACAATCATGCAGGTTGTTACTGATCAACCAATTAACCACAGAATGTTCGATCAATGCTTTTGGTTAAAATGTTAATTTTATGTCAGGTTTTCCATTCACCTTGTCTAAATTACATATGAGGGTGCAAGGGCGCAACTTGTTTCGGTAGCCCTGCTTAGCGGTGCACATCTCAGGGTTTTCTAGAGTCAATGGCAACTCTCGACTTGCTGGAGTCAGTGGAGTTGACTCCTCGAGTCCACTTAATTTTAAATGATAGCGCCAGAGCCGTTGATAAAGGGATTTAGCACTGATTAAACAATCTTACATGTAGTCACACATTTTTGCAGTAGCTATCGATCACACTTTTCCACACTGTGTCCCTGGCGAAAAAAGTCAACCCCGACACCCAGTAGTTAATCCCATAAAAAAAAAGCTTAAAAGCTGCAAGCTACTGACTATGTCGCTTTTTGTTTAAACTACACAAACTTCAAGATAGTCCTGGTCAGTCCTTATATGTTCATTAACCAGGGCTAATAATATGTAGTAAATATAAGTAGGAAATCTACACTGCATTACTGTCATTAATGGTTCATGTCCCTGTTTTTAGATTTGTCTGTTAGAAATTAATAAATGACTTAGAACAGTTGGTTTCCAGTCCAAAAGTTGGTTTCCCAAATTAATTTGGCAAAATTCGCATCCCTATGCAGGACTGAAATACCAGTATAATTTTAGCCTAAATACAAGCGGGTGAAGTACTGACTGATATCTACAGATTTCTAGACTACCAGCACTGCCTAAGAAAAAGCATCATATTTTAAGATACATAACAGTTACATTTTCAGTATTTCTAGGAAGAAGAGACAATAGAATAGTACTGGGAAAAACAGTTTTGCAGAATAGAGTAAGAGAGAGTCATGTGCATGTTTTTTTTCTGTGTTTATAAAGCTGACCACAGTCTTACCCCTTTCCTCATCACTGGCCATGGCCTCCCAATCATCCAAATCACCAGCCTCTGGCTTTGGCTCTGCCCCTGGAAGAATAAACATTTCAATACCATATTCATGACTTATTTATGAAAATACTGATGAACAACACTATTGTTAGTTTTTAGGTATGTGTTTGATACTGACCGTCTGATACTTCGTACAGATTTGATAAAGCACTAGAGAGAGTTCTTGCTTGTGATTGCACACAGAATCACTATCAACAGTAGTCAAGCGAGAGACACACTGTTGGGTTTCATGTTTTTCGATTTGTAGTTCCTACTTTTATCATGACTTTTTTTTAAATGTTGACTTTAATAAACAAAAATGATACCTGGCCCCTCTTTAGGAGCATCCACTTCCTTCTTTGTCAAAATTGGCTCAGCCACCTCTGATGTAGGTGAGGTCACTTCTGAGGTTTCTGATGGGGGGAAAAAGAAAATAATGCTGCATTTGCAAGAAAACCAACTTATACCACAACTACAATCTGGTAATGGTTTTAAGTAATTTGTACCTTCAGGAGTTTGTGCTGTTGGTTTCTTTTTTCTCTTGTCGGAGTAAACAGGCTTCTTCTTTGGCACTGAGTCTTTGGATGGCACTTCAACACCTTAATATATATATATATATATATATATATATGTGTGTGTGTGTGGAGATTCATCATAAAGGTAGTTTTGCCACACAATAATGAAACCAAAAACTCGGATTATGTATATCACTTCTCTAAAAAATAACCTGGTAATCCAATCTGCATCAAAAGCCCAGAATTCTTTCTTTGTGTCTGTTTGTCTCACTAACCTTGGGCCTGCAGCGCACGGAGTGTGGCCTCTGCTCTGGCCCGAGCCTCTTTCTGTGCCTTGGTCAGCAGTTTGCCCTCTTTCTTCAGTCTCTCCTTCCTTTCCTTATCCTTCTGTTTCTTCTTCTCTTTCCTCTCTGCTTCCAATCGCTCCTGCAAGAAAACAAGGAAATTGGCATTTTAACAAAATCACAGTGATATCTGAGGGACTGAAGTAAAATCTGAATGACAAGGCAGATATATGAATTTGACTTAATTCTATTGTTGAGATGTGCACAAAGTCATTCAGAGTGGTCTGATGTGAAATGATCCATTACAGAGAAATTTACAGATTTAGACTTGTTTACGGGGGTGGTGATAGGAACCAGACGTTTGAAATGTTTAATGCCTCTAAAAGATTTCCCTCAGTAAGTAATTACATATAATAGTTGTCTGATTCCAAAGACATTCTTTTCCAATGGGTGTATCCGTGTTGTGAGTTCTGTTTCCTATTACCAGCACTGTAAAGAAATCCAAGTCACCACAAACCATTTCACATCAAACCACTGTGAATGACTTTGTTTAAATCTCTTTGATCTAATTATGCAGAAATTTTAAACAAACTGCTTTAAGCTACAAGAGACAGGAAATTCCTCTGTCAACCAAAGTAGGTCATTAACAGTAGCCTGTAGCAGTTTCTGAACAACATAACGGTGAAAAGATTGTTCCACTAACAGTAAAATGATTTCAAATTTGAACCACTTAAAAATCTCAGGTAAAGCAGTGTAGAATATCTTTTTAAAAGTGTATCACTTGAGTCTTATTTTAAACATCCAGCAAAGTCTGGATGAAAAGAATGCATGACTGACATCCCTCAGTTCAACACTCCCAATTGTCTACGCCACTGAAGCAAAACTGAACCCAACAGAGCAAAGTAGGGGCAACTGAGAAAAAAAGACTCTATATTAGGGCTGCAACAAACGACTAACTTGATAGTTGAATAATCTATCGATTATTGAAACGAATAATCGATTATTCGGATTATGAATCATTCAATTCCCCAAATAACTCCTATACTATCGACTTTTAAATTTAGTTTAAGGTTGGTTTTATGCATTTGCTAACTAATAATGAAGACAATGAAGATGGATAACATTCCAAAATTCACTGTTTTAATTAACTTACTGCTAATACAAAAGACAAATAAATATTTTTCCTTTTAAAATTTAAAACCAAGGATGTGCAAAGTATCAGCAATAAAATACAACAAAACTAAATCAGTTTTCCTTTAATCAAGTAAATAAAAACAATCTAAATTTAAAATGTAAATTTGAACAGTACATTCTGTACTTTGTGCCCTGTATAAACAGACAGCACCTAATCTAATCTAATATTATATACTAACGTTAAAACCGTATTCTCCGTTCATACTGCTCTTTTGTTATTGTTTGCCATCTGATGTCGACCAGAGGAGGATGGGTTCCCCTTTTTGAGTCTTGGTTCCTCTCAAGGTTTCTTCCTCTTGCTTTTTTAGGGAGTTTTTCCTTGCCACTGTCGCGACACTCAGGAGGCTTGGACCTGGATTTTTTTCTGTACAGCCATTTTTCCACAACGCCTGCTGTAAAAAGCGCTTTATAAATAAACTTTGACATGACTTGTTGCAACTAAATGCTACAAGTCAGCATCTCTGCGTGCTCTTGGAAAGTAAACAGGGTTGTTGTGAATAACAGTTACCTGCTTGTCTGTTCCAACTCCATTAACGATTCCAGAGAACAGCATTTCGAAATAGAAAATGTTACTGCTCAGCTCGGAACATGAAGTAGGGCGGCTTTGAACATTAAGATTAGCTAACTAGCTCGCTAGCACAACTATCTTACCGAGATGATAATCTTCTTTATCCGGTGAGCCAACGTGTTTGTTCTTCAGATGCTCCATCATGGAGGACGTGCTCCCGTGCCAGTTAAGGTCGGCTTTACAAATAGTCCTGACATCCTTTTTTTCTGAGTCTAGTGTGAAATGCTCCCAACATTTCTGAGAATTTTACCCAGCTTTTATGCGCCGACTTATTTGCGAGGGTACTACAGACATAAGCACTAACCAAGATTATGACTCTCCAGTTTACATGGAAAGAAGATAATTTTCACATAAAACATCAGCCATTTAGTGGTCATTGGAAAACATATATACAGGAAATACTTTGTACACGTGTATCGTGCACACACCAGAGCAAGATTAACTTACTTAGAAAGTACCCTGGGCTTTAATAGAGAATTCAACTGAAGGGAATGGTCATGCACTACATGTTCAAAAGTATCCAAATAGCCCTCATAGCATGTAAATTCAGCTATTTTAAGGAGTATAAAACTGTCCAGCACTGGGCTGGTGTGCAGTGGAATTGCAGCGAGCGACCAACCTGCTCTAGTCTCTGTGCCTCCAGCTCAGCTAGGCGCCTTTCTCGCTCCTCTTCCTCTCTCTTAGCCCGCTCTTCCTCCTCCTTCATCCGAGCCAGAGCCTCCTGCATGGCTTTCACTGCAGCTTTGCTCGGCCCTTTCTTCTTCTCTTTCTCTTCCTTCTCTCCCTTCTTCTTCTTCTTGTCTTTCTTCTTCTTTTCCCCCTCGCCTTCATCTGAAGGAAAGCAAATGTGGCAGAATTTTAAGATTTGTTGCCAGCTGGGAGACTGACTGTTTTTAATATAGCTTTCCAGGTTCCCAGGTCAACGGTGGGTTTAAAGTTATACACACCCACACTTATTTTTTTTTATCTGCACTTAATTTCCGAATTCACTGCGCATTTTCATTACATCAAAACATGTCTGGCTTTTCACGTTTAAAAAATGTAAATGTCGCACTACTCACAAAAAAAAGGGTATCAGTACAGTCCTTGGGTTCCACCAGCCAGTCCATATTTTTGTTCTGTCAGAGCTACAAACATACCTATTTTAGAGGTCAGTGGTTACCAATTTCTGGGGGGCAGTAGTTATCAATGCTAGAGCCAATACTGGAGTACTACATATTGTTTTCCTGCATCTGATCAGCTTTTGAGCAAGCCAATCCTGAAGAGGTTGTTAAAGCAAGATCACCACTAAAAAGTTGGGGCCTAGGTTTGAGAACCACCTCTATAAGCCGTGTCTGGAACATATATGGGCTGGCCTGGGTTCCTCAAGAACCAGATTGAGAAGCTCATGTTTTATTAGTGAAAATCACACCTTCTCCTTCAGCACCCTCTTGCTCTTCCGGCACGGCCGGTTCCACCTTTTTGATTTCTGTGGGCGGAGCTGCTGTGGCCGGAGCTGCTGTGGCCTTGGCCCCGGCCGTGGCCAGGTCTTTCTTGGCCACCTCTTCTTCTTTCTCCTTCTTAGCTCTCATCTTGGCCCTCTCCTCTTCTTTCTTCTTCCGGTCCCTCTCCTTCTTCTCTGCTCTCTTCTGCGCCGCTGTCTTCATCTTGAAGGTGCCATCATCGTCTCCCGCTTCCTCGTTGTCACTGTCAGCCTTCGCCTTAGCTTTTCCTTTCTTCTTCTGCTTGCGGTTGGCCTGTAAGTCATCATCCGACTGCTCGCTGTCACCACCTCCACCACCTCCTCCCTTCTTCGCACCTCCATCTTCATCTTCCTCTTCCGAGTCAGATGCTCCTTTCCTGCCACCTTTTTTCCCACCCTTGGTTTTTCGTCTCTGTTGCGATCCCTCGTCGTCAGAGTCTGAAGCAGCAGGAGCAGCAGCGGGAGTCTCCAACGGCTTCTTGCCCTTCGCCCGGCTCTCGTTCTCCATGTCGTCCTTACCCTGATCTTGCTCACCCTCCTCATCCTCTGGGCTGGCCCGCTTGCCCTTCTTGGCCTTCTTCTTCTCGGCTTTAGTCAGCACTGGTTCAGGTTCGGGTTCCTCTATGGAATCTGATTTCTGGAGACAGCAGATAGGAGATGTCATTCTAAACAAGCCTGTGACTCACTCTGACTGATTATGTGATCTTTAATAACAAGGCTTTAATTGTTAAGACAACTGAGACAACAAGATGAACTAAGATGCATTAATAACTGAGCTTTTATAATTAATTATATCATTAATAGTGTAATCCATAGTTTTTTGTAGGAAAACTTACAAATATACGCTATCACGCAAGTTGTTAGCTACTTGCTGCCGATTTCTTAGAATTTTTTTGCCAATTAAAAACTAAATAATATACTGATACGGTACACCTGCTTTAGTGCAAGCAATTGTCAAAAAATTTCTATACAAATCTGACAGTGATACACAACATCTACAGACAAGCAATTCTCTTCTGCAAGTAATGCAAAACTTGCAGATTTGTTTTTTTCCTTAAACAGCATGTAACAAATGCACTGTGCTACTGTGGGCTACCTTAGCTGGTTCTTTTGGTTTTCCACCTTGAGCTTCAAGTGATAATTCCTCCAGTTCTTTCAGGATGTCATCCTCACTGCAAAACAACATTCATTCATCAACTAACAGCACTACTGAGCAGCTGTTAAGACATTTGTAGGATTAGTAAGCTCAGCAACAATCATCTGTTAAACTGTATTAAACTGTACAATGCTTGAAGGAAAAAAAAAAAGGTAGAGGATCAGAAAGACTCACTCAAAGTCATCTTTCTTTGCTCCTTTCTTCTTCTTGCTCTTTCCTTTGCTCTGTTCCTTGGCTGCTCCAGCTCCCTCAATCTCAGCTGCTAGGGCATCGATGTCAATGCCATCATCTTTGGCACTATAAAAATAAAACACATAAAAACATGCATCATATAATTATTAGAGCTTGACCCACATTTCGGTCGGCCAATGAAATTGGCTGGCATTGCTTCCCTGTGGTTTTAGCAGAACTGGGGAAAAATATAACCAATAATTAGTAACGTCTCGGGTCACGACATTGTCGGAATTTGAACTTGTGATCTCTCAGTGATAAAGCAAAACCTTAAATGGCTGTGTCACCACCCCACAGACTACATTTAGTGAAAATTGCAAAAAATACAAAATGCATGTAAACATTTTACATTTTTTACTTTTTTACTTTATTACACTCTAAACTTCAGCTTGAGAGTGACAAAGCACAAAAAATTCTTCTATGAAGAAAATGCTATATATATTTAATAGATAATAAATTGCTGGGGGGAATATTGTGCACAAAGAATAAATAACACAGCAGACAGCCTGGACAACAAGCATATGCCAAAACTTGTGAACAATTCCAAGCTGGGAAATTCACAGATACCCACTCGTTACACTTCATCCCACCTGGCTACCATTATGCACCATTTAAAGAGTCCAGTAATCTCGGCAATCATAACAACCACATCTCAATGCAACATTAGCCAAAGCCATAATCATTTAACCTGAACAAGCACCACAAAAAGAATCTATATAGGTAAACATCAGAGTTTAGTGGTAGCTAGTGCTACCTTTCTTACCTGCAGGAAAACTTAGAGCAATAAGGAAAAGGACAAGGAAAAGGACAAGGAAAAAGACAGGCTGGGCCCTTTATATAGAGGAGCTTATGGCCCTCCTTGCATACTGTTGCATCAGCAATGGAAAGCACCTCTCAGAATGAAGCACATCACAAGATAGGACAGAACACACATACACAAAACTGCTGCCCTCAGCACACACAGAGACTGGGTGATGAAACTCACACAGACCAGCTAAGAGATGGATAGATAAACAGAGAGGTGGAAAGAGGGATAAATTCATGAATGGGAAAGAGTCTGACACTGTCCAGAGGGTACTCAGCCATTTAAATCTATGGATCATGCAACACAGAGCAACAGAAGCTTAACTGACCTATCAATGCTCCACCCACAAATATGTTCTTTCATAGCAACAGTTGCTAGGTTGGACAAGTTTTACAGAATGTTGTCAAAAGTCCTCCTCATAAGAAACTGAAGAGATCTTTGTTGGAGTCATTCTGGCTGTTACATGAAATCAAAACAGGCCAGATTGGAAATGGCAATGAAGAACTTGCCACCATGTTAATGTTAGCTGGATTACTCAGCAAAAAAATAAAAACTACATCTGATCTACAGGTCTGTGCAAAAGTCAAAGACCCCCTTTCTTTCAAATTTCAGTCAAAATGCCAAGTACAAGTTTCAGCATGAGGAAAAAACAGATTACCCAGAAGATTTAACAACTAAATATAAATTTGCTAGCAATTACTGTGTCCAGCGCCTTCACCCTTTTTACAGCTTCCATTCTTTTCAGCAGACTTGCTTTTCAAAAGAAATCTTTAGAGATATTTTTCTAAAGTTCAGTCTTCAAAGCTGGTCGCACATTCTCGTGATTCAAGTAATCCCAAACACATTCAGTGATGTTGAGGTATGGACTCTGGGTGGTCAGTTCACTGTTCTGAGAACACCAGCAGCTTTGTTTGCAAATTTTCTTTTTTGTCTATTTTCTTTTCTCAGTAACAGCTTAATGACAGCGACACATCCTTTTAGACTCATAGTGTTGAGTTGTCTTCTCACAGTAGAAGGATGGACAGAAACACCTGTGGATTAGAGCTGGGCGATATGGCCAAAAATGTTATCACGAAAACAAAATACATATCATTTGTTATCGATACATACAAATCATTATTTCTTTCAAGTTTGAAGGCTGATATTTGCTCCTGGGTGGTTAATTGCTGTTTTGAACTATTCTTTATGGTCAAAACATGACAAACATTCGCCAAACAGTGGAACAATTCACAAATCTGTGATGGGACAGTGTGAGAAAGTTTCTGGTGAGCTGTTTTTACCAGCTGGAAAAGCACGGCCGCAGTTTTTGTAATAGTCATAATTTAAGAAAGAAAAGATTATTTTAGCTGTCTGGTGACGAGTGCTCGGCTATCCAGTTACAAATGGTAAACAAGTGACCAACAACAGTGCTAAACTCTTTAGTTTCTTAACAACGTCACCTTAGTACGAACAGCGAACATTAGCTGGCTCGGTAGGTCAGTAATGGATCACACTGCCTTACTGCCATCACTCCTACCACATCCATGTCAGAGCATATCACAGTATTCAAACACCAACTAGCAGACGTCTGGATTTCTCTATTCTATTGTAGTAGTTTAAGGGGTGAACCGCAATATATCCAACGCTCGCTGTGTAAAAGCATTAACTGCAGTGTGAATCTCACACCAGACAATCAGAGTCCTCCTTTTAGCTACGCTGAAACTGAAATCGGTGCTTTTGTGTCTTGTTTCATCTACAGTAACATCAATCCGTTGTGTTGTGAGAGTGACGGAGCGCTGCTTCAAGTTAGCCAGCTGCTAAAAACAACTAGCCTAGAAAGATAGCGTTCTCTCACTCTCCAGTGCCTCACAGCTTCCTCAGTTCACTTTCATTTAAATCAGGGCTGTAAGTTGAATGCACCCACTTCTTTCTTTCACTTTCGTTGCTTGGGAATGCACTAATACTTAAATACGACTGTCCGAGCGCTGTAACAGCGCTTTATTTGTGTTGAGCAGATGTGATTTAACGCTGCTAAAGCTGGTTAGGATGTAAGGAAAGAGGAGAGTTTACTTTAGGGCAGTACAGTTACGCCACTGATCTCGTTGCTCAGACTTGGTCACAGGAGAGCAGATCACCGGTCGCTCCACTCAAACAGGGAATGTATAACTCCATGTTTCACCTGTTGCTAAAGACTCATCTTACCTGTCGCCCCCTCCCTCTCTGATCATGTTCAAAACTCAGAAGTGCGCCCTCTCCTGGCAACAGCAGAGTAGAGTCGCTTTCCTTGCAGTAGAAAATGTATTGAACATTTTTTTTATCGCTCTATCGAGGAAAAGTTGTATCGCGATAATCATCGTTATCGTTTTATCGCCCAGCCCTACTGTGGATTTTGTTTTTTAGATCTGAAGCAAAACTGGAGTCTGATTTTCTTCTCTCTCTCGAAGATGAAAGCTTTAAAGTACTGTTTATCTGATGGTGACAGTGTTGTCTACCAGTTTTTGCATGTTTGTCAGAAGTCCATTTTTTTTTTTTAAGTGCAGTATGTGTATGTAATGGCCATTTTGGCTAGATTTGTGCTACAATCTCTCATTAGACTCAATCAGGCTTCTAATAATATCCTAAAAAGTTTGTCCAACCTTGTAAGAGTTGGTATGAAAGAATGTATTTGTGGGCAGAGCAGGGCTAGGTCTATTCTACATTAAAAAAATGTAGTAGAGATCATCTGAGCGGAATTTGCCAATGGATTTTTCTCCTTACATTCCAGGAATTTTAGGAAAGGTGAATACTTCCCGAAACAAAGTGCAACACTTTTTGAAGTGTGTGACTGAAGCACACTTTTATTGCTACATAGTGCAATGATGACATACCTTGTAATATATTAATATGACCTCAGTGACATGGTTCCTCATTGACCTGCACTATTAATTTTGATAAAAACTATTTATACTTGTTACACAGTGTTGTTTTAATGTTAGAACCCTTACAACACTCAAAAAAAAAACCCCAAAAAAATCTGTGTAACTGGTTAAGGGGTAAATTTTCATATTACAGCTTTCAAAGATATCAGTGTGCCAAAGGCCAATATTGCAATCATTGAGAAATACTACATTGTGCAGTCCTATTTGACGTGTTCTCATATATTTATTTATGAAACCATATGAAACAGTACGGGTGAGCAATATATGTCACGATATTTGAAGACATTTTCACGATACACATTGTGTGTCATGATATTTTGTTTTTCTGAGATTTAATACGTTGGAACTGACAAAGTAGAACCTATAGTGCCACATACAAAAACACTACAGTAGTAGTAGTAACAATAATAATAATAATAATAATCAACAACAACAACAACAACTAGTTGTAACAGCAGCTTATAATAAAGCTACAACCAGAATTACTTTTATTTAATGTTTTACAAACTGAACTAAATCCAGTTAAACAGGCCTAATGATGCTCACTTTGTAATGAAATGTAGTTGGTCAGTGTTCTTTAAGCACTGATGATATCCACAATATCCTCAGAAAAGTGTACTGTGATATGATTTATTAAGATAGCAACAAAATATCGTCACATTGCCCACCCCTAGTTTACACAGCATCAAAACCTCAGGTCACAGATCACCCATCTTCCTCAAAAGATGGAGGACAGCAGAACTCCTCAAGCACTTAATCAACTTATCTGTCTCCCTCCTGCCTAGACTTCTCACGCTTTATCTGCTAAGCATCACACTACGCCAAGTTCAGTGTCTCAGCTTACTGTAATTACAACCTGGTCGACAGGGGAAAAAAGAAGTATCATTAGGGCCTCCCAGCGTGAGAAACGAGCCACATACCAGCATGATGCAACAGCGAGGATCTGAGAACAGTATTCTCAATCCAGATGCTACTACCAATAAAGAAGAAGCAATGTAGCTCAACGGAGGTAAAGGAAACTCATCAACACTCTCGACAAAGACACAGGAAAAGCAAATGGATGCTCTGCTATTTACACGTGTGTCAAGTATTATATATGAATCTGTTATCTGAGCTACATTCTAATCTTCAAACCAGACAGCTGGACAGAAATAATGTACTATCACTCAGCAACCTTATGGATATGTCTGAATGGCTTACCTTCCAGGCCTAAGTCTCATAGAAAACATAAGCCCAAAATCATCTGCTGTCAAGAGCCGGTCATCCTTATTAAAGCAGTCACGTCCAGTTTTGTGAATCACACTAACTTGCACATGGGCAAGACTTCACTTAGCCAAATAACTTCAGCCCAAAGTCAAGCCTGTTCAGGTGAATGAGGGCTCAGGGACATTCCTATTGAAAAAACCTCTCTCTCTCACTGTTGTTCAGCTTTATAGAGAAATCTTGACTACCTCGTTCATTTATACAAAACAGGGAACTGGGGAAGTCCAGGGTCAAATTTTCAGCCATGAGGATCTACAGTGTGTGCAACTCGCTGACCCCAAAGATGTTAAAAGGCACTACCAGGAACAAAGGTAACCCACAGCATCCCACACATTAGCAGCCTTTTGGGAGACAATGCAGGGGAGTCACAATGAAAACGGATGATGCTGCACGCTCACAGCTCACAGCTCACGAGAACGCTTAGAGAGGAGTGAAATGACAGCCATCACTCTTCAGCTGACAAAATCCCCACATCTCACAGGTGCAGATGCCATGAACAAGAGATCACAAACTCACCACCAGTTAAGTGACACAACACTAACTGGCTCCCTGGATGATAAGATTTGCACTTGCTGGCTAACACAGCAGGGTAATTTTCGCCTGCGAAGCTGAAGTTGACCTATTCACCAGCTTCTTGTTAAAAGTTTTCCGTTCCACCTTAAACAGTGCAGCAGTTACAGTCTGGCGCCTCAGGAAGCTAACATCAGCCTCGTTTTTCGTACAACGTCCACACTCACTTTAAAACGGTCCTCCTCTCAAACCTACAGACGTACACAGCGCTCAAGTAAAACTAGAGAACTGAAAGAGACATCCGGCTTCGTGCGGTTAGCCAGAAACTGAAACGGCTGGTAAAAAGGTAACTAACCCCGGTAAAAGCTGGTTGCTAACCTAGCTACATCAGCTAACTGAAACGGGCAGGCCTAGCCTGGGAAGCTAAGCTAACTTAGCTAAATGCCAGCTCTCTGTCTCGTATATAATGTTTATGGTGTACGTGAGGGCTGTATTTTCGCCAACAACGGAATTTCGCCTTAGACAGATGATACCGTACCCGTCATCTCCTTTATTTTTCTGTTTCTTTCCCATGGTGTGTGGTATAGCAGCGTCTCCCCTCGTTGCCGTGTGTAAGTCACTGCTTAGCGCATATGGTCGGCTGCACCAGTACTGCGCATGCGCTCGTTGAAAGGAAGCGTTCGCCGATTGTTAAAGCAACTGGATTGACCACGACCATTGCAAACACAACCCAATCAGATCCATGAAACTTCTACACATCAACAAATGGCAAATAAATGGTTATTTTTATTGTGACATATTACCCTAGACTACCTGTACAATCCGCTAGGACGCGTTATTCTCCAAACGGTGCAGAGCTTCAGCCCATCCGAAACGTTAGACTGTTTTTCAGGACGCCCTCGATTGCGCAACTCTTCACAATGGCAGCTTTCGTTCCAGCCAACCACATCTGTACAAATTTCCATTTATTCACTGATTTACCTGCAAATAATTGTACGACGTTGTCTACACAGCATATGTAGATACATTTATTTAGACATTTAAAAAATAAGGATCTTCGAGGGTTCTTTAGTAATACAGAACCATTTCATACTTAAAGGTTTCATTGCATGGTGAAATGGTTCTTCAAATTGATGTAGAATGTGTTGCATATGGTTCTAAATGGTTCTGCTATTCTGCTATTACAATGTCAAGCTTGTAACGACAAAAACCCTTTTGGTACTATATAGAATCATATGCAAAACATTCTCCATCAATCTGAAGAACCATTTATGCATGAAATGGTTCTATAAAGAGCCTATGGTATGCCTTTACTTAAGAACCCTTGAAGAACCATATATATATATACATATATATATATATGTATATATATATAGTGTCCCCACTCACTTTATTTGAAATTTCTACCTTGTACCCTCCACTGGCCACATCATGACGCTCATCTATTTTATAGGTCCATTATGAAGGTGTACATTTACAGACTGCATCCCATTTGTTGTCATACCCGATTTGTCAACCAACCTCTACCCCATTCTTTATTGATCAGTCTCTGACCACAGGGCCGCTGCTGACCAGATATAATTTGCACAGCAGTGACATTGACTGGTAGGCGCATGGTAGTATGGTAGTATTTCTCCTTGAGTGACAGGAGCCAATCAAATGCAACTGCCATAAACATAATACCACAAAAGGGCATTTTTGTTTTGGGCAAGGTCATAGTTCAAAATTTTCTAATTATGACCACACCCAAAATGTTGACAAATCCTGGTGCATCCACCAAAAAAGCATCCTTTTTGCTTGATTCAGCCTTTAAATACACAGTACTGTGCAAAAGAAATGATACATTAAGTCATTTACTTGGGCAGTAGGGGTGGCCCATATGGCACAAATATATCACAGTACTTCAAGACATTTTCACTGTACACAATCTCTCATGATATTTTTTCTGTATTCTAAAGTGTCAGAACAGGCCAAATGGGTCAGTAGCGCCACATTTAAAAATACTTTCAGAAACTTAAAGCACAAGTGATTTTATTTAAAGTTTAACATATTAGGCTGCACTGAATCAAATCAAACAGTTAATTAAGCTCTGTTTGTAATGAAGCATTGGGTATAGATCTTTCTTCAAGTATTGACAACATCCACAATATATGCTGAGAAAAGTATATTGTGACAATTTATCTCAGTGACAATAAATATTGTTATATTGCCTCGTCCTACGGGCCAGTAAGCATTTATTTGCTCAGAACAGCACTAATATTAGAATAAATACAAATAAACAATACATCCTTAGCTTAATTATTTCCAAACCTAACCCATTTTTCAAAGTCAGGAACCAAACCAAATCTTCTAACTATATTCTTCAGTATGTTGTGTTTTACTGTACTTGTTTATTTGTATTTATACATACATATATATATATACATACATTTTATACACACACACACACACACACACACACATATACATTGATGTTAATTAATTGTTTATTTAAAGTGCCAGTGCAGGGATTGCATAAGCTGCTAGGGCACATGGTTGTGTGTTCAACATATATCTGAACATGACAAAAGAAAGATGAATTAAGAAATGTTTTATTCACATCACTGCCACAACATTTTCATAGACACTCTGGGTCTTTCTGGCAAGGTCAGGAGCCTGTGAGACCGTTCTCATGAAGGCTGCCACAACCACTGCGACTTCACTTGGACAGAACCGGATGCCCGTCAGGGCAGAGCACAGTTCCTTCCCAACTTCAGGAGGTAGCCAATGGTGGGGTATGTCCATGGCACACTTTTCTACAACGCCATTCTTGATGTCCATATCAAGTCCTATGTTTGCACCTTCAGCTGTAAAAGACGTGCAGATGCTGAACTTGGGGGTCCTGCCGTAAACCCACTCCCAGGCTTGTAGGTCAGCTGCCATTTTATGAATGCCAGGCATTAATTGTTCCACACTGGGGTCCACAGTGATGACAGGGCTGTCAAACCCAAACTCTGCACTGTAGCGGGAAGCTATAGCTCCCATAATGGCACTGAGATCCAAGGACGGGTCCTCATCCTGGAGGTTCTTCACAGGAGAAGGTACGCTGGGGGTGGCGTTGCTTTTGATTCCTTTGCAGTTGCTTTGAAGCACCGAGGAGAGCAAGGATCGATCAGAAGAGCAAAGAAGGGTGCAGTGATGATAAGCAGCTGTTCTACCCAACTTTGCAGCGGTGCCTGAGATCTTATAGATGCCATTAAGGACAATGTCAAACCTATCCGTGGCACTAACGTCCAGATCAGGCCTCAGGTCCTTCAAAGCACCAGTAACTACTCTTAGGTTCCTATGACGATCATACTTCTTCTTGGAGGTGAAAAAGGTCAAGTTTATGTTTCCCAAATCGTGGAAAACCGTCCCACCACCGCTTCGACGCCTAGCTAATGGTATTCCCATGCTCCTCATCAAACTCAGGTTGCACTCCTGCCAAGCATTTTGGTGCCTACCGATAACTACAGCTGGCGAGTTTCTCCACAGGAGCAGCACGCTTCGCTCCTGCACGTCTATGTGCTCGTGTATCCAGTCCTCCAAAGCCAGGTTTTGGAAAATATCAGTAGATGCGGACTTGAGAACGATCCCTCCTTTACAGGCACTCTCGAAATACGCTTTTAAAGTAGAGCTACTCATGGGTCGCAGAAACAGGGCAAAGTCGAGCAGTGTCCTCATTGACACTCTCGAAAAAGTCCTCACAGTCATTGTTGTCCTTTCAAAGTCCTCAACGGCCCAATCAACAGAAGCTTATCCATAGGTTTATGCGTGTTTATCTGTTTATGTGACAGATTCAGTATTTAAAACAGACATATTTCACATAGTAACCTATTTTGCACCCCCTCAGCTGCCATGTTGAGTATCCGAGTTGTTCATCCTGTGTCAACAAACGTTTTGGTGACTTTTTTTTTCACTAGCGCCATCTAGCGGCAGGCCAAATACGCGGAGTGCTCATCGTTTCTATGTTCCTGTACAAGGTCAGTCAGCAAAAATATCTTATGTTTTAATATAACTTTAAAAAAAAAATGTATTTATTTTATATTGTTTAACACATCTAACTGATTAACGTAGATAAGTGAAATGAATCCACATTACTTTTTTTTTGTTTTAAACGGGCTTTTATTTTGGAAGCAGTGGGGTCCTTAAACCAGCCATTACGTTTACCGTCTTCAAGTTGACAGGTTTAGCGGGTCGGGAGGTGAGTTTATGGTTACTCTTTGGCAAAAAAGAAAGGAATTCTAAATGAAAATGGTTATGATTGTGCATGTTAGTATTCATGACTAAACCAGCGTGGTGTTTTTATCATTTAATCGGTGGAAACATTGAATTAATTTGCAGTTAGCTCTGGTGCTAACGTTAGCTAGCTGGGTAGTGAACGTCCACTGACCTTGCCTCATATGAAGTCCAGTGTCCGTTCAGTTTTCACGGGATATTTTAATGTGTGATAAGGATTTACACAACTTTAGATACGTTTTAGATACTGTTTGCCAGCCTCGAGAGTATTTACACGTTTAAAAGATGTGTAATAACCGTTTATGGCTACGTTGTGGATAACCACCTTGAGTCTTGTGAAGACATTGGGGGATACAGTGGCTCAGACCAACTACAGTTTATCTTTTAGCATATTTTAAAATGTAACTGCTGTTTGCATTCAATTAAATATTATATTTTAGAAGCAAAATTGCACTTTTGCAATTTTGTACTTGATAAAACAGTTTTATCTCTCAGATGAAAAGAATTTACATTGGCCCCACGATGTATTTGGACATTTGTGGTATTCTTAATGTATTAAAATAATTGTGTAAAGAAACAAAATGTCTAACCAAGTGACATTTATTTTAAACACATCATTGCAAGACTGAGTTTTTCTTTTGGCAAAATCTTCTTTTAAAAGTTTGCTAGTTTTAGATCATTATTGTTTGAGTAATTTTTTTTGCAGACTTCTTCAGATTTGCATCCAGAATGTCTTTGTGCCCTTCTGAGTTCATGATCTCATCAATAAGCGCAAGCTCACCAACAGCGCTGCAAGATAAACAGCCCAGACTTTGACGATTCCACCTCTTTACTTTACAGTATTTGCAGTGCAGTCTGGTTGGAATTTCTCTAGAATTTTGGTTTTTAAACTAATACAAAAACAACACACTCCTCACTGTCTGAACGCCTAGGGTTGGTTTCCCCAGACAGGGATTAAGCCTGGTTGTGGGCTGTATTTTCTTTCAGCTTGAGATCTGTATTCTAGTCTAGAACCAGGCTTAATTCCTGTCCAGGAAATGGACATCAAATGCATGTTGGATTGAAAATAGAGAACATAAAATTTGTACAGCTTAATTAACTAGTCAGCTTTTTTTTATGTAATCTTTTTTTAGTAGGGCAAAACTCTTAAAATGCAGTCAAAACCAATGCCAACCTGGTGCTGGCCTATTTAAATAAATAGTTGAAAGTATGAGAATTACAATATTAAAAAGTCTTAACTTTTTACGTACTTTGTGCAATTCTACTCCTAACTAACTGCCTGTTTTTTACATGTGAATTCTTGCTGTTGCAGAATGGCTGGCCGTCGCGCAGCACTCAAGGCCATTGATTGGCTGGCATTCGCCGAGCGCATCCCACCGAACCAGAGGGGCATGTTCAACTCCCTGAAGACCAGGAGCGATGCCATCTCTGCCAAGTATGTTGAGTGTTGATCATGTATAAATACTTTAATAAAGGTTGGGCGCCCCTGGTGAAAAAAAGTTAACATGTCCTCTACAGAAAACACACTTCACAATTCATTTGCTGAATTTAACATATTGAGAAAATTAAGTAAAATATGACTCCTGCACATTTCATGTTTTGTCTTATTTTTTTCTCAGTATATTCAATTCAAATGTGCACTGAAAAGTGCAGAAAAGTGTCATATTTAAGTTTCTTGTCTGTAAGGAGCGTGTTAACTTATGTTCACTTAGAAAATAAACAAAACATATAATTGGACCAGGAGTGTTTCAGCTTTTAAATATGATTGTACATGTATAAATACCACATCAGGATTGAGTGGGTTGTGTTTGTGCAACACCACATTCCAGCAAATTAGGTCCACCATCTAGGCATTTATTATATGCTGGACGTTGTGTTTTCACTAAATTCTTCACACATTTGAATAGTGACGGTATTTGGTCAGCTTTATGAAGCACATACCCAGACATTACACGATAGAGTTTTTTCCTTCATGTTATGTACATTAACCTCTATAATACAGCAATTCTAGTTATTTTGTGGTGTAGCAATAAGTATAACCCATCCACTCATTGTGTGTGTGTGTGTGTGTGTGTGTGTGTGTGTGTGTGTGTTATGCAGGTTAGCTTCTCTGCCTGAAGCTCCTGCTGCTGTCGACTGGGCCTACTACAAGAGTGTGGTGGCCAAAGCAGGCATGGTGGATGAGTTTGAGAAGAAGGTGAGGCATCTAGTTGCATTCATTGTCCAAGATGTTTTAACTAAGCCCAAATGAACCTTTTGACAAGTTTAGTCCAACACAAGTCTTTTGTTTTTTGTATTAGGCCTTTGATAGGAGCAAGTACAAGCAATTCTCTTGATAATACTTTTCTTTCTGTGCACGCATTCATTCCAAAGTTTGGAATCAGTGTTTTTTTTAATTAATTTAATTAATACAAACCAAAAATTTACAGTATGATCAAATTTGGATGCTTGTGCACTTCAACTTCATAGTAGTGATTGCATGACTTCAGATTTTTAAAGTCGACAGTTATGTGATGCAAGTCGAGTTGATGTGGAGTAATTGCTGATGACGTCATGAATAAAACTCTAGGAGAAGGGAATCCTTTGCAACAAATGACTTTAAACATCCATGAAAAGCCAAACTCCACATGTCACTAGAGCATCACGTCTCCTTTCCAGCTAGCTCTGGATTGCATAGCTAGTCCTCAGGAAACCAAAAATACGGACCCCAGAATCCTACAAATTTCTGTTCTCTTAGGTGGCCTCGCTGAGTTGCTCGCCCCTGGTAGAGGTCCAGAGAGCCAGAGAAATTTAGAGCACCATAACTCTGCGAAAATAAGAGTAACTTGTTTCAAACTTTGCAGGATTATAGGGCCCTCTCCCCAGCAACACATGACGTTTTGTTGTAGTTATCGGGAAACCAGAGATAGTGACATTTAACATCAGATCTTTGAATCACTGTAGATCGCCGGAGAAATAGTAGAAAGAAGTCCATGGGTCTGTAGAGCATGACTTTCCAAAGAGCCCTGGATCACATTGCTAGCCTTCAGGAAACTAGAGATATGGACCCCAAAAACCTATTTTCTTCTCTGGAGCATCCTTGTTGTTAGTGTTAGAATCAGGTGATTAGCAGCTAGTCACCATCTAGCTTAAATTGTCATTGCCAAGCAGTTAAGTCGGCTAGTTGACTATTCTGTGCAACCCCTACCTTGTAGATTTCAAATAATTAGTAGTAAGGTTTGAACGGAGCTGAAGATGATTATATAATAATTGAGAAATTTATAATATTCTGAAACAAAATTAACATCCGGAATGCCTCTGTTTGAAAAGTGACGATCAAAGCTGGTGGCAGATAACCTTAAAATTACTGCAAGTAGATAATTACAGTATAACATTTATAATTTAATAACTTGTTCCCAGTAAAAGTGAAATATTGAAAACAAATCTCTGGTGTCTAACTTATTCATAAGTATAATACGTATATATTATTTTTGAAGATATCAATAATTATTCCAATGACAAGTGATTCCAAACATTTGAACTGTAACATATGGTTGTTCATATCTCATGTTTTTTGCAGTTCAGTGCTCTGAAGGTTCCTGAGCCAGTAGATACTCAGACCAGCGCCATCAATGCACAGGAGGCAGAGGCAGTAAGTGCTAGATTTGCTCATATTCCATTAAATTGACCTGCAAGAACTAAATTTTAATTCAGCACAGCCAAATGACTGACAGATCGTTATCTTGACATGGTTATTTTGCCTTCTTCTCATTGCACAAAGAAGGCTGACAAACATTGTTTTAGATGATTGAAACACACCATTCTAATGACTGTTTTCTCTTAACTGTCTTTTCAGAACAAAAATGCTGTTGCCTACATTGAGGCTTCCAAAGCCCGCATTGCTAGTTACGAGAAAGAGGTACGCCAATCATTCAGATTTCTTGTTAATAAATTAGGGCTGTATGAGGGATGAGTCAGAATGTTCAGATCTTCAAATAGTCATGAAAGTTACAAAAAATCGAATAATAAATTAGGCTTTATCATATGCAAATGAGCTTGTTAAATGTAAATACTCATAAGTATGAAAGCCCTAAAAAGCCATTTTATTGAGTTTTGTTTGAGTTTGTTTGAATTACCCCAACATAACAAATGTATAAATAAAGATATTTATGCCATTACCATGACATAACGTATGTTATCTCAGTAAAACAACATTTGTTTTGCTGTGATAATAACATAAATATCAGGAGATCTAGGAAAATAGGTTGTTAAAATGGAAAACAGAGTAAAAAAACATACAAATCCATGGGAAAACGAAAGAACCATGAGCTGTCTGAACTCTATTCTCCACCAGAGGGCAGTGAAGAACCTGCGTCTCCGAGTTTCTTATCTGTTTACTCCAGCATCGAAAGACTAATAAAGCTGGTTAAAAGTTACCACATACCAGACAAGAAGCAGCGTGCTGCGCCAACAGAGGGTCTCTGGTACCAGATAGCAGATAGTGACAAGTGCAGCTACAGTACTAATACTAATTTTGACTGAAACTATCACTAGGCTGCACAGTACATGTTTTGTTGATCATTACCACTGATACTGATATCGCAGAAGGATGCATAATGCAAATTAACATTCTAACCAATGACAAACATTTTGCTTAACCAGGTTTTTTATGCACACCAGTAATTAGTTATAGGTCTTACTAAGACTGCTCCTCTGACTAAGTCATGGTCATGTGAACAGGAAAAAGGAATCAAATGTTTTAAATGGTGGGAAACTCATACGTTGTATAAACTTCCATGACTAAGGTGCATCATGAAGAGGGTGTTTGCTGTTTGTAAAATCAGACTATGCTTGCATGCATGTAAGCAACTATAAATGGACTACGACTCATGTAAACATCTTGGTCCAGCCCAGAATTATTTAACATTTACCTAAGAGCTTAGATGAGCCACTGTGTGCACGTAAGCATGGTTATTGTGTCCTGTGGGGAGCCTGAACAGTGTCGGATGTTCCCAATGAGTGTTTTGATGAATCAAGGAACTCCCATAAAATAAAAATGTTAAGTAATTCTAGTCAAAATAATACAAGCAAATCTATAACCTTATGTCAGGGTGTTTGTAGTATATTGTAAGGCATATGTCAGGTAGCAGTATAACCAAAATTATGGTATTGAACATTAGCATTCATGTTTGCATCTTCAGCATGAAGTCTGTTTTGAGAGTTGTCTTTTTCTCTCACAGCTGGAAAAGTTCAAGAGCATGATTCCCTTCGATCAGATGACCATCGAGGACCTGAACGCTGCGTTCCCAGAGACCACCCTGGACAAGGCCAAGCACCCATACTGGCCACACAAGCCTATTGCTGAGCTGTAGTGTCCATAAATAAACATGTACAGTCTGTAACCATTACATCATGGCTATCTTTCTTTGAATGCTAACTTATCACTGATGTCTCACATTCTAGGTTGTAGACACTATTGAGGGGGTTTTATGGGTACGTTTTATAGGCAGATTTTCCTGGGGGGAACTGAGTAGTGTTCTTACTATATGGCTTGTCAGAGTTGATTCTCATGCTGGGTGCATTAGAATACAATCAGCGATCACTGTTTAAAGCTCACAGTCAGCTGAATAGCCCTATTTTGCATTGTAGCATTAGTTATTTTCATTATATTAAGCCTCAGCTGCTTGCTGCAGTTCAGACTGGGGTAGGCAATTTGACCTCTGTGCTCGATGTTACACCGGTCACCGGTGAGTTGCCACCAGGTGGCAACAGAGATCCCTTGTTTATAAAGTGATGTGTTATGGGGTTGATGACTATAATCTAATCAGTATATTTGGGTCACAGGTTTGTGTAATTACTCACAGACTATCAGCCTCATCTCTATTTAACAAATTAAGGATCAGTTTCATGCTGAAAGAAAGGCTTAATAAAATAATAGGTGGATGGGGAATGTTAGAAAGGACTGATGTAATATACCTGCATCTTTTTTTGAATGTGATATGTCACTGCAATCAATACAACACTACCTTTGCACCATGTTTCTCAAGATCAGAGATTAAAGAAAAAACTTTGTGCTACACTTTTGGCCAGCCAATCAAAAGGCAGTGATGGCAAATTTAATTTCTCACAAAAATATCTGATGCTAATGAGAAGTAGATTTATAAAAATATCTGATGCTGCACAGTAAAGCTGAACAATAAATGGGAATTTAGAAAAGTCTCCCCTGTGTCTGTAAACTCAAGTGTCATGTTTCTTAAAACACAGTGAAATCTGTATTTTAGCATTATTGAGGCGCTGCAATGCTAATGGAAATACCTTAAAGGGAAATCCCACCTATGTTTGAAATTTTTAATGTATTTTGCTCTTTTCCATATGTTTCCATGAGTTGTGGACAGATTTATTTGTATTGCTTTGATGAAAAATGTGCCTTTCTAGACAAATGTATAAAGTCCGAATAGATCTCATTGACTGAGAAAGGAGCCCAGGGTCTCAAGCCTCTGAAATCTATGCCCCAGAAAAGGAAAATTAGAAACTATTAGGATTAAAACCTAACGCTTTTGTTTTCTTTGGAAATTGGCTTAATGATTTTTAACAGAGACCACTGTCCATGTAGAACACCCTTAGATCCTATTAGAAAACCACCAAATTCATTAATCAGCCGTCGGTCACCTGGTAAACTATTAGGATCCTGTACGTTGTGATATCAACCCATCAAAAAAGCCAAAACACTAACAAAAACAAAACACGAAGAGGTTTTGGTAAAACTAAGTTTTTGACCAGGACTGTATTTGTTTGTACACACTACTATCCTGTAGTTACTTCTATGAAATACATGCAAAGACAGTGTAGATAGTATGGATAAACAAAATGTGTGGGTAAACAAAAGCGTCATGACCTTTGGTTCACTAACAATGTCGAGAGCTAAACGTCGGTAAATGTCTCCAGGATGGACTGCTTTTCCTCAAAAGACTTCACATGATTTTTGTTTGGTCTCAAGCAGCAAGTTTTGCAGAACTTTCGACATAACAGTGGAATCACTCTTTAAAAGGTTTTACAACGTAGGAGCAACGAAATGTGACTACAAAACGAACAGAAGTTAGCCGGTTCCGTCAGGGTTTGATTATTGAAGGTAGGCAACGGTGATTGGCTACTGCTACGGGTGCTCCGGTCGCTGATTGGACGCTTCTCTAACGTGGGTGGGACTTCGGTGCGTGGAGGTTTCCGCTGTGAGTGCGGTTTGACAGAAGAGGAGGCGAGCGGCTGGGTTCAGGTAAACAACTCACTGTTTACCGCTGCTTTGTTATAACGCTGAGGTATTCGACCGCGCTGGTTCCCTACAGTTTTAGCTAAGCGCTTCCTTTAGGTTAATTTTGCGAGCGCTGAGCCGTTAGGAGGGCTGTGTTCGGGCGACAGGTCCGAATGTGTCTGGCGGTGGATGGTGGTGATGGTGCTGACAGCGCAGCGCAGCGGCGTCACTGCAGACCACCGGCCAACGGTCACATTAGACACAGAGGACACTGCGTGAACAGCCTCGTTTACTTCACTTATGGAAGACTTATAAACGCAGAACGGATTTTTAACATTTCTTTTCGCTGTTTACGTTACCAGCCAGGGTTTACTTGAGGCTAACGAGCTGCAGCTCGAGCTGAAAGAGAGTTTACTTTAACCGACGGCTAACGGCAGCTAAGAGAGCTGAAGCCTGTCACCATGGTGATGATGTTTACTTGAGATTTTAGCGAATGAGTTTAACAGACTTGGGTATATTTTCCGTAAGGAAGTACGCGGAGAAGTGATGTTCCGGTGTTCAGACGGCTTGTCACCAGCAGAACACTCCGTGTTGTAGTTGTTAGCTGTAGCTAACAGGCTAGCACGAATCAGGAGAGCGGTGCGGAAAATCCGCATCTCTCTTGCGCCGCTAGCGCAGCATGGCTGGATGTGGGCCTGCCACCATGCACTCAGATGGGGATGTTTTTTTTATTGTTAAAGTAGGAGAGAAAGATTTTTTGTTGTAGTTAGCTAGGTTATCTTTTCACTCGATCCTTATGAGTATTTTCGTGAGGGCTCTGTAACGTCTTTCTGACGGAATGTAGTCAGTATACACTAGTACCGGTTTGAGGGTTGTCACGGTGCACGTTTTCAGGTTCAATACGGTTATTCGATTCTGAGGGTTTCGATATTTTATGCGTTAGAAATGTATTGATTCTATAGAGCTCTAATTATAGTTATATTACAGACATAGATTTGGCTCAGAAAAGCACCAAATGTATTTAAGAGTAAGCCTGAAAATAGCATGTGCTTGTGTAAAATGGGGATCTTATGAATCAGTAACTGAGCTATAGAGAACAGAAAAATAGATAGGATGCCCCCATTGGCCTAGTCTTGACAGTGGATTCCACACTGTTTCACTGTTTTGATCAGTCATTATTGTGATTTTCCATACTACACTGATATCGTTTAACTCAATGGACAACTTGAATGTTGTGAGGTTGTAGTGACATTTGACTGATGACCATGAGGACAAATGCTTTTTACACAAAAATGCAGCTTCTATTCAGGTGTAGGCCGAGCAGAATTTAGCAAAAGTAATACTAACGTCAATGGAGATACCTCACAGGAATACAAACTTGTGTGTGTGTTTACAATTTCCCACAGTTGTCTGACGCTTAAGGTTACACACTGAGCTCATTGTTAGTAGGAGACAATGGCTACTAGGAGGTGCCCGTTAGTGGCCAAGCGAAGTCTGCTGTGTCGAAGCTTTTCTAACTTGCCCCCTCCTCTTGCTCTTATTCAGAACAAGAGAGCCAGTTTGAGGGGTGGCTTGGACTGTAGACTGCAGTCTATTAGACACACTTTAGTTTGGCTGAAGAATGAGGGAGGATGAAGAGAGAATCTTTTAATGACTCTTCTTTCTGTAATCGTTCTGTACAAGTAGCATACTTCTTCACTAGTGACCCTAGTAGTTCACTAGTAGTATGAGTCTCAAATCTCTCCTTATCTCCCTTAAGAGGCCTGGGCCCACCAATTTACTACAAACTTCTATAACCTAAGAATAGCTCAACCAGTTTGCATTAAAGTCATTGTAGTTACAGAATAATAAGCCTTAATATGTAAACAGCCTGGGATTGTAAGGGGTTAAATGGATAGCTCCGGTTTAGAAATCTGGCTGGAGGGCCAAATTCACTGTAAAATAATAAACATGTGTACACCTACAACCGTCTCACAACAGTTGAATTCTGTATTAAAGCACCAAGTTATTAAAAGCCTTTGTGCTGTTCGTTGATTTATCTTTGACCATTATTTTGCAGTGAATATGTTAAGGCTGAAAGCTGAGTTGTTTTTATGTCAAAATTGCAATTTGAAAGAATGCAATTTTAACAAATAGCTTATGTTGTCTATATTAGCAAGCCTTAAGTTTTAAGTGGGGAAATTTAACGTAATAACACTGAGCTTGTGAACTGCCTGTAAATGAGTTAGACCATTTAGAAGCAAACAAACACCCATGTGCTGTGTACATGAAAACACAACTACAACCAGTGCATTACGTTTGGTGGTCAAACCTCAAGACAGGAATAGTGGATATGTTGGTCTTCTTGGCCGAAAAAACAGCTCTGGACCTTTATAGAATTGATAGAAAATAATAGCAGTTTAAATCATAGTCACAATGTTAGTCAGTAATATCACAATTAGATATTTGTATATAGATTGATGTGCATATGAAGTAAAATAGTCAGAAGCCATAATAAAATACCCTACATATGAATGGATCAGGAGCTTTGTTAAACCAAGGGTCTGTCATATTATTTCCTTATGAATTAGGCTAACAGATGCCTCAGGTAATATTCAGTGTTATTCTTTAAGTTAGTTCTCTCTCTTTGAAATGAATGAAGTTTTTTTTGCTGTGTAAGTGCTATTATTCCCAGTGTGGGAAAGTGAAAGTGCACTGCTAGCTTGGCGCTAACATATGGAAATAGACGTACTGTGAGAATTGTCATAGATGTGGTAATTAGATGCAGCTGCTTTTAAAGTGAAGGTTTCTTCGTTAAGCCACTTGAGGATGGCCTACTGCTTTTTTCTGTATTAAGCTAATGTTCTCAGACGCTGCACATTGTCTAATATCCTGCTAGTCTACACTTACTTACTGTAATGCACTTGATGGATCATAAGACCCCCATCCTCGCCACCCACTGATTGAGTTGACAAAGTTTAAGTCTGGATGTATTCAGAAAGAAAGAAGAAAAGTGGTCTAATGGATGCTTGATGGCAAATGCAGTTAACCACAGAGTGGTAGAGAGGGGAAAAAAGCTACTGGCAGCATCAGAGTGATGAAGAACATAGAGACAGAATAGAGAGGGTAAAGCGTCAGTGTGCCAGATCAAGAGACCGTAACAGGGATCAAAATTGCGTCTGTGTGTGTGTGTGTGTGTGTGTGTGTGTGTGTGTGTGTGGACATGCGCATGCATCTGCTGATTTTGAGAGATAATGATATTGGGGGAGGGGCTGTGTTTAGAGTATTCTGACCTTCTGGTGTGTGCTGTTGTGTCTGTTTCTGAACATCATCTGTATTTTACAACATGATTCAGACATGGTGGTGAAATGTACATTTCTTTAGCATGCAGCAGAGGTTTGTTTTCTATTTGTTGAAATGAGCATGTGATTAAATGCTAGATTAGCTCCTTTAAGTGTATTTGTGAAAATAGAAGCATGTCTAGTTTGTGTTTAAAACTATTTTGGATCAGTTAAAAATCAAATTTACACATTCCCCCCCCCCCAAATGTAGTCAGTCAGCAAAGGCATGTTTGGCGTCTGAACTTTGCTTCTTTTGTTTTGCACTGGAGCTACAAGGCCAATAAGTCTAACAACTAATTGTAGTTTGTAGCCACCAGCTAGTCACACATTTGCATCAAACCACTTGGATAACAATGTGTCATACATAGCCAGAAACAGCACTACCAAGTCCATTTAACTCAGTGTGGTTTCAGGCAAGTTTTATTGACGTTCACCCGGTGACTGTAAGTGACAGTCACTTGTAACCTGCATAATCTTCAGTGCAAAACGAAAGAAACAAACAAGAGAGACCAAAAAATGCCCTGGCTGATCAACTGTGTCATTAAATTGCGATTTAACCAGTCCTTTAAAGGGGACTTCCACTAATTTGTCAAAATTTTTGCTTTTGATTTAACAATTAAGATGTAAAATGTGGAATTCTAGAGAAACTTACTGGGTCAAAATTGTTTTCAGTGGTGGCAGTAGGAACCAGACATCTAAAGAGTTTAATGCCTCTACCTCACAGAAAGTTATTACATTACATTTTTACAGATATGTTGTCTGAACAGATTCTGGCCTAAAGCATATTTTTAAGATACATTCATGGTTGAAAGGTACATATAGGCCATTCAAAGTCAAAACAGTCCCCAAAGGAAACTTTCAGATTCAGAAATTTCAGATTTACCATTATTTACCATTATCAACATTACATGTTAAAACCCCCGTCCTGTAACTACATATTAGTTTCATAGTAGTTACTACATAATGAATCTTAAGGTTAATGAATAATAAGCCTTGGATTCAGTGGGTGAAATGAGAGAAAGAAAGAGAGGATGTGTGTGTCGCTGCATGTTGCATGATGCCCATTGCCTTGCTGTGTGTGTTCCAGCACTAGTTGTTAATGGACCAGCTGTGTACGGTGCCGCTGTTAGAATGGGACAGAGCACCTCGGGACCAGAGTCCCCAGAACCACCAGAGGTGAGCATGCCCCCCCTTTCCCTTTACCTCCTAACACACAGAGATACACCAATACATATTATGGCTGCACAGTATATCATTTGTATCATGATGATTATCTCAATGTTGACTTTTGCAATACAGATATTGTAGAAGGCTGCAATTTGCAAATAAGCACTCTGAAAAATCACATTTTTATTTTGCTTCATGTATCTCAACCAGGCTGAGACACTCTAGAGTGCCTGTAGGTGTTTGTAATCAAAGCATTCAAATGATTCAACAAACACAAGTAATTTTGCTCAGCCTAGTTTTTAATCATGCTTACTAAATGACACTGCACACTGGACGTCCCACGCCCTAAAGTTTGAAATCACACCAACGCACCAGTTTTTCTGAGCATGAACCATTCAGCATTTTGCTGTTACCGCGTTAAGTTAACCCTGGTACGAGGCCAAAGAAATCAATAGCAGGTGACATGGCTGTAAATTTAAAGAGGAATTCCACAGTTTTTCTTAATTTCTGCAAAATTCAATCGTTAAAATGTAAGCAAAGGTTTAATTCTAGAGAAACTTACCAAGTCTTATTCACAGTGGTGGTGATAGGAACCAGACATCAGAAGCATTTAATGCTTATGAAAGCTCACATAAACCTATTATACAAAATGGTTATAAATATGCTTACTAATGCCTGAGACAGTTTTACGTTTGGCCAAAAATTTAGCTTTTGAAACACCTTCATGGCATTCACGTTTTAGACATTGCAGCCCTTGATTCCTATCACCACCACTGTGAAAAAACAGACTTTGTAAGTTTCTCTAGAAGGGATGCATTTCATATCAAACCTCTCTTACATCTCTGCATTGGAATTATGCAGAAAAATCAGTATAAGATCAGCACTTTCACTGTGACACATTCTTAAGTCATGTTGCTATGCTTTGTGTCACTCAGTGCTAAGCCACACAATGCCGTGCGTTGCGTCCAGTGTGCAGTGGTATTAAAAGTTCACCAATATATTGCAATGTTACAAACACAACATATAGCAGTGAAAGCACTATACATTTTGACCATATTGTGCTGCCTTAAGATGAACACTCACACTGTAATATTCCCCTCTCACAACCCTGTCTTCTTAGTAGTGTGACACTCAAAAGATCAGGCCCTTTAGGAGATTTAGGAGACTTCAGTGATTAAGAGTTGACTAGGAACTCTCCTGCTCTAAATTCTAAGCTGTAGCATCATAATTTGTTGGCCGTACATCCTGTACCACATCCTTCCATTCTCCACCCGATACTTGATCAAGCATACTTCACCCCATATCACAATACAGCTACCCGCTCATGCTTATTCCTTTTACTCCTGCATTTCTGTACCACCCTGGCGTAAATATCATGTAAAGGATATAAATATCCTTATCATGAGGTCTAGGGATGCACTGGTCATAGGTTTTTATAACCGATTCTGACTTCTTTACAGAATACAGAATACATCAAAAACACTAGCACATTTCTTGTACTTTCTAACCAAAACTTCAAATAAATAACATTTATCAGATAAATAATCTAATATAATTTCCAAGAATTAATACAATTTAATGGACCAAACTGGAAAAAGGAAAAAAAAAGGAAAAATCAGTTGTCTATTTCAGTAACATAAAATTAAATATTATGCTACATGGAAAGTAAGAGACAACTGGCTATTTAGCACAGTGAGTCATGTATAATTATGATATTTTGGTACTGGTGTAGCAGCAGCATTTAAAAGCCCCATTCAGACGCTTTGCCCCATTCGCTCCATTTGAGTAAATTTACATGGGAACCTGGGGTAATTTCCTCTTGTACAGGTGCTCCTCTGTGATTTATTTACGCCCGGATTGGCTGTGTCTGTATTTTTCTCCCTTTTCCTTCTCCCTCTCAACAGTCTTTTGATACATTTTGTAAAAATAAACCTTTTTTATTGACATATAGCTACATAATATCATCAAGTCATGTAAACATCCAAGTTTTTAGAAATTACAGCCCAAAACTTGCGCCTTCTGTAGTAATTTTATTGCTGTCCTGATGTGTGAGTTTTATCACTGAGAAGACTAATTGAATCTGAATGGGGAAGCTCACATTATTTATGTCCTAAAATTGTAACGCAGACCAGCCAAAATTACAATAGTAAGATTCCAATAGTGCATCCTTAAAGATAACCCTTCTGTTCCTGCATGGCTTTGCATTTCCCTTTGACCACCTGGAAGAGTCCAATACTATTGCCTCGTGAGTGGGACAAACGATTTTTATATGCTGACCGAAGTCTCATCTCAACCTGCCAAATGCAGTCAAACTGGGGGTTTGTGGTGGGTAAAATTGTCACATCACTTACTGCCTTGGTGGAAGCATTTTTAGTTTTGCTTTAACAAAGAGAAACATGTTGAATTTCTGTGATATGGCAAAAAATTGAATGTCATAAGTGCAACCTGAAATCAGTTCCATTGACTGTAAATGCTGTGCTGCCACTTTCTAGAAATCACTAATGTTGTCCAGTTATCAAGAACATCATCAAAAAATGGAGTGTAACTTTGACTTTCTCTTCACCAAACACAAAGAGGATGGATTGAATGAAGCTCTGTGACTCCAGAGAACACATTTCCACTGCTCCACAGCCCATTACCTTTCCCAATAATGATCAAACCTCTGGAATCTGAGGATACAGGAGGGAACAGTAAAAAGAGGAGACACAAGGCAGAATGACATGACTGGTTAACCTGTCAATTTCAAAAGTGACAGTGGCAAAAATGTATTTGCTCAGAACATGTTATTTACCTTTTTTTTATCAGGGTGAGCAGGGTTAAAGGGCTCATATTATGTAACACCAAATTTAAAAGAGTTTAATGTAATATGTAAACATTGTTGAAGTTTCAAAACATACTGTTTACTCCCCGGCCCATATAAGCCATATATGGAAACTAAGCTGCAAAAAATATTTTTTTGACCTGCAGCCTATATATTCATTATTTTTGTGATATCATGAAAAAACAAATTATATACATATATCTGCTTGTTCAGTCTATAGTAGTTAAATGCTGAAGTTATGAGAAGTGTTTCAGCCTGGACTGCTTTTTAGTGTGGAACAATACAGGACAGCTAATCAGAACAGAGCCCATTTACAGCCGTTCAGTTTAAAGAGATAAAGAGGGGTTGAAAAATGGCCATGTACAAATGAATGAGCCATACACCCACAAAGTCTGTTTAGACTCCTCCCACTGCACTCCCCGTTTTCATCTTGTCCTTTTTTATGACCAGCTGTCAGCTTTTCTTCCCCCGAATGATCATTCGTCAATACTAACAGCTGTTCACCTCTTTTCCGTCCTCCAATCAGTCTCTTTTTTTTCATCAGGACTCTGTTTAAGCACTTGATTGCTTTGTTGGTCTTTCACTGATGAGGGCAGATGGTCAAAGCTGGTTGGGTAGGAGATCCTGTGATCCCTTTACAGTGACTAGTCATAAGTATCCTTTTGTGCCTGAAGCGAGACGAGCTTTGCGTTTCCTTGTGTAATGGCTCATATTACAACTTGGAGACAGTAAACTGACCCTAGATCTGCTGTAAAGAGGAAGAAGCTACATTGCTGCAACAGAAGTATTTTTACCTGAATACACTATCTGAGCTGGTGTGCCTTACCATTACATAAGAGTTCACTAATGTTACTGCTGAAATACTACATGGCTGTTCATAAGGGTTGATAGCGTTCACTGATTAATTGTTTGTAGATTGAATGCAAGAGACACTCCCAGAACATAAACATGAGTAGGAAGCTTCTACTTTTGCAGTTACTAAAGGCCATATTCTACATGTTTTGTGTCCACTTATGACATTTGTAAGTGTCTACCAAAATAGTCAAAATTTATTTTTACATGACCATTTTTTGACTTCTCTATATCCTTTAGAATTAAACATTTAAACAGGCTGTTTATGTTATTGAGCCTTTAAGACCGATATATGTTAATGATCTCTGTTTTGATTGGCTGCCCTGCATTGTGCCTAGGGGCTGAAACACTCCTTATAACTTCAACATAGACAATAGACAGCAGTAGACAGGTTAAACTGCTGTAGGCTGAAAGGGCAGATATTTGCAATAGGCTGATTAAGACAATGTTGACATACTGTAACAATACTTTTTTCAAAATTGTGAGGACAATTCCATGATATTTAGTTTTTCTCCATCCCCTTTGAGTCTTTTATTCAGTAAATTATTCAGTAGCTTGAAACTAATATGTAAGTTCATATGAGATATGCAGACCTACATACCGATCTATTAGAGTCAGCTTCCCTGACCAAGATTAAGCCTAATCCTAGACTAAACAGAATTTCTAATGCTGATTGAATGTTAAGTTTAAAGTAGCTGAAGATGTAGATTTTTTTTGTCGTTGGTCTGCTTCCATATTTAAAACTAGAACTAGTCAGTGTTGTGTCTTTTATATGTGTTTTTCTGTCATTGTTTACAGAAGTTATTTTAAAATGTTAGGTTATGAACCTTGCTCCCTCTCCTCTCTGTTCTTTCATCTTCTATCTGTCCCTCTCTTTCAGTTCCCCTGATGTTATTCATTACATGCTGTATATTGCGTATGTCTATTATGCTGTCATGACTGTGTCCTTGCTTCATATCTGTTGAAGCTTGGAGGCTAAACTGAAAGATAGCCAAACAGCTAAAAAAACATGTTTGACTTCTATTAGCAGTGTTGGGAGACTGGTTTGATATGTAAAAGAAAAGAATGAAGGTTTCAAAGGACAGACAAAAGAGAGAAAGGGAAAGAATGAGGGAGTAGGAGCCTAGGAAGCAGTGTAGGAGTAACTGAAAGAGGGACTGAGCTGGAATTGTATAATGAGTGCGTGGACGAGACAGAAGAGGAGAAAAAGTTGCTCGTCCAAGTGTAATAAGCAGTATAATGGTCATGATGGTATGATGCATCTGTCAAACTTATTCTCTCTCTCTCCCTTTTTTTCTCTCTATCTTTCCCTCAATCTGTATATCTCCTTTTGTTTTTAGCACGACGGATTTAGAAACTTAAAGACGTTAGTGGAGGACCATCTTCAGACCAGCATGGTTAGTAATAATGCACATATTACCGTTACAAAAGGGAACATGTCAACACATGGTGCAAGTTGAGCTGTCATAACTTGTGCAACTCCACCCTCTGTGCTGATAGCTGTTTTATTCACTCTGTTCTTTTTGATTCAATCTTACAGGGGAATTTCACAGATTTCTGCATAGATAAATGGTTAAGATGTAAACAGAATCATTCCGAGTGATTTGATATGAAATGCTCCATTCCAGAGACGTTTACAGAGTCAGAATTTCACAGTGGTGGTGATAGGAACCAGACATCCAGATTATTTAATGCCGCCGAAAACTACCTCACCAAACGTTGTTACACAAAATGGTTACAGTGTTTAATGTCTGAAACATTATTTTAAGATAATTTTGAGTTAAGATTTTAGTCTAAAACATAATTTTGAAAATACGTTCATAGTGGAGAGGAATGTGCAGGCCATTGTAAGGCAAAATAGTTGCCTTAAGTTTTTTTTTTTTTTTTAAAGATTTATCACAGCAGCCCAGCGAAGCCTAAACATTCTGCTCTTCTTAAGTGTAATAAACACATCCTCAGTTTAAAATATTGATCAAATCTAAACATCTGACTAATGTTGATAATTCTTTTATCAAATATCTGCCAATACTGAGGTGGTTTCGATATCATTGTGCATCCGTACTGCAAAGAACCACATTTGTAAACGAGATGCACGAGGGTGAAGTACCTTTTTGAAGTTCTCTCTTCTATCTAACTCTCCCTAACTCTTCTCTCTCTCTATCAGATGGTGGGAATAGTGCTCGGTGCTGGCATTGCCATAGTCCTCATTGCCATCCTCATCTTCTTCGTCCTGCGGAGAATCCAGCTCCGGAGTCAGTATTTAGAACCTTCTAGAGAAAAATTCTCATTAATTAGAATTACTCATGTCTGTGCTTTTTTAGTTGCTTCATTGTTTGATATTCTGTCAGAATTTTCCTCATATACAGTTACAGATGATAATGTTTTGACCTCTTTGCTTTTGAATTTGCAGACCTTGCAGCTCAAGAAGCCCCGAAGTACCGTTTCCGTAAAAGAGACAAAGTTTTATTCTATGGCAGGAAGATCATGAGGAAAGTGTCTCAGTCTACGTCATCTTTAGTTGGAACGTCTTCGTCCTCCTCCTCCCGCCCAAGACTAAAGAAGAAGCAGAAGATGCTTAACATTGCCAAAAAGTATGTAGTTAGAGAAAGGAATGGGACGGAATGAAAATTCCTGTAGTTATATCAAGCTTTTCAGTATCTGTGCAGTATTATTATGATATACTGAAAATGCTAAAATGGTAAAGTAATACATATTGAGGTCATTTCAGTAGACATATTCAGTGACTGACTTTTTATTCAACCTCGTTTTCATAACTCCAAAAGATCACTTACAATTTATGCTGTGCGGATTCGTGCTTTCCAGAGAGACACCTTTGCAGTAGCTATTTACTTCCCATATAATGTTTTAAAAAGGCTGTAATATAATTTCCAATAATATTACTAGTTATTAGTATGATTATCAATGGATTTTATACTGTGGTCAAAACTGTTAACCATCTCATTGCTAATTTAGAGTTTTATGATAATTACTTTCTAGTAGTGCTTTGGGTGGTGCATTGTGTACATTTCTCGATCTACAAGAAAATAAGAATTATTGTCATACATTTGCTCGTTCTCTCTCTCTCTTTGTCTTTCCCATTCTCTCTCTTAGAATCTTGCGCTTTAAGAAAGAAGTACCCACTCTCCAAATGAAGGAGCCCCCTCCTTCTGTATTGGAGGCTGACCTCACAGAATTTGATGTGGCCAACTCACACCTGCCTTCAGAGGTGCTCTACATGCTCAAAAACGTGCGGTAAGCAAGCACACATTTGTCAGTGAATGGTTGTAGCTAGATACGTTGTCACTACGGTCATCATTAGTGAGTCATTGTGCTCATAGCTCCTTTTGTATTTGAACAGTGACGTGACTCTTTCCTGTAGGGCAGTCTAGTGAGCCTAAGGCTGGGTATAATAACCTTTGCATGAGGAGATAATGACATGTTGATACAGCATAAACATTGCTGTGTCATCTGTTATTTTCCTTGATTTGATAATGTGTTGTTATCAGGGGTATAAATCTCAGACCTCACAATGATTTGATTTTATCTAGATTCAATTTCAATTCAGTTATTTTTTGTCTTATTGATAATTATTTTAAAAAGTACACTGTATACACAAATGTGACTGGAGACTGTTTAGTGAATATAGACAATAATACAATGCATTAAACTTTGTATTTATTTATTTTAACTTTTCAAAACATTCTTTGGCCAAAGAATGAGTTTCTACTTTATTGAATACTACTACAATCGATAATAGTCAAGTTTTAACATTTAAAAACAATGAAGTTGAATCACTACCATCATGCATCATGTACTATGCGCTTTTACACAGTTGTTATCTTCAAAATTACAGTACTGTATAAAAGACAGTCACCTTTCATTCATTTAATTTCCAGTTATAGTAACCATTAAGGACTGAAGTTATTCATAACATTTGACCATGTTCTAAGACTGAACTTTGGTAGTGTGTAAAAATACAGATCTGAAAAAATCCAGAGGTATTTCTGTTCATCCTTCCACTGTGCAGAAACAACTCAACGCCATGAGTCTGAATGAATGTGTAGCTATCAAGAAGTCATTACTAAGAAAAGGAAACAGACAAAAAAGAACATTTGCAAATTCAAGAAGTGAAATGAAATGGCTAGTGTTCTCAGACCAATGGACTGAAAACCCCAGAGTCCAGACCTCAGCATTATTAAATGTATTTGGGATTATTTGAATCGGGAAAGGCTGAAAATGCAATCAGCTTCTAAAACTGAACTTTGGAGTTGTGGAAAAACTGGAAGTAAGTCTCCCAAAAAGAATGGAAGCTGTAATAAAGCCACAAGGTGGACACACTAAATTCTGATCAGTTTAATATTATATTAAATTGTTGAGGCTTCTGTGTAATTTTCTGTTAAATATGTTTCTGTTTCTTTCTGACAGAAAAACTAAGTTGTACTTTATGGCCATTTTTGACTGGTTTTTGACTTTTGCACAGTGCTGTATATGGGAAGTCATGAGATGACCTGTATTCTCTCTCTGTGGTTTATGTGCAGTGTTTTAGGCCACTTTGAGAAGCCTTTATTTCTGGAGCTCTGTAAGCACATGGTGTTCCTGCAGTTCCAGCAGGGCGAGTACGTCTTCAGACCCGGACAGCCTGACAGCAGCATTTACGTGGTGCAGGACGGCAAACTGGAGCTGTGTCTTACCGGACAGGTGTGTGTGTGTGTGTGTGTGTGTTAAAGAATAATAATCTACTGGCCACTGGAATGTGTGGTCTATAATTGCACATAGATAATGGTGTGCTTTGTTATCTAGAGAGGTTCATGTGTGCTATCATTAAGCCCTAACCACTTACCTCCTACAGTATCAGATTAGGGGTTTTGTGTTTTGACTGATTTGTCAATTTTAGTCTTGAGAAAGAATTGTCTGGCAGTGTGCAAAATTAACAAGTCAATCAAGCATTTATCATGAATCATTAACTCTCTATCACTGTTTATCTTTTAATAAAGGATGGCAAGGATGGAGTGGTGAAAGAAGTGTACCCAGGAGACTCTGTTCATAGTCTGTTGAGTATTCTTGATGTCATCACAGTAAGTCACATCCACTTCCTGCCCAGACATTCCATAGTGGAGTGATGACCTCATTTACAGTCATAGTACATGTGTCAAACACTCAGCCCCATTCAGCTTATGTGTAATAGACAGGCTTCTGCTTAATCTCCACTTCCTCCTTAGTTCTTTCATCTTTCTGTGTCTTTCTCCCTTCTCACTTTCTCTGTTTCTTTTACACTTGTATTCTAAGCATGTAAACTGAACCTAAACAATTGAAACTTTGATTACAAATGTTAAACCACAAATTAATGTAAAAATGTTAAATAATTATTCAATCTAAGAGAAAAAAAGACAAAAGGGCAGATTTACTAAGAGAGGTAATAATTACCCACAATTTAACAACACTTTGCATCAATTTGATGGCCAGTTTAGTGGGTAATCTGCTAGCGTACATGCAAATGAACATATGAGCAGCTGTGTTTGGCTGTGTGAAAGCCTGTTTCCACTAGATAGGTGAAAAAAATATATATATGTTTTTTGTTTCAGGTGCAAACTTGGCTCTTTAGGTCGAAAAGATGACTTATTTTCAAAGTCATTTGACTTAGTAAATCAAAATGTTGACTAACTCAAAAAAATGAATTATTACTTGTCGAGAAAGTATGCGTTTATTGCAACTTCATAATGAATTTGAGAAAATAAGACGTCAATTAGTAAAAAAATTGAGGAAATTAAGTCATTATTTTCAGGCAAAACCAGAGGGCTGTCTCACGAAGGCTTTTACAAGGCTGCATCGCAACCAATCAGGGACTGATGGACCCTTTTTGACAAACATGTCAAGAACATCACTTCTTCTGTGGAGGAAGCAAATCATACTACATAAATTTTAATAATATAAAACAGTTATTACTCCAATAAGCACTAACACAGTGACAGTTGTAATAAATGCTTTACTTTTCACATATTTATGTACATTTCCTCTTCTTTTTTGAGAATTAGGTCACTCTGTTCTTTCTTGTTTTTCACATGATTAGTTGGCCATCATAAATGTCACATTTTCATCTGCATGCTTGGGTATTTAAACTTGGGTTAACAGAGAAAGTTCATAAAATGAGTTAACAAAATTCCTATTTTTAAGGTTTTATGAAACTGAAACTTAGTCAGAAACCTTATCAGAGTTGAACTTGATTCACACAGGACTCTGCTCTTTGATGGTGTTGTAAATAGACCCACATTATAAAGAGAAAGCAAAAAGTTTGAAACATTGTTTTTCTAAAACTGTTTGTTTTGTTTTTTATTTCCTTCATCAGATCAAGATTACTGTGGAATACATGTCAGGCATTTAGAAGTGTTTTTTTTCCATCAACAATAAATAAATGTGTAAAAATGTGTTTTCTCTCTAAGCACAAATAGTAGCAGCCACGCTAGTGCCAAAAAAGAAAAGCTTTAAATAGCGCAGTCAGTATTTATGATCTGTCTTGGTAAATTGGAGTAGGTGCTTCGTTATAATAATCTTCTCCCAGTATTTTGCACTCTGAGAGGGAAACTCCTATAATTGCATATGCAATGAAGCAAAAGCGAAAAAGAGCAGTGACTCCCTCTTTGTTCATTTTATAGGCGCTGAAGCCCCATTGCATCTTTAAATCATAACAGCCACTATTTAACACCAAATTGGAGTTTGCAGTGGTGCAAAACGTTAATAAATGCCCCTAAATGTAATAGGTTAATAGGTAATATTTTCTGCCTTTGTGGCTTTCAGGGTCACCAGAGGCCGTATCGGACAGTGTCCGCCAGAGCTGCAGAAGTGTCTACTGTTCTCCGCTTGCCTGTCGAGGCTTTTTTGTCCATTTTTGAGAAATATCCAGAGAGCTTAGTGCGCGTGGTACAGGTAAGGAGTCTGTGTGTACTAGGGCCGATATTGATACAGTTTTAAAAATTCGGATTGGTGATAATATTGGCAAATATCATTTTTTATTTTGGGTTTTTATTTGTTTAGTTAAACACTGCGTTACTGGTAGATATGATTCTCACAGTTTCTAAACTTGAATAAACTGCAGTAACTCACAGTCTTAAATAATATAGATATTGTAGCACTGGAGTGGTGCTATCCTGAATTCTTTTAGGTTTTGATATTTGTGCATTACCTCTTATTACTTTTATCATTCATTAGATCCCATTAGTTGTTTATATTATATTATTCTCATGCTAAAGGTTTTGTTATTTTAACCACAGCAGTGTTCATTGTTTAGGTTTACTAGTTTAGCCTGCATTGCTAGCCTTATATTGTGCACCCCAGTGGCACAAATGACCAGAGTTTCCCTGGAATTTGCTAGTTTCAATCTTGGTGATGCTGCAGCCAGAAAAGCTGCTAATTATACATATGCTATGGGTGGTATTTTCACTGATCTCAAGAAACCATGGGTCATCAATATTGGCCAACATTATTGCGCAACTAATGTATTTCCCTGACCCTTGTATGTACGATACTTTTGCTTAACTTACTAGTGCTTTGCATCCAAAAGTGGTGTGAGTGGATGTCGAAGTATATGTTTCTTTTTCTTTCATATCTCTAGATTATCATGGTGAGGCTGCAGAGGGTGACAGTTCTGGCCTTGCACAACTACCTAGGCTTGACTAATGAGCTCTTCAGCCATGTAAGACACAGAAGCACATACACAAACAGACATGCCTCCATAAAGCAAGCTATGAGAATTCGACATACTTCATAAAAAGGTTTATATAGGGTGATTTATTTTCTGGGAGCAAATGTTTCATACATATAATGCAGTAATAGTAATAATAGTTGTGTAAAGTAAGCAACGCAAGACAATCATCAAATCAAGTTTATAAAAGTATGCCTTTAGCTGCTTCTTCAAATGACATACCATTGTCACCCGGTTACCTATTTTGTATTACTGTTTTTGCAGGAGATGCAGCCGCTGCGTTTGCCCCCCCTCTCTCCTCACACCACCCGTACCAGCCCTGTAAGGCACAGCAAACGATTCAGCAGCCTCACCGTTCCAGATGAACAGCGAGAGGCTGCTGTCCGAGACGCCAGTGGTAAGATTTGAAAGAAAGATGAAAGAAACAGTAAAACTGATGCTGTGGACAAACAGAGAAAGACATGCAGGCAAGGCAGAAAAAAGATTAAAAGAAGATGCTGTTTGCTGGAACATAAGTATAAAACTTAGAGTTCAGTGTATTCTCAGCTGTAACACATCTCAGCTGTCTAATTAAGAGCTTGATAATTAGGTATGAAGTTGAAACCAGTGTGTAGTTCACTGGATTCAAATGGTAGTTCAGGAAAAAATCTAGTTTAGCCAAATCTTGCTTTACCCCAAGTTAATCAGCCAAGACCTGTGGTGTCTGACACAACATACAGCTATCTATAACATATATACAAAAGTCAAATAGCTAAAAACAGCAATAGCAAACCTCTTAAAGCCTGAATTACACTGCAAAAAATCAGTGTAAAAAAATAAAAACAACTCATGAACAAAGGCACTTGAATCAAACAAAATTATCTATTAATATGGAGAGAAATATTTACTCAAAACTCTCTTAATATAAGAAAAAAATCTTCTATAGATGATCTTATAATCTTAAAATCAGTATATTTTATAGTTTCTATAGTATATATTTTATATTTCATTTATTTTATAGTGTATATTTCATTGGTTAAAGACGTAGATTTAAGTAACTTTAATTTGATCTGGTGTCACAAAAAATCTAAAATTAGAAAAAAAAAATAGCCAAATCTTGTTTTCTTTTAAATATACAAAAATGTCCAATTAAATTTAAAGTAAGTAACGTCTTGAAATTGCTTCCTTTATAGTGGAGAGCTTTAAAACTTTTCAGGTGTCTCAAAAAAATAAATAAGATATTTGTAGACAAAATTTCTAAAAGCTAGCTGATTAATCTTACACATACATATGTAGCCCAGTCTGTTAATCTTTAAATACAAAAGCAAAATCAAGTGTTCATTTTCAAGATTTTTTGCCTCGTTAAGATTTCGTTTATAAACTGTTCTGGATAAAGTTTAGCTTACCTGAGATCCAGTTCATAGTTTTGATATTGAGCTGTGAGTGTAGTCTTCCAGTTTAATACAAAACATTTCTGCTTCAACACTCAGCCACCCTCCAGATGATCAGGATAGCAGGTGTCTGAATAAAAAGTATTACCTTTTCACATCTTTTAGTCTAATAATTTGACTAATTTACTGCCAGCGCCATTATCACTGCAGGTTCGTACTGAGGAGTTTTTCCTTCGCTTGATGAAGGAAGAATCACTAGATGTAATTGGCTAAGAGCCACGTCCCAACATCACTTTGCAAATGGTCAATTGTACCTGGACTTTCATCCATTTATATAGATCAGACACCAAATTCTCACTCTACAGCTCTAGGGTAAAAAAAGTTGCTCTAGTTAAAAACCAGCATCAGCAAGAATGCACAGAATATCCACTGTGACAGAGCCAGACTTAAGAAAGCAGAACGCTGAAAACAGGCTATTTTCTCTCTGTGTGCAGCCGAATGTTTGATGTACCGTCGTACTGTGAACTGGCTAATTACTCACTAATTGCTGAAATCTTACATGGTTATTTTAAGATGACCTTAACCAAACACATCATTAGTAAATAGTGAACTCAGAACATCTGCATTCATGCTGAAAGCATTACTCATGTGTATAATTAGATCATTTTCACTTAAGAACTTCTGTTAACGTACAGTTCAGCCCAGAGTGGTGTTTCAGTACTCCAGTCTGTTCTGATTACTTTTAGGTGTCCATTAAGGGCACTGAATAATGTATTTTAACATAAATGGTGATATTGTAAGTTGTTTGTAGTGTGTGTTCAGGGTGTGTCAACTGATGGCAATGAAAAACGTATTTCATGTTCTTCTTCATGGTTTAGTAAAAGGTAATTTAAAGTGTATTTCTGTACTATGGGTTTGTTGTAGGGGATCATGGGAAGGAAGGCAGCAGCACCATTCCAACCCTCAGCAGGGCTATCTCCATGCCTGTGGACATCGCCGGTGGGTGTTTGTGTGTGTCAGTTGTTACTGTGTAACGTAAGATAATGTATATTGATCCAATTTCATTTATCTTTATATCTTATATCTTTACCTTTATATTGGCCTATTTGTCAAGAAGCTTTCACACAATTTAAAAGGCAAATGACAAAAAATGGAAATAGGTTTTGTTCTGACAGCAACAGTATGCAACTGTGTCAGTTTGTAAACACAAATAGCAGTGTTTGTGCCTGCTGCAGAGTTTCATCTGAGAATATGAAGCAAAACAGCAAACAGATAAGAGGCTGAATGATGACATGCTTCCTGTGCGAAAAGCATGCTTTATCTTTTCATGTGCTATCTAATGTTGGTTGTTTGGGCTAACCTCACTCTTCTATATTTTGTACCTCTCTCACTCTTTTCCTCCTTTCCATCTCTCTTTCTCTGTCTAAATGTGCATTGAAACACATTAAGCAATTAATCTGTTAGAATAGATGCAAAAATACTTAATAAATAAAAAAAATAAAAAAGGCACAGTAAAAAGTAAAAATTTTCCAAAACGTAGTTGATATCTTGTGAGCTAGTTATAAAAATATAGTTTCAGATATCAGATATGTCCTGAGTCATTGCATGAATTTGTTACATTCCATAACCAGTGCACTACTACTACAAGTGTTGTGAAAAAAATAATTACATTCATTTTTCAAACAATTTGCAGGAGAAATCAAGCACTTCCTGTCAAATTGTAACCATTTATGACTAACTTAACTATTATTCATCACTGATTGTAAGTATATAAATGGTAAATTGCTGTATGATGTAAGATGTGTGGTGTCTCTTATCTCAAACTGCTGACCTGAAGTAAGACTTTCCTGAACACACTTTGGTTTGCAAATCTGATGTGTGTGTGTTTTGTAGGCATGCAAAAGAGCCTGCGTTCAGATTTTGACATGGCATATGAGAGGGGTCGGATATCTGTGTCTGCTGAGGATGGAACACCAACACCACCCACGTTTACACGGGTTAGACACACACATGCATGCCTTCACACACACATGCAATTATATTCTTTAAACTTTACAGTTTCTTCGATATCACGTAAAGTAGAGATCGCACTGCTTGGGACTGAAGAATTATAAAGAGAATGCAGCTTGTTTGACTGTTCAGAAATATGTGTTTCTCTCAGTCTCAGGACCAGCGAGAGAGGAAAGTTACAGTAGATGATGTGCCATCAGGTGTGTATCTGTACCCAGAGGAAGAGTCAGGCCACGAGAACGTTTATGGGCCGTTACCAGGGCGACCCAATGCATCCCTGTTCGAAGAAGCTCAGAAAGAGATCCTTAAACTGATGAGAATTGAGGTACAGCTTGTGTGTGTTTACGGTTTTGTGCATGCCCTCAAGAAATAGTTCTTAAGGAGCTTAAAAGAATAGTTCAGTGAAAATTTGAATGTTTCTCTTAGCTCAGCTATCACTGATAAGACATGTTTGGAGTTAGAAGTTTTTTAGTTTTGCACTATGAGGTTAATGTAGCTAACGAAGAGTGAAAGCTTAAACCACAGAAATTAGCATTGTGGATAAAAGTATGAACAGATGTTAGACTTCAGTGCAACATTCTTTGGTCAGATTGTCATACAATATGTAACACAGTCTCACAACTCACATATAGTTATCTAATTCAGTTTACTAAATAGCCCCATGCGGTTTGAGACGAGTGTGTGATGCAGTTTGCATGATGCTAATTGAAGGTTATAAGGTCCCATTACTTGTTAGCTACATTAGCTTCCTAGCTCCAGCGCAGAACAAGCAAACCAGACATGTCTCAGATTTGTCTCAAATCTCAAATTTGTAATTTTTTCTTTAATCTTCATTTATTCTTGTTGTTTGTCAGGACCCTGCTCTGCTGAACGGACGAGTGACATTGCACCATGCCAAAGCTGGAGCTGTCCTGGCCAGACAAGGAGACCAGGTTTCACATCCCTCTGTTTTTGTCCATCCCTCCTGCATCTTTAATACAACCCTGTTTCCAAAAAAGCTGGGACAATGTGCAAAATACAACTAAAAGGAGAACGCAATGATGTGCAAATCATTAAACCATATATTTAAATGAAAATAGTACAAAGCCAATATATCAGATGTTGAAACTGATGTAGAAATTTTATTGTTTTTAGAGAAATATATGCCCATTTTGAATTTCATACCAGCAACACATATCAAAGTTGAGACAGGGGCATGATGGTTCTATGGTTGGCTATGCATGGTAGAGTTTTGACTTGCATTTGTGGTTGCAGTGATCAAATGTGTTCACAGACAATGTTTTTGTAAGTGTTCCTGAGCCCATGCAGTGATTTCCACTACAGAATGGTGTCTGTACCATCTAATATTGGTTTTCGGCCTTGTCCCTTACATATAGAGATTTCTGTGGATTCTCCGAATTTTGTAATATTATCTACCGTAGATTATGAAATTGTCAAGGTGTAACAAATTTTCTGTTGAGAAACGTTATTCTTGAATTGTTGTGCTATTTGCCTACGCAATGTTTCACAGAGTGGTGAATCCCTCCCCATCTTTGCTTCTGAAAGACTCAGCCTCTCTGGGATCTTCTTTTAGTATCCACTCATGTTACTGACCTGTTGCCAGTAGCCAATTAGTTGTGAGATGTTCTGCCAGGTTTTTTTTTTTTAGCGTTACACAACTTTAATATTTTAGTGTTTTGTTGCCCCTCTCTCAAGTTTTTTGAAACGTTTTGCTGGCATCAAATTCAAAATGGGCATATATTAAACAATGACAAAGTAAATAAAATTGTTGAAATTTAAAATTTCAACATTTGATATATTTTAAGGTTTAAATGATTTTCACATCATTGCATTCTGTTTTTATTGACATTTTGCACAGCGCCCAAGTTTTTTGGAAACGGGGATGTACTTCCAACATCCTTTACTTAAGTTCTATAAGGAGCTTTAGATAAAATCTAATGATGATCTGGTTTGAATTCGACACTGGGACAGTATTAGACTATTTTATTTGTTTATTTGGTGTCTTGGATTCATTCACATTGAAACACAAGGCAAATCAAGGGCCATGATCTCTGAATTTCAGCTGGTCAAATCGGCATGAAAGATGAATCATCACCCACAATTTATTTTATAATTTCTTTATCATCTTTGATTTGTGGGTAAAAGAGTGGTTTAAACTGCTTACCAAGATGCAATGCACATTTCCTGCTTTTAAGCCACTGTTAAAATATCAGTTGAGACAAAAAACAAATTCGTTTCAAAACCTGGGCTTATATTTATGATGTTTCTCGAAGTAAGAGTGCTAATTTAGGAAATGTTCCTGTCAGTAAAGTCATGGTGAATAAAAGAGGAATCTGATCCCAGATCAGCACTCCTAGTGTGAGAACTGTGCAACTGACTTTGCAGTTTTGGATAATGCGGCATCAGAAGCCATGCAGTGCTATTTGCACTAAAAGGCACATGTATTTACATTGTATTAGTACATTATTGATTGGAGTTGTAATACTTCTAGGCCTGCACCGTTAGGCCTGCACCGTTAGGCCTTAGCTCAATGATCTGTTCTTTTTTCGCTGAATATGTTGTAGTTCTATTGGTAAATCAAGGAATAAATGAGTCACAATGTGTTGGTCAGGCAAAATGTATATAATGTACGTTTGAAATCTTTTTTCTATCTCTTTATCTAATTTTTTTGTTTCCTGTCAAATTAATTAAATTACTTCTCCTTTCTTTGCTCTTTTCACTCGATCCACACTCTTTTGTTCCTCTTCCTCTGTCTGGTCTCCCTCTTCCTGTCTTTCTCTCCACTATCAGGACGTGAGTCTGCATTTTGTGCTGTCAGGCTGCCTGCACGTGTATCAGCGCATGATCGACAAGCAGGAGGATGTGTGTCTGTTTGTGACGCAGCCCGGTGAGATGGTAGGTCAGCTGGCAGTGCTGACCGGTGAGCCCCTAATCTTCACCATCCGGGCCGTCAGAGACTGCACTTTCCTCAAAATCTCCAAATCTGACTTCTATGAGTGAGTCTCTCCACTCTGTTCTATGAAGTGTATGCTAAAATTTGACTTTTACAAATTACATTACAGTACATGGTGCTGTCTACTTCCACAAAAATTAATCCGCTAAAAGTTCATCATATAACTTTCCAAAAGTAACAGAACAAATATGCATGTCATGGAAAGTGGCTTCAAGAAACTCAAGAACAGAGAAATGTAGTGTTGAATCTCTAGGTGTTAGGTCCTGATATGGCATCTTCAAGCAGAGGTTTTGGTCTAAGACCAGATGGTACAGATCTTTAATGATGACCTAGAAGTAAGATGTTTGTTTTGAGATGCTGTGTGACTCTTGGTGCCTTACTTACCTGGTCACTGGTTTGGTTTCTGGAGAACTCAGTGAAGAAACCAGGATTTAATTCAGGCTTGATCTCCAAGCTAAAACACAGCTGGTTTATGACTATGATGCAGAATTATTATTATTATTATTATTATTATTACTGTTTCTTGCTCAGTCTTGCTAATGGATTTGTATGCTCTTTTCTGTAGGATAATGCGGGAGCAGCCCAGCGTGGTGCTAAGTGCAGCTCACACTGTGGCCATCCGCATGTCTGCTTTCGTGAGGCAGATGGACTTTGCTATAGATTGGATGGCTGTGGAAGCTGGGCGCGCTCTCTATAGGTACTTCAGAACAACAGTCACTAGTAGTACTACTGTTAACACTACCATTAATGAAACAGTAACGTTACTAATGCTAAAAAGACAGCCTGTAAGGTTTTTTGATGGTATTTTCACAGACTGTTCTTTCAATTCTATACTGTTTTTTTTCTAAAACATAATACATAAACAGCTCTTGAGACACTATATGTCTAAAAGTTTGTAGACACCCAAAAGTTTAGACATTCAGAGTTTCTTCTGAAACCAAGGCCATTTAGAGGGGGTTTGTCCCCCTTTCCTCCAGTAACAGCCTCTACTGTTCTGGAAAAGCTTTATGCTAGATGTTGGAACACTGCTGTGAGGATTTGATTGCATTCAGATATAAGAGCATTAGTGAGGTCAGGTAATGATGCTGGGTGATTATTTCTGGGTCACAAACACCACTCCAGCTTATCTCAAAGATATTCAGTGGTGCTCCATCACTCCAGAGATTGCAGTTTCTCTGCTACACAGCCCAGTGCTATGGGGGCTTTATAACCCCTTTAGCCAGTGTTTGGCACGGGGCATGGTAACCTTAGGCTTATATTCTTCAGAACGTCCCATTCTGTTGGTAATACTTTAATATAGAGATTATACAAGCTCTGTGTGCGGAGTTGAATGTCTGTCAGCAATCTCCTAAAACTAGCTGAATTCATTAAGTGCCTGGATACATTGTCTTATTTTGGTTTTGAATACTTCAAAATGAAACCTGATTAATCCGCTTCTTTTTTAGGCAGGATGATCAGTCTGATTGCACCTACATTGTGCTGAATGGCCGTCTGCGTTCTGTCATCCGTAAGGCCAATGGAAAGAAGGAGCTAGTTGGGGAGTATGGACGAGGAGATCTAATTGGGGTGGTGAGCTCTCCCGATAAAACCTGTTTAATGCAGTTAGTTTAATGCAGAAAACTCATCAGCTTATTATCAAGCCGTTCATCAATGGATTGAGTTGTTCTGGAGCATGAAAACACTAAGCTATGCTTGCTATAGCCTACAATGCTGATTTAAACGGTTTGCATGACCAGATTTTGCCAGAAGGAAGTTTCTGTTATGTTGTGGGTCATATTTCACTTTGTTTATTGTTGTTGTTTATTATATGAGGAACTATATACCTATTTTTCAGGTAGAGGCGTTGACTAGGCAGCCCCGGGCAACTACAGTGCATGCGGTCCGAGACACGGAACTGGTCAAGCTCCCAGAGGGAACACTAAACAACATTAAGAGACGCTATCCTCAGGTATCGGGAGCAGACCTATACACATTACATATAATTCAGACTTAAAGATATTAACTAATATGATGTGGACCGACTATTGTGTGTGTGTGTGTGTGTGTGTGCGGGCGCATGTAGGTTGTTACTCGGCTGATCCATTTGTTGGGCCAGAAGATTCTAGGAAACCTTCAGCAGACCCGTGGACATTTCTCAAGTGAGTAAAAAAACATGAAGACAGTCATCATGGTAACAGTGTAATAAAATGAGTAAATATGAAACAAGAGGTTTTAGCCTTACCCACAGAAAGGTTGCATTGTTCTGTTATTATTATAAGTCAGAACTGATCTTGGTTAAAATCAGGAAGTTTGAAGAAGAAGAAAGGAATTTACAAATATTACAGGAAAATTCCACTTATTTTTTTCAAAACTCAAGTTCAAATGATTAATGGTTAAGAAATCTCTGCCTTCACAAACAAGTGAATGCTATTTCTCCAGGTTCAGCTCTGGGTTTGCCTACTGTGGCATCCAGTCCTGATGTCACCAACCCAGCCAGCAACCTCTCCACTGTAGCTGTACTGCCTGTCTGTGATGAAGTGCCAATCAATGCCTTTAACCTGGAGCTTAGCCACGCCCTCAGCGCCATAGGTACGGCCTGCTTTTAGTTGTTAAGTGGTAGTTAGCATAATATATTACTGTAATGCTGCTTCATGGTAGTATTGTTGTGCTGAAGTCCAGGACCCGGGCTCAAGTTTAACATCTCGTGACTGAAACGGTGCCACTGTGCATTTCAAATCCTGTCTGTGGTGAATATTGGTGCTCTATGAATTTAGAAGCTTGTTTTAAGTCAGCCACATTTATATTATATTATATTATATTATATTATATGTGTTGATATTATAATACTTGGGTGCTTCAAGTTGCTTTAAATCTTGTGTAGAGTTTTTTACATTGTGACTTTAGGCTTTACTACTTAAAACAAATGAGGAGCAAAAAAGAATGGAAGGTTTAGGGATATAACAGAATAATGACCTAATCAAAGTGAACTCTAGGCAGCTGCTGGTCTTTATGCACATTATGTAAAATCACATTAAAAGCCACTAGTAAAACCAGAGTTAGATTTTATAAAAAGTTATGTTTCATGACATGGACTGAAACTTGTGATGGCTCTGTCTGATTTTAGGTCCTACTCTGCTGTTAACGAGTGACATCATCAGAGAGAGACTTGGAGCTTCTGCCTTAGACAGGTAAAAATGGCCAATATGGGATATGATCAAGAGACAGTTAAAGATGTTTTTAGATGTCAGACCTGAATCATGCAAAGTCTTTTTTGCTGCATTCATGTGTCTCCCTCTGTTTCTCTCTCTCAGCATTCATGAGTACAGGTTATCCGGCTGGTTGGCACAGCAGGAGGACATCAACCGGATAGTTCTGTATCAGACAGACAGCAGTATGACTCCCTGGACACAGCGCTGCATCAGGCAAGCAGACTGCATTCTCATCGTTGGCCTGGGAGACCAGGAGCCCACTCTTGGCCAGGTTTGTATGTGTTCTGTCGGTACATGTTAGGGCTGCGCAACATATTGTTTGTTAATCACTATCGTGGTTTCGATCTTACTGATTTTGTGTAAGGTGTGCATTATGTGTATTGAAAGGTGCATTACAAATAAAATATTCACCTATATATTCACAGTACTTTAATTTGTTCATACAGCCCTAGTACACATGGTCTAGTATGAATGAAAACACTAGATTGGTTTTAGACTGGTCTTAATGTTGATTCCCACAGTTGGAGCAGATGTTGGAGAACACAGCAGTGCGGGCACTGAAGCAGCTGGTTCTGCTGCACCGTGAAGATGGGCCAGGCCCTTCCAGAACTGTGGAGTGGTTGAACATGCGTAGCTGGTGCTCCGGTCACCTCCACCTCAAATGCCCCCGCAGAGTCTTCTCCCGCCGCAGCCCCACTAGACTGGTAATGACCTTTTCCAAACTTTAAATATGTGTAAATAAATTAAGGAATTGCCCACTAGGAACTGATAAGGATGAGTGTTCCAGCAGAAGGACTAGATTTCTAATGTGTTTTCAGAACATGAGAAACATACTGCGGATTTTGTTGTTGTTATGATGGTTTGTTAATGTATGAGTGTGTAAAACCATAGGATTTATGTCTAATTCTGTTTTAAATATCCACCAAATTAGGTCCCAAACTGCTATCAAATTGAGATTGAAATCAAACAAATTTATATGGAATTTACAGATTTTTAAAGCTTAAAGTCGGTTATTTTTGTTTGCATTACAGAGGGAGGTGTATGAGAAAGTCTTTGAAAAGACTGCAGACAGACATAGTGATTTCTCCCGTCTGGCCCGAGTCCTCACCGGAAACAGCATTGCTCTTGTACTAGGAGGAGGAGGAGCGAGGTGAGGGATATTTAACAGAATTTTAGAATCACATATCTGTCTTTCCCAGAATTCTATATGAATCAATCAGCTTCACGTTCTTGAATTTCCTGTTATCTTAGCAAAGAAACACACATTGTTTTTTTTATCATTATTTTAGCCATTAAAATTCACTAAGAAATGTTTCTAATTAAGACCTTATTACCTTTGGGCACCATTTTTGTTAATGTAGGGGCTGCTCGCATGTCGGTGTGATCAAAGCCATGGAGGAGGCAGGGATTCCCATCGACTTAGTGGGTGGAACGTCTATCGGCTCTTTTATTGGTGCGCTCTATGCAGAGGAAAGAAGTGCTGTTCGGGTGAAGCAGCGAGCAAGAGAGTGGTCGAAGGTAGAGTCAGTTTCCACCTCAGTTTTCAGAGCCTGTGAAGTAGTCTGTGGTCAACGAGAAGGTCAACCACCTGTACAAGGCTGTACTTCAGCATCAGTGCTTGTCTTCCTGTACCCTTAGGCAATGAATTCAGTGTTCAAAACAGTCCTGGATCTGACTTATCCCATTACGTCCATGTTCTCTGGCTCCGCATTCAACACCAGCATTTCCAACGTATTTGAGGATAAGCAAATAGAGGTGAGATGTCACAGATGTAAATGAGAGAAATGGAGTACTTGAACTCTCATGCTGAAAGAGAAATGATTCTTACTGAATTCTTTCCTCTCTTTCTATTGTTTTTTTTGTGGCCTGCCTGATGTTTTGAAGTTGTAAGAAGTTGTCTTGAATAAAATAACAAATTTTATCATGAGCATCTCATTTTATCCTCTTTTTGAATTTGTAGGACCTGTGGCTGCCTTATTTCAATGTGACCACTGACATCACAGCATCTGCAATGCGGGTACACAAAGACGGTGAGTTAGAGCTGAACATAGGCCCCTGTGTTTTATCTGTCAATCGTGGATTAGCTTAATACTAGCAGTAATTCAGTATGTATCATGAACTTGAAAATTATTCCCCCCACTGATTATAAATGGAGGGGTTCCAAAGGGTTCTGTATTAGGGCATTATGCATTTTATAAAGAGATCAACTATAATAATACATTTAGACAGTTGAAACTCATTTAACTACACACACAGCTTCTTTAACTGCATTTATGATGACTCAGAACTAATGTTAAAAAGTGCAGTGGTTTGTTTATTCTAATAACTGATTGAATGTACTATAGTACTGTCTAGTCGATATTACATTTAAATATAATATCATAGGTAGACTAGACATTTATCAATGTAATGACATTAAATTATGATGTGACGTTTTTATTAATGACTTTAGCTATTGGTTGTGATTGCTTGTTGTAGTAAACATTTAATGAGGGAAGGCTTGATGCTGCATGTTCTGTGATTGTGTTATTTACCCTTTTGGGGTTTGAATAAGGATATTGAATGGGCTACATTATTACACTGTGAAATCTGAAGAATGGTCATTCCATCTTGCTTTTCTAACCGTCCATCTTGCTGAAATGTTAGTGCATTGATTGACTGTCTTGACTGTAGCCACTAACTGCTGTACAGTTATATGGATGATTGACCACTGCTACGTCCCCAATCAACATCCACTGATTCTGATTACTTTTAAACTGTGTTAATGTCGCTATGCAGTTTGCTGTTTTGCTCAGTGACACACTGGATTTGGGGATTGCACATGGTCATTCATTCATCCCCGTTCACCCGTTTGGCTTGTAGGATTGCCCTTAGCATGACTAACTAACAGCAGGTCCGCAGTTTGTCCTTCAGTTTCATCTCTTCTTCCCCCTCCCTCCCTCTCTCATTCTTGTTTTTCTCAGCTGTCACCTAATTTAATTTCATTCTGTTTAAATGTGTGTCCATGTGGTAGTTATTCATTTTTCACCCAGTGTCATCCATTTGACCCATCTTTTCTTTTCTTACTCATCTCTATGCATTATGAGCCATATGTTTAAAACCAAATTCCCAATAAATGTCAAAACACCTAGAACTATAACATCTGTTAATTAGCCATCAGTATTCTTAGAGGTGACATTAGAGTTTCATTAGAGAGGTGTAGAGAAAACTGTCCCCCGTAGTAGGATCCTGAACATTACCCTGTGCTTTCCTTGATCCCACTTAACATCACTTCTTGCCCCTGTTCTTATAGTCTCCACTCTCCACTGCTGTAGCTTTGCTCACACTGCTTCCAACATGTGACCAAGGAGATGAAATCACAGGTTGATTTTCAAAGGTCAGATATTGAGTCTCTGCAGCAAGATTTCATCACCCTGCAATGTGGGTCAAATTGAGCTCATCTGTTATCAGAGAATGGTCATAGTACAGGTGCTGTACTCGTTGCTACACTTTTCATCAGATGTGTTAGACTATGAGTAAGATTGTAGATGACACGTCAGAAGTTATCAGTTGAGTTTACAAACTTAATTTACGCCACATGTGGAAGCCACATTTCCACATAATTCAGTGGTTAAGAAGTGTACAGTTATTCAGAGTGGTTTGATTTGAATTGTGGCATTCTACAGATTTGTTCACAGCCGTTGTGATAGAAACCAGAAGCATTTAATGCCACAAAAAGCTAACAGAAAGCTATTATAGAAAATGGCTGCCTAAAACCTGAGATGTTTTTTACAATAGTTTTGAGAAAAGGTTACAACCTAATCTTGTTTATACAGGGCATTGTAAGGCAAAATAGCATATATGATTTGTATATGATATACTGCTATTTCATGATATATATATTTAAATGACATAGTTTTTACCACTAGTTTACTGTTATCTGCATGACACATACAAACTCAGAAGACACTGGTCATTGTGTGTAGTAAATTAAAAGCTGTATTCATAGACATCACAACCCCAGGTTGCTGTCACCACCACTGTGAAAAATTAGTGGAATTCCCCTTTAATGAACAACCTGACAGTTAAATTTAGTCTAAATTTTGCTCGGTATCTGTATGTGTTGAAGAAACCTGGTAGTTTTACATCAAAGTATGTATTTAATCAAGTTAATCAAAAGCACTTTAAGAGATGTTCAGTATTTAAGAAAGTATTAGTTTTTAAAAGTAGAAGTTTTCTGAAATGCATTTTTACTTGGCAACATCTGTCTAGATTCTGCATATTTCTGTTTTATATTTTGCTCAATTTGTGAAACTAAAGCCTACCGACTTGCTCTCTCTCTCTCTCTCTCTCTATCTCTCTCTTTCTCTCTCTCTCTCTCACACACTCTCACTCTCATTCTTGTTCTATCTTTTTTTTCCTATTCCTCATTTTTTTTCTTGAGCTTGGCATTGTCATCTCTAATCATTGCTGTGTCCTAACGCTTATCTCTCCATATTTGCAACACACACCTCAGATACGATATGAAAGTAAGACTGTTTAGAATTTTTAATGGACAATCCAGTCCCACACATTTAATTTGTAGCCTAGCTTGACTCCTAATCAGCAGTAAATTTGTGCTGCAGCCAGATTTAAGAATGTTGCAGAGCTTTATACTGTAAATGTCATGTAGAAATGATCCCCTTTTGGGGTTTTGGAGATATTCTTTTCTTATTTTCCCTTTCATTCTCACTCATTTGCCTCTTTTATCCTTTTTATCTCCCCTACAATCTGTGTTTCTCCTACATTTGTTTGCTTACTTCTGTACAACTATGCATCTCTCTCTCTCTCTCTCTCTCTTCTCTCTCTCTCTCTCTCTCTCTCTCTCTCTCTCTCTCTCTCTCTCTCTCTCTTTCTCTCTCTTTCTCTCTCTCTGTCTCCTGTATCCTGTTCGTTTTTGATTTCCTCTTCATCTTCATTTTTGCCAGGCTGTGTGTGGCGTTATGTTAGAGCCAGTGCCTCCTACACCCCTTATTTACCTCCTCTCTGCGACCCCAAGGATGGCCACCTCCTCGTGGATGGTTGCTATGTAAACAATGTCCCAGGTCAGAAATTCCCCCCCAACCCCACCCACCCTGTGACCAACTTCTTCAAAGTGAGAACCCCATGGAAAAAACAACCCACAACCTCCCCATTCTTTCAGATCCCTTTTTTTGTATTAACCCATTACTGACCAGTCGGACATTGGGAATCCATGGCTTGGAAGGAAAGATTAAAGTGTCCAACAGGAGGTGGAGTGGAAGGGAGTGACACAGTGCTATTCTTAGTGTTTGGATAATTTTATATTATGTTTCGACCAAAAATGTTAATGGCTACCAATGAATGAAAGCCAACTGCCATCACTTAGCTTAGCATTCCTGCATTTACTTCATGGCTGTTTGGTTTTATTCATTATGTGCACATTTGGCATTTTTGGTCAAGGTATACTTCTAGCACCAAATGTATATTTGGTTTTGTCCCTATCCATTATCTCCATAGATTCCTCTTATAAATTCATATTTATATGTAAGTCAGAACTGCATGGCCCAGCCTCATTTCAGTTGCTTTGCAAGATAATGAAAGAATGATGCAGCTGGTTATCTGATTCTACTAAATGCTATGTCTGCATGTGTTTTTGCGTTTTAACCCTAACCTGCAAGCTTTACGCTTTTGCCTGTAGTTGAGAAGAGCACCTTTTCATATCTCTTAAACCCTAGTAATGTCATTTGTTAGGGATTCTACTGGCCGATTCATACAGAATAAATTGTCTATGTTATTTCCCCAGATTACCTCAGATAGCCTGGAGCAAACTGTCATAGCCCAGATGTTCACTTCAGAGTTGAGATTAGAATGAAACAAATCCAAACAAACAAACAACAAAAATTAAGTTCGTGCCAAGTAGATGAGTATTAGGCTAGTAATGGGGGCTCATTCAACTGCCTAAGAGGACAGAAATCAATCTGTCCGGTGAAAGGCACCTTCAGGTATTTAATCTCATTCTCCTTCTGATTAGACCATCGCCAAAAATGTTTTAGATTAGATTTGGTTAGAACTAAGAGTTTACAGCACCTCCCTGGGTAAACCTAATCCAGCTCCAAAAGGGTTTAGATCCATAATTCTCACTGTTACCTCCAGTGTTCTTATGTAGGTTTGTTCTGAGGAATTTTGTTTTTTTTAGTTTTTTTTTTTCTTTTCACTTTTTGGAGCAAGTAGTGATTAGAAACAGTCGTCCAGAAGGGATGTCAATCGTTATTTGGCAAACAGTCAGTTGCTCTGCTTGTGAGGCACAGAGATTAAAGAAAGGTAGGTCGAAAGATGCTTTAAAACACACAAAAAAGCACACCTTCTGAGCACGTTTTCAGTGTGCAAAGAAAAAAGGAGCCATAAATACTGACTGCAGGCTGCTTCTTACTTGCCATGCCTGCTTAAATCAGAAAATAAATATGTTTTCAGGTCAGGTCTTAACCTTGATTAGTTTTGTTAGGTTTCTGACCTGTTAGTCAAACTAACAAACTAACTTTGTTCTTGCTATCATTTGGTAGTTTTGCGAAAGGTTTAATTAATTGTGTGTATCTGTAAGTCGCTTCTTGTTAAAATAATAGAACAACTAAAACTTACAGCGTTAAGTAGCTTGAGGGCTACTGTTACTCTAGCTCTGTGTTGGTGTAATCAGAACATAAATATCTTTAAGCCCCCATTCATGTTTCGTGAGGGACACCATTCCGTGCATGGAAGGTTGCTGCACGATATTTTTACAAATTGTTCTACCCTGTTGAAATTTCCTACCATAGTGCATATTTATAGGTGGATCCCTACTTTATAGGAAATTCATAGCCTAAATGACCCTATTAGAAAATGCTATCAGTGTAGATAGGAGGTTTTGATAGCTCAAGTAGTATTTTCAGAGGATGAGTAGTAATGTTAATACACTTGAAGTAAGGCTAAATCAACAAAAGCGCAATAAAATGTTTTATTGGTTTAACAAGTGTGACACTGTGTGGAGAAAAACACTGATACAGAATGATATGAAGTCATACAAGATTCAGGATTAAAATTACACATTAAAAGAATACTTGTTTAAAAAAAAACATCACAAGAGAAATTTAATTACTTTTGTGCACATTAAAGAGGCTCGTACACTGTTGTCATACATGACCTGTCAGGCAGAATGCATCCTAATTGCATCTGAAACCTGGCAAAAAAGGCTTAGTACATCTGGTCTTTAGTGTGAGCCCTTTTAGAGTGCTGGTAACACATGATTAGGCCACATTTATGTTGGCAAGTTGGACCATTCATTAAGAGCCAACTATTAAATATTGTCCACTTTTATTTATATGGATATTGTCCATTTTACAGTTGGGAACTTGCAATGTGGGTTGAAGGCCTCTTTTTGGCATGTCTCATGTTCTTAAACTGCATTCTTCATGAGTTCTACATGTTCTGGTCTTTCCACAAAGTCATGTGATTTTGTAGTGACTGTGCAAGTGGTTTCAAAATGGCAGCCCAGACTTAAGTCGCAGTTTTAGTTACAACATTATTTAATTATCTTTCTCGTAGTTGTTCAAGGCTACATTTTGATCTTTTACTGTTGTTTATCAAGTCCTTCGCCGTTTAATCCTCGTCCGTTCCTTCTGCTTGCATGGATGCATCTAAGAGTGATTCTCTTGCAGCTTAAGCTTGTCTTCTGCAGTATGCTTTCTTTACCTAAGTTGTCTGTTGTTTTATGCTTTTATCATTGTGTGCATTGTGTTCTAAAGATAAAGCTGCATTCTGGATCCTAAAAATTACAGCACAAACAGAGAAGTTACATTAAAGACAACACAAATGTTTCCTCAACTGAATGGCTACTTGACAGATGCAGTTCAGAAACATGGCACACCGTTTGCCCGGTTTTATTCACTCCACGCACTGATCACACCTGTCTCTGATATTCTCTTTCTCTGTGATGCCCCCTCTCTCCTTCCAACCCATGTTGCCGCCACACCTCTCCTGCCTCCTGCTGGTTGCTCTTGATACTGCAGGCTGGGACTGGCTGGCTGAGCCCATGTTCACTGAGCTTGTCTTCAACAACTCTGGCTCTTTTAACCTCTCTGCTAGATATGAAGTGTTAGAATGTATTAAATGTTAACCGGTTGAAATTTATGGTATATATGGCATATAAGTGTGCCACGCAAGGCAACTTAAAAGCAATTTAGGCCATCTACTAGGGCCTGACCAATATGAAAAATGTATCACTAAAACCAATACCAGTATCCAGTTCTGTCCAGGAGGAAGCACTTACTCGACTTCAGCTTCCCAGCTTGGTAGCACTGTGTGATACTGGCGTTGGTCACTCACATCAGGTGCTGTCTTGATGGGAGGCGTGGCTGTGTTCATCTGAAGGTTAAACAAAGCCAAATTTAACATATAAATAATTAAATGAATGAAGATTTTTTTATCAGTAGCCTTTGTTATTCATTAACGTACAAACCCAAAATTACGGACACGACTAATGAAAACATCAAACTCAGCACTGCGTTTAAACAATGTAAAGTCAGTAGCTCGCCCTTAGCTAACAAACACATTTGTAGGCTTTAGCTTTAGGGTACACTTAACAGAAGCAACGTGACAATTAAAAAAAAAAAAAGTCACTTGTAACCTGCCTTAGCACGTCTAAGGTGCGATCGTGCTGCAAACTACATTTAGCATGGTTTAATCTCTGCTATATCGCTTTGTTAAGCATAGCTGAGGAGCCAACACCATCTACAGCAACAAAAGTTTGAGTCGACTTCAGAAAACCCAGAGTTGTGTATCACTAAGCGCCCTTATATGTAATTCAAAGTTGACCCTCAAGTTAAATGAAACCCCTCCCCCCACTCAAATATCAGATATTTATCAGAAATATTTTTTCTAACTGAAAGCATTAGCCAAACGTTTGTTTTTGTCAGTCAGAAGTCCTTTGTTTAATTATTGACTTGTTTAATTACCTAAATGAATCAATACTTTTATCTGTGAGGTTTCCCCTGATGCAGGGGTAGCAGTAATTCGGTGGAAACTTAGTATCAATTAATTTTATCATCAGATTGATATATTGGTCGGGCCCTAACGGATTTAAATTCAGAGAAGAATATGTAAACAGATAAAAAATGGAATTGAGTTCCAATATGCATAATGCAGGGAGTGTTTGACAGAGTCAGTGTTTTTGAGTCTTCCTCACAAAATCAGTGTTAACTCTACCTCCTCTCTTTGTGATACACACACACCAATGGTCATCTACACTCCAGCCTCCCACACGCCATCCACGGGGTGACCATCATCGCGTTTTTCCCTCCGCTGGCCCGTGTGCCACTAACCTACGTTGCTGGCAGGTTGCCTGCACGTTTTCGTAGCCATTCTTTAGCTGTTATTAAGAGGTGGTATTCCTCCCTCCCTCCCTCCCCCCGTGTGGCAGGCTCTCTGTGGCGCTATGTGCGGGCGAGCATGACCCTATCCGGGTACCTGCCGCCCCTCTGCGACCCCAAAGATGGCAACCTGCTCATGGACGGCGGATACATCAACAACCTACCAGGCAAGTAGAGCCCCTCACCAGGCCTCGGACAGAGATGGCCTGTATGGGGACAGGGCCAGAGGAAAGATATGGGGTAGTCAACTGAACTGTTGAGTTGTGGGTTGTAAAAAGGACTGGGCACAGTTTCCTGCACTGATCATTGGATCATTGGAGATCATTGGAGCTTTAAGATCATGCTAACTCTTAGAAGTCTAAAGGTATTATACAATGAATTTACTATACATTATTTAAAGAGAAATGGCAATTAAATTACATAAAAATATATAATAAAAACTCAATTATGTGTTCTTTTGATTTTTTTATGGATGTAGATCAGAGTCTTTTCGCTAACATATCTCCAAATAAGATATGGCATATATTTAAGCTAACTAGTTAATGCTGATTAAGGTCAGTTTAGCTTTTCTAGCTAGCGTAGCTAATGTTACAGTTGTTTGGACAGTGGCTTTCCATTGTTGATTGTGTCAGAATGATTAGCAGCTGTTTACCTGCAGCACTGGCTGAGAGCAGAGAAGAGAGGCTTTTCAAAATGTCACAGTCATTGCTCTTTAAATGTCATTACAACCTGATAAGATTGTAATCGTATATAGTAATAGAATATCTCCTCTTCTGCTTACAAACACAAATGTGGGATCATCTTTTTGAACCACTAAACCCCATGTGTCAAACACAATCCTGTCCGGCCCACAAGAATATTTTAATTTTCTAGCAATATGTTTCACAGTGCGCTGCACAACAGTTCCTGGCATGCACTGCCACATAATGTGCGCTCTGACTCTCCTACCTCTACAACAATCTATGGGACAGTGGTTACACCTCAATTCTATGCAATTCTACACAATTCCACACTATTATATCACCAAACACAGTAGCTGCATTTCAGCTGCAGTTCAACCAGTATAAACACCTAACGTTAGCTCAGCAGCTTAGAAATTGAGCCCAAGTATCAATGAACTTGCAGCAAAGAAAGTACCAGGTGTCTAGTTCAAGCAAATAGGTAGGTTTAAAAGACTGAGCACCTGGGGACATTTAAATTCAATATTTCAAGTATCTATGTATATATTTTAGGATCTATTATAAGTGCCTTTCACTGCTTATTTTACTGCTAAAGTTTGTGCGTATGGCCAGTTGGGGTTGTAGCGCAACATTAATTAAAAATGAAGTATTTCCCACAGATTTTTTGAGATTTTTTAAATATGGCCCCTGTGGTTTGACACCCCTGCACTAAACTGACTGATAATTTCTCCGCTTGTTCTAATGAGCTACAAGTGAGAAATACTTAATATAGAATTACACAATACTTTTGTTATTGCTGGCAATAACTGTGACTTCTAATGGGTAACTATTAGAGATAGTATATCAAGTGATATCAAAGTGATTTACAGTGATCTGTGTGCTTTGATGATTTGGGGAAACTGTGCCCTTATCTGGTTGTGGGTAAGTAGTGTGTTTACCCTTTATTCGGGGAGATGATTAAGTCAGTAATTCTACTTTTTCCATCTGGGCTATCCATTTACAGTTTTAAAATGATCATTTTTTTAATTTTTTGAAATGTTGACATTGGTTGAAAGAAAAACGAATAATCTATTTGACTTCTTGTGTATGCTGAGCTCCAGATGGTGAAAGTGTCACAGGGTATGTGCTGTTGAGAGCATTGGTGGATGAGATTAGTTGAAATTTTCTTGATTCGCCACCACCCTCTAAAACTGCGCCCCACTGTCAGTGATATTCTGTCTGGTTTATGATTGAGCTACACAAAGAATACACTACACTTAATTACATTGTTCCTTGGCTTTTTAAGTAAAGCTTATTTTCCCCAAATCTAACTGGATACAAAAAGTGTCATACACCAGACAGTGTCCAATGTTATATTGTTATGTGAATTAAGACATGACTCTGCATGTTACAGAATTGACTTAATTGTGAATCGTATATTATTACAATGTTTATGTCAGCTTTGGTCCAAATGTAATTTACCATAATTAAGGATGCCTCTTATATAATTAAAATATATTATTAAAATAATTATTATTGATTATTCAGATTGGTCGCATTCAGACATTTAGATTGGTCTCAACTGAGATCTACACTGAGATTCACAAGTATGGCACTTTAACATGTTTCTGAAATGTCATGTCAATTGTGAGAGTCATTGGGACTGGGAAGACTGTATCTGAAACAGAGACATTCACTTGTTATTCAGCCATATCCATATCTTTAGCATTATTTAAACATGCTGTCCAAATACCTTTTTATGAATTTGATACATATCTTTTAAACATGGGGAACATAGTATTTTCAGTTCCAGTTTGAGCGCATGCAGTAATTCCATCAAAGCACAAGAATTAAATTAGACCGGATTTCAATCTGAGGGGCAACCTTTCAGTCTGTTGTCTAAGTGTAGCCATGCTCACTGTCATCTGCCACGTCCTATTATGCACTGGTGACAAACCTGTTCAGTCTAATCTGAGTTTAACTGAGAATTTATCTTGGCTTTTCCCAGTCTCTTGGCTCTCAAGCACCAAACACGCACCAGTAAGCTGAGTTAACCACTCTCTTCATGCGTTGTCGTAAGTTTAGGGCTGTCACGATTACTTGAATAAACCTGAAAAAAACACAGATTAAAATGTACATAATCAGAAAAGTCCTATTTATTTGTTCCCACTTTATTTCGATGGTCCCGTATAGATGATCTACAAATGCTTAAATTATTAAACTTTCTGTTGATAATAAGTTGATTTTCAACAACATTATGGGTTTAGGTTTAGGAGTCGGTGTAGGTTTTGTGTTGAAGTTCAGGTAAAGGTTAGATTTAAGAGAATCTATCACACTCAACTTCAATTGCATTTAATAGATATTTAGTTGAATGTTGGTTAAAAACAGACTGAGTAGCTACAGAGCATCTACAGTGGACTATTAAAATAAAGCGTTACCATTTATTTAATTTTCTTTCTTTATTAAATAGGGACAGATACATGAGTGTAGAAAACAACAAATTGTCTGATGCTAATAATAACATTTAGCATGTATAGTGATGCACAAATTTGCAGTGTTGCAATACTGGGAGTTTTAGTGATGATAAGGCATATTTTAAATTCTCCTACTGTTCTCTCTTATAGTAAGAAATAGGGCTGCAACTACTGATGAGTTCAGTATTCAAGTAATTGGTTCATTATGGCATCATTTAATCAATAATTGAAAAAACACATTTTAAAATCCCCACCCTGTAAATAATTTTCCATAAAATGCTTCACAAAAATTCCATTCTAGTGAAGTAGTTTTTTTTTTAAAATATCCCTATCCATGTGGAGAAAGTTTGGATGCATTAGCACACAAACACTCTGATAATGGACAAGTTTATTTTAGCCATGCAATTTAGAGCAAAATATAACTCATCCCTTAAGCCAACTGTGTTTATATTGCTGAAATAAAATTAAAATATCTAAAAAGCAGATGTTAACACTGATTAGTCGTTGCAGCCCTAGTAAGAAACTTGATGGACACAACTATTTTTAAGTTTAGTGATTGAAGTTTATCGATTTTATGCCTAGTTAATCTTCTTTTCAAAGGAAATGTTTGGAATCTTCAGTTTGTAGTTTTTTATTGTTCAATATTTATTGTTTGGCCTCTGAAAACTTACTTGATTATTCTGCAAAATAATCAGTAGATCACTCGACTACAAGTATAATCAATAATGACAGCCTTAAACTTTTCGACAGAGTCTCGAATTAGAGTGAAAGTTGATGTAAGCTGTGTATAATTACAGCATAGCTCACATCAGCTGTGTGCAGCTTTCTGGTTGTAGTGGTTTGTGTAATAAAAAGTTCGCTGCACTATTGTGATGAAATAATAACCGCAAAGTTTACTTCTTCCTGCTGCCCCTTGGATGTGTGTGTGTGTCTTTGCTTCCGATTATGATGCCCCACAGCGGACATTGCCCGGAACATAGGTGCCAAAACAGTCATCGCCATTGACGTGGGCAGCCAGGACGAGACCGATCTCTGTAACTACGGCGACAGCCTGTCCGGCTGGTGGTTGCTGTGGAAACGGATCAACCCGTGGGCGGAGAAAGTGAAGGTGGGGAGGTGGAAAAGGATAAATGGTGGAACAGATTGTTCTTGTCAACACTACAGAAATTGTGTGGAATCATCTCTGATGAAAGGCCCAGAGCCAAGCTGAAAATATCCACTAATCTAGGATGAGTTTTCATTAGGACAGGCAAAACCTCCTCCCAGCCAGTTTCCACTTGAACACAGCTTCAGTTCACACAAGACCTCTTTTATTTACCTCAAGTTACAGTCAGTACATCTTAAAGCTACTGATTCAAGTGACGATGCTCTGTTTAACACAGGGGTCACCAAAGGGTCAGCATTGCTGCAGGTTTTCATCGCAAGTCAATCAGAAGCACACTTAGTTTTACTAATCAGTTTATATGTGTCCAGAATGAGGAACAGAGCTGTAGATGATTCTATAATGACTAATATATATTAAATAAACACCCAGAATATCTCTATATACATTTGTGATCAGATTTCGAATCAGATGACTTATAGTTTACAGTATTTTATCAATTAACTTCTTGTTGTTCTCAAATTATTTTATATATTAAATATCTAAATATACATTTATGCTGTCCACTTACATGCTGTTCAAAACAATATAACAATATAAAATCAGTTTGATTTCAGATAAATGTATAAAATGAATTCAGTATGCTCATTCTGTGCAGTTTCATAGTTCAGTGTTAGATGTGTCCAGAATGATGAACAGAGTGTACATAATTCTAAAATAACTGCTGTAAAATGTTGAGAAAGATCTTGAGGTAGATGACTTGACTATATATATATATATATATATATATATATATATATATATATATATATATATTGGTAATAGATATAGCATAGAATTAACAATATATAATAACTCAAAATATTGAATATCTAATATCTTTGTCCGCGACCCAGAAGGATAAGCGGTTTAGATGATGTATGTATGTATAATATCTTTGTGTGTACTTCAAAAGATTTACATTGTTATGTATATGTATATAGGTATATGAAATAACCTAACTTATTAATATGTTAAGTGATTTCAAACTTTTGAACAGTAGCATATAGTAATACTTAAATCATTAACAAGCTGATCAAATAACAGAAAAGTATTGGAATTATTGTGACAAGTGATTCCACATTTTTACTGTAGGGCTACCCTAAAGAAACTGGGGCTGGAAATCAGTCCCTGTATCTGGTCAGCTTCAACCGATCAAAGATGATGTATCATAAAAATGACTCCAGCTACCAGCATAGTTCAATATAACTGTTTATAACTGTATACTTTGTAATGTTAAAGGATTGATTAATGAGACAGAATGATCATCTCTCCGTCAGGTTCCCGACATGGCTGAGATTCAGTCCCGGTTGGCCTACGTTTCCTGTGTACGGCAGCTTGAGGTGGTCAAAAAGAGTGCCTACTGCGAGTACATCCGGCCACCCATTGACCGTTTCAAGACCATGGACTTTGGCAAGTTTGACGAGATTTACGTGAGTGCAATTGAATTTTCTCCCACTGTATTGCATTTTAAGATTACTTGTTATATTATGATCATGCGGCATGTGATACTATACAGGTGCTTTTCACAGCCTGTTTGGATCTGAGATGATGCTGAACCCAAAATAGGAAAAGATGACCAGGAGCTGTTTTTTAAATTGGACAAGGATCAGAAATTGGATTACAGATATTTTCAGTGCGCCAGGCACACACAAGAAAAGTAACTGAAGAGATAGAACTGACTAAAGACAAGGCTGAACAAAGCAATGCAAATAGGTGGGGTGTACACAGACACCGGTGATTAAGATAAGGATGATTGATGATTTCTGAAAAATTTCATGCTTAACCAAAGATACAGCATAAACAGTACTTTTTAAATCAGACACAATTACAGTGACCTTTGTGTACATTATTTTTGTGTATTACTGAATTTTGGGTATCTAAGAGGTACAGCTCGTTAGTTCCTTATGCAAATGTTTGTGCACCCCTGTCAAATGACATGTTTTGTTGATTTTTTAAGTGAAAATAAGTTACACATCCTCTACACAGAGCATACTTCAGCAAATTTTATTGCACAATTACTGTTTATTTGAGAAAAAAAGTCTGGTTAAATTTTTTTTTTATCCAAAGCAAATGCATAGAAATGCATAGAAATGATATTCTAAAATCTGTAGAAAATTGCCATACTTGAGTTTTCTTCTCTGGAGATGATGTGTTAACTTCACTCAGGAAATCAACAAAACATGTCATTTGACCAGTGGTGTTCAAACTGTATATATACCCAGATGCCCTCTTCCTCTTTTTTACACAATAATAGTCTGTATTAGTACATACCAGTATAGCCTAGTGTGTCAGTTAAAGCCTGATTTTGTTGACCCTTGGTTTGATCAGCTTCAACAGAAATATTGCCAATATTACACGAATAATTGTAGTTTTTGTTTTCTATTCGGACACCGCAGTCTCCCTACTATAGGGCTAAACCTTGCCACTATGGACCCCAGTATAAGTCACTCCTCTTCAGCATTTATATTATTTAAGGCTTGGTTAATTTCTTCTGTTTATTTGAGTTTAATCAACAATCATATCATGATATCATGGGTCATGACAGTCATATCAAGCCCTGTTTAACTGAAACTGTAACATTACATTGGCCGAAATTATTTATTATCAGAATTTTTAGCCCCTTAAAATCAATATCGACCGCAAAATGTTTATATCAGGCAGGCCCTGGTGACAGTATGACCACTGTGTATTTTACATTTGCAGGACGTGGGCTACCAGCACGGGAAACTGCTGTTCACCAGTTGGGCCCGCGGTGACATCATCCAGAACGTGCTGAAAGACCACCGCTCAGCTGACTATACTGACAGCAAGAAAACTGATGTGAGTGCTGATGAAATGCTTGATTCATATGAGCCTACTTTTACATCTCCCAGCGATCTCTTTAGTTTCCTTGACAAACCAAGAGATTCAATATATAAGTAATAGTTTAAATGGAAAGTTGTGTGTTGATACCCGTGTGTCCAGATCTGAGTACTCATGTAGTTTATCCATGTTCTAATAAACACAAGCACTTCAGACGGCGGAGAGCTGACTCAAAGTGTGGTGTTTCATAGCCTTATACCTACATTAGGTTGAAATGTGGTATTTTGTTTGTTTACTGTTGAATGGCAGAGCTGCACGTGTCCCGGGGCAGACTTCACTGACCTGGCTGAGATTGTGTCCAGGATTGAGCCGGTGCAGAGCTACGTGGGGGCTGATGGTAACTTGCTACTAACTAGAACTTAGCAGTGTTGAATGTACTCTGTGTGTTCTGTTCTGTAAGGCCCTGAGTTGGACCAGTGCTGTTGCAGATTTTATTGAGCAATGCGTTGGCCCTGTTCATGCCTGGTATTAACATCCACGTGGAGTGATCTGATCACAAGTGGACAGCAAGATGTTTATCCGTTTACACCTGGCATTTTCATGTGTCTCGATTGTGTGTCCGGTGATGACCTGATTGTGACTGGAGGAAGGGTTCCCTGCACATTTACTATGTCAGTCTATCGCTGCATTCATTGTCAGACAGAAATGTCCCATGTGTCTTTGTTGGTGTAAATGTACAGGCTTTTACAAACAGTTAAATTACGCAACTTAAAACAAAATAGGAAAAAAGACAAAGAAGCTACGCAAAGCAGCTCCTTTCCTCTCGGCTGTGATATCACAGTTGATTAAGGTGGTCATTTGTTGCTGTCGGTGTTGCTTCAGGGTGCTCAAATGATATGTGTCCCTGACCACTTAATAAGGTGACTTGAGTGATAGGATCACGGTCTCCGAGACGCTTTGTACCCCATTTACACCTGAACTCAGCGAAGTCCACTAATATTCAAATAAACCAGGACGCATGTTAATGCCAGACGTGAATGGAGCCTGAGAGTGTTGATAATGTGAAACAGTTTGATGTCATCGAGTATGCTGTGATGATGGTTTTATGTGTGTATGCGCAGCAGAGGAGTCGGACGGTCTGACAGAGTATGAGGAGGATGGAATGGACACAGTGAGGGAGGAGGAAGGTGAAGAAGAGGAGGACGAAGCTGATGACCCTGAAGACCACTCACCTGGGGATTGGGGAGCAAATGGCGTCTTTCAGGCGGTGAGGAAAATACACACACGGGTGCTACTGGTTTAAGCTTTTTTAAAATAATAGTTTTATTACAGTCACAATCACAATGTTTAAAATTTTGGAATAACTTGTAATCTTAAGAATTGTAATTTAATTCAGTAATAACTTAAACAGTGTAAACATTATAGACACCAGATGCTGTTTTTGTTTTATCCAGATGCTGTTTTTAAATTTTATGTATTGTGGGAGCAGTGGCTATAAACCCCTTAGCCTAAAGAAAAAAGAAACAAAGTCCTGTGCAGCAGTCGATGGGGCGTGTTTCAGAGAGGGGGGTATCACATACAATCATGTAATCAGCAATCCAATTTTTTTAACAAGATGATTATTATTTGAGCAATCCTAATAACGTAAGGTGGATATACTCTTACGATTTGTAAGAGATTCCTGAGCCCACGGTATGTTCACAACAGCGCACCGCGAGCACGTCATTCTGCCCACATAGTTTTTAAATAATGGATCTAAATCTAGGGAGAAAAGACTAACATAAAAAAGATATCAGTGCAAGTGTAATACAATATCCTGCATGTGAAAATAGCTATTTTATATAGATGCTTTCATTCATTGTGAAAGTATGATATTCATCAGGTATCAGACTCTGAAATGGATCTCGAAACAAATGTATTGCAGTGGGATGTACGCTACCACCACATATTAGAATACTACAAGCTAACTAGTCTTACATTATCAAGTTTTATCAGTGCATGACAGGTGGACATGAGCAGAAAATACCGAAACACCGAAGGACCATGCTCGTCGTATGACCAGTGAGGGAGTGGGCGGTGGTCGGGGGCAGTCAGTCAGCACAGCACTGATACATGCAATCAGCACAGTCAGGATCAGTGCCAGCTGTATGTCGGGCTGAAATGAGGATCAGCAGAATGGCAGCTGCCTTGGTCACCTATGCTTTAAAACTGACCCTGTTTAAAACAACACAATGTCATTAAATTATTAATAATATGCTATAATTATCTAATTATAGTTATTTCTGGAATTTTTGAGATTTGATCACTACTTTTAAAATAGGAGGCAGGCTGGTTTTTATACTTACTTGGCTTTCTCAGTCATTTTACATAATTTACAGCTCTGTTCATCATTACTGAAACGTCTAAAATGTCTTACCATTTTTGAAGCCTATGAAACTGGAGTGCTGGTATCAAATTAGAATAATTTTATCTATCTGCAACAAACTTTTTATCATTTTTTTAATTAATATTAATACTACTACTAATGATAATAGCTGAAGATATTTGCCCCAGACTTCTGAATGGCAATTCGAAGCTTTTGAACAGTAGTGTAAATACTCTGTGTGCGTGTGTGTGTGTGTGTGTGTGCGTGTGTGTGCGCGTGTAGGACGAGGAGAAATTCCCCCGTCAGAGGAGGAAGAATCCTAGCGACTCAAACACGTGCTCTGAGTTGTCTGACTGCTGACAGGAAGTGATGCGACATCCAGACATCAGAAGGCACGTGAAAGGGAAGTAGCTCCCTCACGTACGGATCTGGAGTGGAATGATAGAGAAGAGAAGTCAAGGTAGACCGAGAAGATGAAGATGGAGACATGATGGAAAGAGAGAGAGAGAGAGAGAGAGTGGTCAACCAAAGATAACTGTGCTACACAACATACAGCAACACCACTAAAACCAACCCAAACAAAAACTGTGACACCTGCTCTTCTCTTGTTTTGAGGGGAAAACAAAACGTTCCCTCTGTAGTGCTTCATGACAGTGAGCATCATGGGATTTGGGGCCCATGCAAAGAAGTATCGCTACCTGAATTTAGGGGCCTTTTCTACTTTTTTCCCCTTTTTTCCTTTGGAAGACAGTAGGGAAATTTCACAGGGCCCAGTGAGGCACAGGTTTTCCGTAACGGCCAGTACAGAACAAACTGCGTATGTAATGTCTTTGTTTCACTTGGTACGGCAACAACCTACCATTACCATTGGAACTGTACGTGTCTGGATGTGTGTGTATATGTGCATGTGTGCTTCCAGAGATAGAAGAACTCTCTTGGGTAAGAATATGTTCACAGAATATTCTTCTGGAGTCAACTGCACTGTAAGTAGTCTGGAGCAGCTCTGAGGTGTGCTGGAATAGATCTGATAGCAAACAGATTCACCTCCATAGAATAGTAATGCCTTAGTAGCTTTTGTCCATTTTCAGGTCATTTTTAGCTTTGAATGGGATGGGTCCTCTACTCAAGATCATGATATTTACCAAATACATCATGTTAGCTACTTCTTCACTACAGTTACACTACGCTAAAAGAATGTCTTACAGACCTGACATAGCTTGTTTTGATTAAACTGTTTTCTCCTCTTAAAAATACACCAAAATACATCATACGCCTTAAACGTTAAACACACAGAAACCATATTTCCAGAAAGAAACTTTAGCATGTATTTACTTTTACACTTTTAAGCTTCCATAACACTCTAATACACCCTGTAAATGAAACTGCAAGTAACTAATTCTAGATTTTCGAGGTTATCCATCAGCACTGCTACAAGTCAGTGTTGTGTCATGTGAATACTGTATCACCCAACACTAGTGGAAATACATTGTTGTATGGGAGGAAAATCTGACAGTAGAATAATAGTAACATTATTAACCTTATACATTACCCGTCCCATCCAAAGATAATTTCAAATAGATTGTAGCTGCCTCTGTTCTGCAGGCTTTCCATATGCTAGAATAAGATCTTTTCAGTACATTTTCCTGCAACTGGAAAGGATAAAGAGTAACCAGTATGTAGATAGATTTTAATGATGAAATGGAAAGTAGTATAGGACAGGTAAGGTAGGTACTGGTGTAGTGTGTGATATTTACTATAGGGACCTAGAAATGTAGGGATGGAGTGATGGAGTGAAGGTTAAGCGTTGTGAAATGGGACTAACTTTAAAGACTAAGTAATGTAGAGCACAGTCTAAAACCCTAAAAGTGCACTAAGAGAAATCTGCTGTACAAACTTTTATATTTTAACACAACACTTCATTCAATCATGTGTTGAGCCGTGAAGTTATGCAGTTTACAAGTAACACTCCAAAACATCACTTAGTGTACTTTTAAAGAAAAGGATGGAAAACCGAGTGATTTAAATGTTGTTAAGTGCAAGAGATGAAAAGAAATGTAGGGAATGAGGCAGTTGTGCCCAAAATGTGTGTGTGTGTTTGTTTGAGGGCTTACTGAAAGAAGCTACACTCCAAAATGCTCATGTTGCTAATAAGGAATGAAAGCTATTATGCAAATCAGAGTTCTAACTGAAAGCGTTCATTCGTTGTTGTCCTCATTAGCATTTTGGGTGAAATGTGTGTGAAATGTCTATGAAATTGAGTGAAACTGAGTGAAGTGCAAAATGTCTGTGTGTTGAGTCTGCCTTCAGCTGCTGGCCTGTCAAAGAAGGATGCCTTTCTTTTGTTTTTGCACATATTCACACAGCAAAAATGGCCATATAGAAGGACACGTATGCCCTGCCACGTCCTTCAGCTCACAGTGCTATAGCTCATAAAGGAGCCCCTTAATCCTCTGGTCCTGGTTCAACAGTAAAGTCCTACCTTAGCTTTTTGGCCTTCTCCTCCAGTGGAAACCTGTAACTGAGCATTCACGCACCTTCATGTTAAGAGCTGTAAAAGCAAAAAAACCACACTGCTTTTTCTTTCTGATTTCATTATTCCTGCTGAATTGTTCATTTATATTTAAAGGGTTGCCAATTATTTTTATTTATTTGTTTTACCACTGACATTTTTTAAAAATGCATTTTTAACCATTGAAACGAGACCAGAATGGTCTACACAATGGAAAAGGAACACAATGATGGACTATTCAGTATACAGTTTTCTCATTTAGGTTGCTTTAGCATATTTTGCACTGATTAAGAGAGAAAATAATTTGTTGATCTTATGTTTTTGCAGTACTATATCAAACGCAAACAATGCTGTAATGGATGATTTCTGTACTGTAAAGGTAACAATTGCTAAATAATAAATAATTAATTAATTCCAAATTGTCTGCCTACTTGTTTGCACCGCTAAATCAACCTGGACCCAAAACGTGACCATGCTTTGTTTCCTTTTTTGGGGGTACAATGGTCTCTGAAAAAGACATTTTCATGTAGGGGTGTGAAGAAATCCACGCAACTTTCGTTTTCTTTATAAAAAGCAGTCAAAGTCATTATAACTTAAATAAGAACGACAAAAACACTTGTTGCAAGATTTTTTTTTGTATTTATTTGTTTTAAGTTTTTAAATGTTTTTTCTTTTTCTCAAAAAAATCCTGAGGTATTCACAATATAATGGCATTTATTTCATTTGAAATATTGAGGAAATGAGACTAAAAGGGGTATAAATGAAATAATGGAAAGAAACACAAAAGCATTGATAAAGCTGCAATGGTTGTGTCTATAAAACAAGAGTCGGGGATATTTAGTTTTGTTCTTTTAAAATGCCAAAAGAAAAACTTCCCAAGACAAGCTAGCTGAAATTGAAGCTCGGCAGATGACACTGTTAAAAGGTTTTCTACTTGCTATGCTGAATTTGTTAGATTAAACCAAACTATTCCAGATAGACAGATAACTGTATTACTCATAAACCAGGAAACTGAAGCGCTCTAATTACAGTTGTTGTTGGCACGAAAGCATGTCTATCAGTGAAATTTTACAGTATTAGGATGTCTGAGTCACAGAGATGCCAACAACAGCAAACAGTATCCAAGCTAATCACTGACACCAATTTTCTTAAGAATTAACTACGTCCTACGCAACATAGCAGACTATCTGAACCCAGAGGAAGTATCTGATTTAAACAGAGCCAGCTATTCCAGTACAAGTGGAGCTTTTTAACAAATCTAAATTTCATCTTCATTGAACAGAACATGGTGAATTTAAATGGACCTGTGTTCCATCACATTGTACAGAAAACTCCAGTGCAACAGCAGCTATGAATGATGACATTTGCACATGATGAAGACACATTCTAACCATTTAGCTCTATACAGCATAAAGGAACCTGATAACAGCTCAAGAAAGTGAAACCTAGCTACACACGGATGGAACTCAGGGTCAAATCATGGTCAGCAGACACAAAAAAAAGAGAAGAAAAACGAACGTCAACATTGCAGGGTGAGAAACTAAGTGATGAACTGCTCACTCAGCTTTGAAAAGAAAAAGACACACCTTTGACATGATGTTCCTGAAGAAAGACCCAAATCTTTACAAATCTATGCCCATCTTCTCTCGGAACATCACAATGTCTTTGTTCAATTTGGTGTGATATTAACCCTGAAGATAATAGTAATATAACAATAATAACAATAATAATAATAATAATAATAATAACAATAAAAATAATAATAATAGCAACAAGACACAATTGAGACACAATAAAACAAAAGTTGCAATGAATTGAAACTGAGGAGAAAAAAAAAGCATTTTGGTTTTCTAAACGTACAAAAGACACTAATTTTACACTCCTTTCCTCACCTGCACGCAGAATGCTAGCATGCCATGTGGGAAAACAAAACATGACAGATCTTAAACCTATACAAATGACATCAACAGCTTGAAATCAAGCAACGATAAAAGTACAAATTTTATATTGCCCCAAAAAAAAACAATTAAAACAAGATAGGGTGACATAAAAAGGCAAAAGTGTGTCTTTTTCTAAAAACACAAACACAAAAACACAAACAAAACAATTAAGGTACAGAATATATATATATAATATGTAAAAATCATAAATAAAGATAGTTTTATGCCCCCCTGCACCAGTTCCCCTCCCAACAAAAGTCTAAAATCAATGGCAGTTACATCCGAGATCATAACATGCAATTGATACACTTACAGCACTGGACAAACTAATCCCCGACCTAACCCCCATCTAACCTCGTAAACCCACCCGCTCCCCCCCGCCCTGCCCCGTTACAATCCTTAAATATTTGTCAGCTCATTCGAAAACAAATAAACCAAACAGAAAAGAATAAAACACTTCTCTTTCTACCAATCTTGAATTTTCGCCGCACTAGCTGTAGGCAAAAAAGAAAAAATAACAGTTTCACTCGCTTCTCAGGAGAAAAAAAGAAAAGGAACAAAAGAAGGTATTCAGATTCTCTTCTCTAACCGCAGTTCCGCCTTACGTTGTGTGTGTGTATATACAGGAGGCTTTAGAGCTAAAGCAAGCTGACTTGATTTGAGTGACTGCATAGTGAATATTTGGTTTACTTACAGACGGGGCCAAAAAAATTAAATATAAAAAAATACTCCCATCATACTGCAACAGAGGAGTACATGCCTGAGCTCCAAAAGAAAGAAAGAAAAAAAATAAAGTGATGCCACTGCCACAAACAAACTCACGCACACCCACACAGGCTTACATACGAAGTCTAATGCTATTGAAGCAGCGGCGAACACCGTATTACTACCTACTTCTCATTCTGTGGGTGAGGTCATGTACTGCTACTGTCGTAAAGAAATGGGTTAGGAACTCAAACATACCCACATGCATGCTCACATATTCAGACATCAACTTGTCAATTAAAGTAAAGCAGAAAAAAAAACAAAAAACAAAAATAAAACTGAACTAAAAACATATCAGCAACAGGGAGAGTGGCTGTACAGTCGCAAAGAAATCAGCACGCAGAAACTTTACAAGACGGATGTGTGTGTGTGTGTGTTCATGTATCTCAGCATGACAAAAGGTACAAGGTATGAGACCCTATATGACACAGCGCTCACAGCTCTGATTACTACTGTTCTCATTCACAAACTTTTGGTTTCAGAGGGCTAGCAGGATCAGTTCTATGTGTATGTGTGTGTGATTGACAGCTTGGCTTAGGCTGTGTTAAACACAAGACCCCTCTACCCGCATCCGCCTCGCAAGCACTCAAACTAGAGTAAGCAGCCCCCACTCCCCACCTCGCTTGCCCGACAGAGGCGTCAATGTCACCGTAGTAACATTCAGCATTATCAGCCGCTATATTGATATGGATAGCAAGTAATCAGAATAAACCAGTTGAATTTGTTTCGTCAATGACACCTTTGGTGGGTAACGTCATGGTCATGTTTCGCAGTGACAGACAGAAAGAGCAAGTGACTGACTGACAAACTGACACAGAACTGCATTATTTTGGGCAAGCGTCTACAATATTCTACATCCAATTACAACGACATCCAACTACGATACAATCGGATGGGCTTTGCAGAGTAACTACATTTGTAGGGATGTGATGGTTGAACTGTGTAATTGTCACCTCTTAACTGCAGATTAAAACAAGTTTAGTGCTTTTACTGCAAATATAGCACCACTGTCAGAACAAAACATTGCATCTTCAATATGAAAACTTTTAGAAGGACCAAAAAAAAACTTTTTAATGTAACAAGATTTATTCCAAGTAATTTTAGACCGTTTTTATTGGTAAATTAGAGTAAAAAGGAAAAAAAAACGAAGAAAAAACAAACAAAAACAAAAAAACAGATGCAAGCTTTTGACGACAGTGACGATGTGCATTGAGGGAACAGATATAATGTTTACGGGCTATAGGCTAATTTTAAAATGGTTTCTGATCTATAAAGACCGCCTCCTCCTGAAGCACCTCTGATTGATTCATTCTCTTAGATAAAAATGGCAAAAAACATGAAAAAAGTAGGGAAATCTCTAATACTACATCCACCACAGGACGGAACCAACTACAACTATTACAAAACACACCTACCTAAATGACTATCAGTGAAATATAGCTCTTATATATAGATATAACCACTATGTGTCTACTCTGTGCCTTTAATACTTGTTCTACCTGCTATCAGCTAGCTGTGAGGTGTGAACAGAGGGTTAGCACTGTGACTATGTTTCTATGCTAAACCTATGATGTGCATATGCCCATCATATATATATATTCACTTTTCTTTATCTCCACACCTCTCCTTTCACTTTGTTCCGTGGTCTTATCATCTCTGTTTACGTTCTTCCTTGAATGTATTTGGTAAATGTAGAGACATTGCAGCTTTTCACTTTTTTTTTTTGGTTTCGTGAAAGAAAAAAAAAAAGAAGAAGAAAATAAGTCATTGTCCTTTGGGGAACAAAATAATTGACAGCAGCATCTAAAGCAAAAAGTAGCAGCAGCAGCAGTAACAATAAATAAATATAATAATTGATTTAAAAAAAGATTCAATAATGATCAATACGACAGTAAAAATAACACGAACTAATTCGTCCCTAGCAATATAGTACATTGGTTTGATACCATTGAAAGCTTTTATGCAATGTCCAGCTAGCTCGCCTCACCACAGCAGTCAGTGAAGATCCCCTTACTGAGAAGTCCTAACCTGCACACGTCAGTGCTCAACTTAAATAAAAGTAAAACACTCTGAAAAACCTGTACCTTTTCTTATAGACCTTACTAAGCCCTTCTAGTCATACGTTCCTTTTCCCCTCTCATATCTCTCTCTGCCACTGGAGGGCTGTCACGATTACACGATTAAACTCAATTACGCAATGCTAAAGTAAATAAACCAAGTAAATAATACATTAAAATTTACTTGATCAGTGAATCAGCAGTGATTAGTTGACCGCTCACATGATTATGATGCATATTCTCACTTAAAGTAGGGAGAAAGCCTAATTAGCCACTCATTCACAGGCATTCTTTTTTGCCATGTGGTGTTTTCATGTATACTGCATATAACAAAGTCTTTTTAAGGCTTTTTCACATTGGTTTGGAATCTTCTATTCATGATTTGATATTGTTTCGTCCATATCGTTTGGCCTTTTCTAAAAACTCTAATTACTCTATTAATCACCAAAATAATATGTAGATTACTCCGTTAGTAAAATAATCGATAGTAAAAGCTGATGTAAGCTATACTAGAAGTCTTCCTAGTTTATCTTTTTGCAAATAAAGTACATCATAATCTTTAAAGGGTTAGGAATGGTTTGTTATCTTCAAGTCTTATTTGTAGTGTTAGGCCTTTTTTAATCGTCAAAATAATTGGTATTATTCGTTTAACTGTCATAATATGAACTATTATAATTGACAGTGACAGCCCTGTTCCAATGCCTAGAACATCCATCCATTGTCGCCCACCTCTTCATCTTTCTTCGCTTTCCTTTATTCCCGTCCAACCTCAATCTCCCTGCGATTTTCTGCCATCCTGACATCCTGACCTTTCCTGTCAACGTACAGTGTCCCATTTCTTACTATCCCAAATGTCTCTTTGTCTCTCTTTCCTCATTCAGCCTAGCAGTGATTTGGCTTTGAGGAGCAGTGAAGTCTCAAGGTCTACAGCTTTGGTTCTGGAAAACGTGGATGAATTTCCAAAGAACAGCGAGTGTGTGGAGTGAAGTGGACTGGTGACAAAAGACTGATGGACAACTGAAAGTGGTGTAGACCCAGTGTTGCATCAAATAAAGCAGTGAAAATCAAAATTGCTTTGGTCTGCTGGAACTCAAATGCTCTTTACAAGTGAAAACAAATCAGGCAGAAAGAATGAAGTGTGAATGAAATGGTGGAAAGGAAACAAAATGATATAAAGTATGGTAAAAAAATTGGAAGGAAATGGATGAGTTTGGAGGAGTTTTAGAGCAAAAATGTTCCATTGTTGATGTTTTTTTAAGATCTTTGTCACTTGATCGCCTGAATACCACTGTTTTACACATATCCATCTTCCTATCCATCTATTTTCTATTTCCCACGTCTCTTCAGCGGGAATCAATAGAAGACAGCTCAGTCACCATGACAACTTTTCTCCTGTTGCCTGATCACTTCCTTCAACCAGTATGTGGTCTCAGGTGGCCATGATTTTGTCTGATGCCTTTCTTCACAAGTATAATCCATTCACAGACTATCAGTCTTCCTGCTTTTGCATACCGATTGCGCTCCTGAGGTGTATATATACTGTGTAGTCTATATATATAAAACGCTACAAGCTAATTTTTTTGTGTTTTATCTTTACAGTCAAACAAGATCCCATCAAATGTATCTATGATGCATGAAAGTTAGTCAAAGTAAAACGTTCAATGAAATCTTCCAACAAGTTCAAATTCTATAAACGTGAGTTAGAAATGTGTTAGCTCAAAAACGTCAACAGTAATACACTTCAGGACACTATCTAAATCCTCTTCTGATTTCCTGTACTGTTTCGCTGCACTGCTTCCGTGCAGTAATGTGAAGACTTGCCGTATACTAAAACACAAGTCTACTAAGACTTGTACTACAGACACACAAACATACACACACTCACCTTGGCTCAGTGTTGTTAGACTACTCTGTTCAGTCCCTGAGTAAGGGGCTATGGAGGATCTGGAAGCTAATGACCATGGTGCTAAATGACTTTATGACTTTGCTATCAATATATGACTGTACATTATCTATAGAGTGGCTACCCACTGCGCAGCCACCTATGGCTTACACTGATTGAACGGAAGTGAACGCGTAATGTGAGTACGTGAACTCCTCGTCTGACAATATTCACAGCTGTACAGTGGACTATAGCTTATGTTGGTAGTGGAAGTCTATGACACTATACATGTTGGGCTATGATAAGTGAATGTGCACAAACTAGCTACTGCTAACACTAACGTCCGTCCTGAAAGACTGGTGGATGGAAAGAAAGAAAAAAATAGATATATATATTAATATAGATATATAAATATGTTTCAGATTTACAGCACACTTGCCCATGTCCGTCTGTCAGTCAGGCTCTCACTTTTACTCTCTCTCAAACCATGTCCATAAATCACTTGCCCCGTCCCTCAGTCTCTTTCTCTTTTTATCTCTCAACCAGCACCTTTATCGATCCCCAACCTGCACACAATCCTCTCGCTCTCCCTCCGTCCATCGCTCCATCTCTCTCTCTGTCTGGCTACCTGCTGAACAGTGAGTGGAGCTGATGTTGGCTGTAGCATTGGCTGCTGCGTGGAGACTCAGTGCGCTCCATCACGTTCTGGAACCAGCCCGCCACGTCCACGTCCAGCACCTCGTAACGCCGAATGAAACTGTGTTCCTGTGGAAAACAGGTTATGAGGTCAGGAGACAAAGGCTCATTCAGACTGTGAGGTATATTTGCACTGACATGTTAGGTTGTATATCACTGCTGTCAAAAAAAAAAACAACAGCTTTATAGAAAAGAAACTTTAATGCACTGTCAAAACAAGCGATGCACTGTGAAATTTGGCATTGTTTCTTTAGCTCAGGTGTCCAATCTTTTCCGTGAAGGGGTGGTGTGGCTGCAGGTTTTCACTCCAAACAAGCTGAAGCACATCTGACTCCACTTGTTTGATCAGTTGGTCTCAGTCTTCAAGCATTTCATCAGGTGATCTTCTGCTTTGTTGGAGTGAAAACCTGCAGCCACACTGAGCTTTGGCAGGTAAGATTGGACACCCCTGACTTAGCTTATGTACATCTGCCCCAGATGTATTATAATGTAGGCACATCCCTGTTGGTTCAGTCAAACATATAAGCATGTAGACTCTGTGTGGAAGAGGCCTCCTATATTGTTGGATATAATTAATGGTCACAGAGCTGTCTTATGAATCAGTAAGCACTTACTACTGTTTCATCACAATAAACATAACTGATGTGTTTTATGTGCATGTTTGAACATAGTTTGCAGAACAAAATGTTCAGCTTTGTTAAATAAGACGTTCTTTGCGTATCAAATAAACACAACAGCATTGAGAAATCATAAAATTATAAAAGAAGAGCAGATTAAATGGCAGAATTGGCCAACAACCTTAATGAGGTGGAATATAGGACTTGTGGGTCAATCTGTACATATGAACATATCTGCCAGTGCCAATATTGATGCTGATAAATAAACATTAATAAAAACTTAGAAACTGAGACTACATCTACCTGAATTAGAACTACAAATAAGTATAACATTATTTCTTTAGGGTTACAAATACAGTTCATATGACAGCAACAATATGTTACTGAAGGAAAGATTTGTTTCTGTTTATTTTTCATTCAACTGGATTTAACTCCTTAGTTCAGTTATTCAGTTATTAATATGTATAATATTATCCCTTAACTACTACCTTATTTATAAGGCAAAGGACTAGGTCTGGACCTAGTGATGGGGCCCTAGAGCTAAAGGAGTTAACTGTAGCTAATCACCTGAGACTGATATGGAATCATCTGGAATGTATAGTAACATAGTGAAATAGCTGATATATAATTTCAGAACATACTGCAGTACAATTATTTAGCACAGAGAGACACTTACAAGCAGCTTGTGGTATTTTGGCCTTTTTCTGTGATCCTTTGTGAGGCTGCAGAGACAAAGAGAATACAATTAATACAATTTGTTTTATTGATTTTTACCCAATTCATTCTGGCCAAATCCCACTCGCTAGCTAGTTTCCATGTAACATGTTCAAGAAGAAAATCACCATATTCATCAATCAAAGAAATAAGCACATATGTGTATGTGTGTGTATACATACATACATCCCCAGTTGTTGATTTTCTAAATTAAAATAAGTTAACACATCCTAGCATGTGCCTTAACTTTTGCACAGTCCACATTTTATATTTATGTTAAATATGTTGAATTCAGCGAATAAATAGTAACTGTGCGTTAAAAGGAACAGAAATGTGTTGTCTGTAGAGGATGTGCTAACTTATTTTCTCTTCATTTAAGCAGGGAGCATACAACTGTATCTTTTGTCCTTGACAAATAAGAAAGGAGTTCAGAAAATAAAGCCCATCCTTTTTTGTGGTGTGTGTGCATGTATATACCAGTCTTTAACGAAAGACTGGAAGTCCAGAGAGAAGCCCATGCTGAGAGGCAGAAGAGGAGGGTCTTCCTGCAGCACTTTGGTCAGAACCTCAAAGTCTGTCTTACAGTTCTTATATGGGAATTGCCCTGTGGCCAGCTCCACCTACAGGACAGGAGGAACAAAAAAAAAGTCTTACAAAGTCTTACAATATTCAAAAATGTCATGAAAGTTTGAAAGTGTCATATTTACTATCCAGCTAGCAGTAAAGTTCAAATGAAAAAAAGCAAAAGGGCATCTTTTCATATGGATTCAGTGCACGCCAGGGTGCTGCACAGCACTCTAAACACAACATCATTTACTCTGACTGAGTGTGGCCTGCATGGTTGCCTGCATCACTGGACTGAGTGGTGCTGAGTGTATCGGCATGTTCTGTGGTAATTTAATTTTGTTTACTGCTTTTGTCATTTTAAATATATTGCCCAATTTAGGAGTATTACATTCTAAGATGATGCTTCAAGACCAGGTTGAAAAGAGTCACACTGCAAATTAAACTAATCTAGAATAGTCCGCCAACCAAAAATATGTAGCCATCTGTGGTCCTGCAGTTAGAAACTGATCACTGATGAGGGGCTAGAGGACTGCAGAACTGAAAGTCTGACAAAATAAAAAGACACAAAGCATATGTCTATGTTTTCAACCAATCAGCTTGAATAAAACAGATAGTAACACACCAAATTTGCATCTGTGCACATTTTTCCTTTTTTTAAGGTCTTCGGTAGTAAACGGCACTGAATGTAATATTAAAAACTGTGCAGCAACTCTGTATAGACAGACCACACATTATTCACAGATTAATATAGAATATTAATATAGCTATAATATAGAAAGAAAAACTAAGCTAAGAGCGTATATGGAAAAAGATATTGTTCGTATTAAAATAGTTTTAGTATTAAAAAAATTAACACAAGATTAAACTGATACAGATATAGCTCGACACTGCTGTGGCAAATGTGATGAGATATAATGTAAAGTGCTATGCTATAATGTGTTACAATATGGTAAAAAGTGTTAGTTAATGCTTTATGAAGCAGGTAGAAAACACACCAGAGAGATGCCAAGACTCCAAACGTCAGCCCTGATGTCATAGTCTGGCTTACTGGGATCTGGAGGGTCTATTCTCTCAGGCTGAAACACACAAACACCATGTGTATAAGAAAAGAAATATTTACACACATTACTTCGCCCACATAAGAACATCAGTGAGTCACTGAACATTTGTGTGTATTTGTATGCATCCCAGAAACCTCTCTGTTTGTGTGTGTGAGTGTCTTAACACTCACCGCCATGTATGCAGCACAGCCAGCACTGCGAGTCTTAGCCTTGGAGTCGACGAGGCGACCGCTGATGCCAAAATCACAGAGTTTGATCTGGCCTTTAGCGTCCAACAGGATGTTGGAGGGCTTCACATCTCGGTGGATTACGCCATGCTTCTCTTTCAGATACAGCAGAGCTTTCACAATCTGCAGGGAGATGTTAATAATTATTCTTCTTATTATTATCACTATTAATATGAGGTAGAGATGCATGATAACACCAGAATCATAACATCAGCAGATAATTGTTTCCAAAGCTATTAGCATCGGATCATTATTCAGTGCAGCTCAATAGCTCAATTTCTACAACAACTTATCTATGCTAGATAATTAAGATCATCATTCATGCTAGACTATAAATATGGTTATGTAGGGTATCAATTTACTTCACGCATTGAAAAGTACTTTTTAGGTGTGGGAATACTAGTGTCTTGCTGAAGTTTGCTTGAAATAAGTCAATAAATGAACAGCGTCACAGAGCACAGACCTGCCTCCCTTTAAAAGCTGACATTACACACTTTTAATTTGTCAAGGTAAGCTAGATAAACAGGGTCAGAAATGACAGAGAAAGGAAAAAGAATGAAGGCTCACCGCCACGGTCATTTTCCCCAGGATGTACTCTGGTATGGGCCCCTGGATCCGCTTCTTCAGCTTCTCTGCACATGTTCCCATCAGCTCCATGGCAATGAACACATCTGTCTGTTAGCAGAGAACCATGGGATTTGTAGTTCAAAAACAGTCAAAAGGCTTATCAGTATGTAATGTTTTATTAATCAACTGATATTTCTACTTCTACTGATCAATTTGGTTTTTACTTAAAGAGAAAAAAAAGAAAATAAGTGAAGTGTGTGCGTTTATGTGAGTGACTCACGTTGGTGACTATAGCTCCGTAGCACTGGATGATGTATGGGCAGTCATGGCTTTTCAGCACCACATCCAAATCCATCAGGATCCTCTTATTCTCATCTTTATTACCCGTCCTCCGCATTTGCTGTAGACGAACACACACACACACACAAAGCAGAAAGAAATGAACAAACACAATGTGCACACACTTCTCGACCTTGTTCACACACACTTTGCCTGCAGTTTGAAGTGATGTAATTAGTAAACAGTAATTACTTACTGGCTTTAATAGAAGGCATTCTGAATCAGTAATTAAGAGCCACAATCAAGAACAAACCCACACACCCACACACACATTCACACAAGGATGTTTCTTTTTTACTTTCTCAAGCAGAATTTATACAAAGAAAAAAAAACTCTGGCTTTTATTTAAAGCAAACAGATGAGAATAAACTGAATCAGCTACTATATCTATATGACACTGATTAGAGTCTGACCGATATAAAAAAAATATGGCCGTTATGATACAGATTTTAAAGGGCTTAATGTCCTGATGTATTATTTTTTGAGATATGTTTTTTATGTAATTTAGATTTTATTATTATACTTGGTTCAAATACTTTACTGACAGATTTGATTGTCATTTGTTATGTTTATTTATTTATTTTTAATATACAAAGTTCACACTGTGGGCTAAAAGAACACAAAAAATACACACTAGCACATTTCCAGCACTTTCTACTAGTCAAAATTGCAAATCTAATGGGCCAAAATGAATATGAAATAAAAATCAGCTGCCTGTTTAAATAAAGTAAACTCAAAGGGTGGTACATCATAAGTGAGATCTTTTCTATCTATAATATTCCTGGGCAAATAAAGACTTGAGTTCAGACCTGGTTTATAAGGACCTTATGTCTTCGCAGGTCTGATCTAAGTACAGATCCAGTATGATCTAATCTGAGGTAAGTACCCATTCGCTGCACTTGTCTCACATTCACCTTAACAGCGATGACGTGGCCGGTCTTCTTAAAGCGCACTTTAAACACCTGCCCACAGGTGCCACTGCCAATCTCCCCCTCACTGATCAAGTCCGTCACCTCTGCAGGGTATCGCTACAACACACACAAAAATACACATAGCACTTTATTCTATACGGATATGTGTAACGGGTGAACAACTTGACACGATTTGTTAACAAAGACAGTCCCAACTCCGGCAAGGTCATTAATTGATTAGTTGAATCAATGGTAAAGCAGGGTAAACATCAAAAAAGGCAGTACAGGTTATAAATACTAAAACAGTAATAGTGATAAAACTATTACCACTATTACTACAGATTAGCACTAATTTACTATCATCAACATTACATATCAAAACTCTAGTGTAGGTTCACTTGTGGTTTTGTATAGTAAATTAAATAGCTACTTGTGTTGTAGATATTGCCACTCCTATCACCACCACTGTAAAGTCTGAGTCAGATTCTGAGCATGTTTCTCTATCATGCACCATTTCACACCAAACCAGTCTGAATGACTGTTTATCTCTCAACCACTGAATTATGCAGATGTTTTGCAAAGTTGGAATCCCCCCCATTAATGTACCCTTAACTATCCACTCACTTATAGATTCCACTATGAGACACCAAAATTATTATCTTACGCCGCTTACAGAGATTTTTAACTGGTGGATCTCACCTGTCCGTCAATCTTTAGGTAACCCGTCTGTTTCATGATTTCCTGTAGCTTCTGGTCTATTTCAGCACTGTGAAAACAAGACTGCATTTAGGCACAATCAACTAGAACACTAACTCTAATAACACTAACAGCTAATTTAACCAATTTATCTGCCAGGGATGTTACCATTAACTACGTTAGAAATCAAACAATTGAAATATATTACGTTATTAATCATACAAACAGATTAAATAGGCCATACAATAACAATGCATGTAACTGAGAAATAAGACAATCGTTATCATAATAAATTATGGCACAATATGCCACAATATTTTTTTTTTGCTTTTTCATTAATACAGAGCATAATAATTCAATTTAGATGTACATTTAGTATAATGCAGTATATGAGTTTTTTTAACGTTCCATAACACATTAAAAAAAAAATAATCATTATGGGGTAAAAATGCATACAAATGGATGCGTCCATCTGTACACATCAAGCACTAGAGTTTGAACAATCAATCATGACAGCTCTAATATGTATATTTATGTGTGTGTGGCGTACTTCTCCAAGCTCTTCTGCAGGCCGTACGGTGGTGTGGGCAGCGTGAGCATGTGTCGGGGTCTGCTGGGGTATGAGTGGTGCTGGGGTGAGCTCTCTGAGGAAGATGAACGGCTCCCGCCATCGTTGGCCAGTGGCAACTGCAAAGCTGAGCAGACGAAGAACAGGCATGAAGGGAAAGAGAGAAAAGAAGAAACAGACAATCAAAGGCGCGTTGACAGCCCCATCTTCTCAGGACCACCACTATGGCAGTCAGTCAGGGAGACACTTTAACTAATTTCCAAAAGTTTCCCCTATTCCACAAGTGCGGTCAACATGTGTGGTGTCTAAAGTTTGCTGTAGTTTTACACTGTAACTATAAGACTGATCAGCTAAGAAAGTAACTGATGCTTATACCTAAGGGTTTGCAAGATCATGATCATGAATTTTGCTATCATGACAAATGACATGCTTTTCTGAGTTTATCAAAGATATCAGTACATAAAAGAGAATTATTCCTGTTTAAATGGATTGAGTGTAGTATAGTATGTGGCATGCTGAATAAAAACTATGTTTCTAAATGCTGAATAAAAATGACATGTTTTTAAATGTGGCAGTAACAGTGTTTTATGCCAAAATATTGTGATGAGTATCATGTGTCATGAAAATGTCCTAACAGTTTTTGCCATATCACCCACCCTTACTTATATCCCACTAATTAGCTGCACTAATTAACAGATTACATACTGCTTTGTACAAAAAGGGACAAATGTACATCACAAGCTAAATACAGTAGTAGCAGCCATTTTCACGCCTGACATTTGTCCACAGATAGATATCAGTATGTCATTTACAGATACGTCATAGTGTCAGAAACCACATAACCAAGTGTACTTCAGATTACAACTTGACCCAGTTTGAGGAAAGTGTGTTATGTGTACTTATTAGCTACATCATCCTTATAGCTCCAGTGCAAAACTAAAGAAGCAAACTTCAAACACCACACAAGTCTTTGTGGATTAAATGCATTTTGGTTAAGGGGGACAACTGCGGACAACTTTTTCCCCTTTAACTGATATATGTTTTAACACCTTGACCACGATCTGGACAAACTTTTTAAAACTTAATTTAAACAGTTTTGCCACTGCATCTCCTAAAATTAATAACCAGAATATCTAAGTTACATTTCAAGCTCCTATATTCTGAAAGCGTTAAACTTTAGTTCTCTGCCTCACACACCAGACCCAGCTCTCAACAGACCTGTATTTTGACATGCAAAGAACACACACAAAGAATAGGTGCAAAACCAGCCCCTGGAGTTAGCATTAGCCATTTCCCAGCATGCACCTGGGCAAAGGAAACTCACAAATAGAGGAGGGCTCCAACTGACTTTTTTTTTTTTAACAATTTTTCAAGAAAATAAACCAGTTCAAGTGAAGTATCCACGATCCACACACAAAAGCGTACTTCTACTGCTACTGTCAGGAGGTTGGACAAGCTTTATAGAACATGGGCAAAAGGCCTGTACAATCTAATGAGAAACGGCTGCGCAGAACTTTGTTTTTGTTAGAAAACTACATTTATTGACTTATTAATCTTATAAGATATTTATTTTATATGTGCGGGAAAAATCACACTGTCAGGACAAATAGGGTGTGGTTTTTTTGTCATGAAATCTCTTTATAACAATAAGCCAATAAATGTATTCTTTATAGGAATAAGCCACAGAATGGCTTATGGTGTTTTTAACTAGAATTTAAAGAATTCATTAATGTGTGTCTTGGCTGATTAGCTCATTAGTAGACAGCACTAAGAACAGGTGCCTTGGAAATGCAGTGATCCGATCATTCTAACCACCTTCAGCAGTGGTCAGTGACACATATGAGCGCATAATATCGCCAATGTGTACGTTAAAGAACTCAATGCATCCTCGACAGTGCAGAAGGACGGCCTTAATCAACTGCATTAATCACAGCATAGACAAATACAGCCGATTCTTTCCTTGTTTGTTTGTAAGTTGAATTAAGTATCTATGCAATCTAAACATTTGTAGCAGCTTGTACATGTACACGAACAAAAACTTGTGGATGGCAAACGGCAAGCCTGAGGAAAATTATGTTGGCAAAGCCTTTAGTATGACTTGAGCCATACTATACTACATAGTGGTAGACTTACTGCTTAGCCAGTTTACTCCTAAAAGCTCAACTACACCCAAAAAAAAATACAAACTCTTCTAATAGTGTCACTTTTCAAATGCATACATGGGGCTGTCTCGATCGCTTGATGCGTAACTGTCATGTAAATAATTTCAATTTCTTTTCTTGTTCACTGTTTGATTAAAATGCAAGCCTCAAGTGGCCAATGTGCTTTGCTTGCTATCTATGTTTACTAAGTAGCTAACCAGCTGCTAACTGGTTGCTCTGTCAAATGTTCTTCACAGGAGCGAAAATACAAAAAAAAAAAAATCTTCTCCTAGCATCCATGCTAAAACACTAGAATTAGCTACATAGCTAACAAATAAACAAACATTATTCAATGCTGCCCTCCTAACGTTAAGAGTACCGTGTTAGAACTTTTGCTGTTTTCATAAGCGCCATGATGTCTAAATTAATGCAATTAGTCGCTATACATAAATAAATAAATAAAGTTTTACATTGGGTAAAAATTTCATGACAAATGAACCAATAGTAATGCTCCAAAATGACTACATAAAATCTCTTCACATTAACTTACATAGAACACAGAACATTTTTGGCCTTTCTTTTAAAGCTGCCATTATGGGGACACTTGTTTTTTTGGGGGGTGGTTGGGACACCAACGATTTGCTATTTGTGTCACCCCATTCGCATTCTGTTCGTTGCAGTATAACATGAGCGAAATCCAATGACAGTGGAAAATGATTGCTTATGTCAATAACACACTCCAAATTTATATACCTTGACAAACAGAGTTTGGAGACTAAAGCTTGTCTAACAAGCTGTTAAGAAAGGATGCGTTTGTGGGCGGATCATGGACAGGTCAACTGTGAATGGCCTGCGATTTTGTTGACTTGGATTTGTGGTCTACTGCTGGTGAGCTGAAATCTCGAGCCTCCAGCATCACTTCTGCTAGATTTGCCTTGACCAAACAGATCTTAAGAGGAAGTGGAGGAGTTTTTGTATTGTACAGGTAACCTTAGAAACGTGTTTGAGGGAAAAGGATAAAAAAAGAAATTGCTGTGCTTCTGATTCCTCCACTGGAAAACCTGTGTGTGGAAGAGAATCAGTTAGTGTGGGTTAGTCAGTGCAGTCAGGCAACTGAGCCACATACACACGACTTCAAGACACCTGCAGGACACACACACTCTCACACACACTCTTTCTCACTTGGCATCGAGCACTGAAAACTGCCAGCCATTCCGAAAGGCAAAAAGACGGACAGACAGATCAATCCAGAGAGGAAAAAAAGGCTAGACTACTTCACACCCAGAAAAAAACGACCACTTCAGACGCCCTGACAAGTGCTGTGTGTGTATTAGCTGGTGCGAGTACATTAGGGGTGTAATGACACACAAATTCAAGGATACAACGTGCACTGCCTTTTTTGCATCTGGATACAAAAGAAAAAAATGCGAACACTTATTTTCCTTTCATTATTTTGGTGAAAGTCCAATTGCCAAAAGAAGATCGCAGTGTCAGCTAAAGGGGAATTAATCAATAATTAAAGTAATTTTCTTTAAAAAGCAAATACGTTTATATACACGACGTGCAAATGGTTTTAGCGTGCTGGGAAGCTTTTTGCTTACTTTCACAGCTGTTTCGTTTAGGTATATGATTGCATTTAGTTTAATGGAACATTGGAAACCATTTCAATTTATGTTCAAATGTCTGATACTTTATAAAGTACTGTGCAGGTCGGAGGCCTTCCTTTCATTAATTTAATTTCCAGTTAAAACAACCATTACATACAAGTTCTTCATTTTTCAGTGTCAGGAAAAAATATATACATATTTTAGTAATTTTATTTTGATAGCCCACTTTAGTTGCTTTATAGACTTTCAAGTCACATTCAACTAAATATCTACTAAATTGACCATAATTTCTTTAATTCTAAACCTGACTCTAATCCTAACCCCACCACTGTTTAGAATCAACTGAGTTTGAACAGATAGTTTGTTAACCCTTTGAACATCTGTAGAAAATGTGTATAAAGGACTACAGTGGACTATCCAAATAAAGTGAGATCCATATTTTTAACAGAAAATTCCACAGAAGCCTCAACCACTAAATATAATAGTACAGATTTCAGTATTTACTGCGTCCACACTTTATTACAGCTTGCACTCTTTTCAGTAGACTTGCTTTAAGAAATCTGCAGGAATATTTTTCCACAAATCCACAGAAATGTGTCTTTTAGTTGTTTAGGTGCACATGAGAAAGAAATGTGCAAGAGTGGTAAGGTGAGTTTGGGAAGCTGCTTGTGTGAATGTTAATGTCTCTTTAAAAGGGAACATAATGTTAGTGACTCTTTTGGCTTTTGTTGGGAGGACACAGCAGTAACTCACAGGTTTTAAGACAGTTAAAGGCACAATATGGTGCTGAAAAGGAAAGAGTGGACAAACAATTTTTGTTAAATGTTTCCTGTTTGACTTTGTGACACAAAAAAAATTAATAACTTAACAGTCATTTTGACTGGACACTGAATAAATGAAAGGGTGTTCTCTGACTTTTGCTTTTAACACAGTACTTTATATGCAAATATTTTATAGCTGAAAACCAAACTATTCAAATCACAGTGGGTATCGACTTGGAAAATAAATATTAATATGTGTATCACGACACCCCTAGTGTACGTCTGTTCACGTGTTCACATCTGAGCCGTGCAGTTACAGCTACGTCATGCACAACATCAATCAAAATGGGTTAATAAAAACATTCTCCAACCCACTCACACAATCACACTCACACACACAGAGCTCTGCCACTGAACTCACTCTAGCAAAAAGAGAGAGTGGTGGGGGATGAACATGTAGAAAAATGAGTGAAGGACAGAAGGTGCAGGAGAAAGGTTTATGAGTAGAAAAAGGGGTCAAATTAAGATGATGCAGGCAGACAGCAACGTCTTCACTAATGGAGTTGGACAGCTGAAGTGTTTCCAATCTATTCCTTCATTTTCCTGAATGTACTGTGGCAATAAATGATGAAATGAAATGGCGATGTACTATGGAGGCCTGTGCTTAGAAACGTTTGGTGCTGAGTGTGGGGTAAAACAAGAATGTGAGAAAGGGGCAGAATGAAGGTGAAAGAGAAAGAAAATGTAAAGGAGAAAAGAAAAAGAAAAAGAAAGTGAAAGGATGAGAGTGACTGAGAGGAATCAGAAAGAGAATGAGTGAGTGAAGAGGAGACAGAGAGATTCAAAGAGCAAAGAGAGGAAGGGAAAGTGATAGAAGGAGGGAGAGACAGCAAAAAAAAAGTTATTAAAGGGGAGACAGGCAGAGAAATTGTGTATATATATATATATATATATCTTTTATGTGTGTGTGTGTGTGCAAAGACACGCACACACAAACACCCCGACCACTTTATCTGATATAATTCCTTGTATTTACACTCACCACTTACAGTACAGCTGCACTTAGATCTACAATTACAGACTGTAGCATATTTTTTATATTAGCCCCCTTTTACCTCAGGACCTCCACAGGACCACCACAGAGCAGGTACTATTTGGGTGGTGGATCATTCTCAGCACTGCAGTAACACTGATGTGGTGGTGGTGTGTTAGTGTGTGTTGCGCTGGTCTGAGTGGATCAAACACAGCAGTGCTGCTGGAGTTTTTAAACACCTCAGTGTCACTGCTGGACTGAGAATAGTCCACCAACCAAAAATATCCAGACAACAGCGTCCTGTGGGCAGCATCCTGTGACCACTGATTACTAGAGGATGACCAATACAAACTGTGCAGCAGCAGATGAGCTATCGTCACTGACTTTACATCTACAAGGTGGACTGACAAGGTAGGAGTGTCTAATAGAGTGTACAGTGGGTGGACACAGTGTTTAAAACCCCAGCAGCACTGCTGTGTCTGATCCACTCAGACCAGCACAACACACACTAACACACCACCACCACATCAGTGTTACTGCAGTGCTGAGAATGATCCACCACCCAAATACCACCTGCTCTGTGGTGGTCCTGTGGGACTTCTGACCATTAAGAACCGAGTAAAAGGGGGCTAAAAGTATGCAGAGTAACAGATGGACTACAGTCTGTAATTGTAGAACTACAAAATGCATCTGTATGGCAAGTCGATCTGATAAAATGGACAATGAGTGTAGAAACAAGGAGGTGTACCTAATGAAGTGGCTGACTGGTGTATATAGGGAGGAAGAGGGAGAGAAAGAGAAAGAAGGAGAAAAAGACAGAGAGAGAGAAAGAGAGAGATGCAGTGGCAGTGGGTGATTTGGTGAATGGTACCTGCACGCTGGGAGGGGGCTGGAGCAGGACTGAGCTGGATCACGATGACTAGATACAGGAGAGAAAAACACACACGCTCATTACTGAAAGAAGAAACACACACATTCTCTCTCTCTCTCACACACAAACACACACACACACACACCTCACACTGCAGAGACGCTGCTTCACTTCTTCTATTTTCTCCCTCATTCACACACACACACCTCACACAGCTGTGAGGGTGATCTACTTTTTCATTCACTCAGTCAAAACTCCTTTACACACGCTCAGTGACGGCATTTCCAGGACTTTCATTCACAGAGCTTTAAAGCCCACCAAGAAAGCAAAGCCTGACTAACCTGGAAATGGGACTGGCCCAAAAACGCCTTCTTCCATAGTAACTGTTGCGAAGTTGGACAAGCTTTAAAGGACACTGTTAAATTCTTTTCAAACCTAATGAATTCCGGTTGGAGTTCAGATTTGCAACTTAACGTCAACTTTCTAGTTTAAAATGCTGCACTACGTGGTAGCTAATCAAAATTAAGCTGGTTGAAAAAGACAATGACAAATTTGCCAAAAAAATCTACACCTGATCTATCCTAAGGGGACATTCAGACCATACATGCTGTAACTCAAGCTTAAAATGAAGCAGTACACTCTTTTTAGGGGGCGGACTGACGCAAACGGTCGACAAGTAAGTAAACATGAGTCAGGGATTTGAGAGAACATCACTGACATTTTGCAACACACATGAATAATAAACAGAAAAAACAGAACAGTAAAAAAAGCAAGAATACTACTAACTGTGTTCAACAACAGCTAAAACTAGCTCCTACTCCATGTTGGATGAGTGACTGACTAAAGAGAAGGTATCCCTGATATTGTCTGGTAAGCAGTGATGATGTATGGCTGATGGATTTCAACTTAAACTTGTGGTTTCAAAACCCAAAGGCCGTTGCACAGGATGGGTGCATTCCAGCCACAGTTTGTAATGCTCTGTAGACAACAATGGAAAGAAGCACACTTGAGAGAGCTTGTAAAGTCATTGTCTGAACACCCCCTGACAGTCAGATCTTTCACACACAAAGAAAATAACATTTGAAATTAAAAATGCACTCTAAATTTATATATTTTCACAAAAACTTGAAAAAAGAAGTTGTATGCACAATTTATCATTAGGACGAATGAGATTTTTGACAATGTTCTGCTAGTTTGTAAAGCTTGTCCAACTTTGCAAAAGTTTCCAAAAAAGACTCCTGCTCTTGTGGGCAAAGCACTGATAGGTCAACAGCGGTGGCAGCACGTCACCAGCATAATCATGCAGTATGTCATAGGCAACATCAGCACTTCTGAATGTACTGAAAATACTGAACACCATGTATAATAAAAAGTAGCCTGTAACCAACAACCAGGGTGTAGTAACAGCATTAATGGCAAAGAAACGAGCAGCTCCGCTCACAATCGTTTTAGCTTTTTTAAATTTGCACTATGCATGATTTTTTGTTCAAATTTAAAGAAGCAGCATTACACAGTGCGCTGCTATGAGTCTCCTTGTAAAGCTTGGAATAATAAATTGAAAGTCAGAGCCATCGGGTTGGACATCGCTGGAGTTTTTAGACCACATCATACAACTCAAAAAGCAGGTCTGGCTCAATATTCAGGTCTCAAATGCAAAAAATCAGCATCATACTGAAGATATGACGACAACAGTAAATAAGTCAATTCCACCCTCAGAGGACAAGTCCTTCACCAGGTTTTGAGTTCTCTTTCAATACTCTTGCAATAGTCAGATTCATCCAGTCAGGTAAGTACAATCGACATTACAAACTGTCATTCCGAATGTTGCATACACCACGTAGCTTTAAATGTTGCACTACTGTTTCGTTGGTGCATTTTGTCCGTTCCAATTTCACCAACCTCAAAAAACACTAAATATAGTGATACGTGTCTTGCATCATGAAAATGGCTACAAGTATTGTGATGCTATAGTTTTGCCATATCGCCCACCCAGAAATATGTAATGAGAAAAAACAGTGCAACCCTAAAGCGCTTCAGAAAGAACATGCCACTCTATCTCACCACCTACATGACCGTGCACACACACCACAGTTTAGTACCTTCATTTGGCCATTGCACTGAAAAGGTGAGTTTCTGGCTTCACAGATTATTTACGGTTTACAAACTAAAGCTCTGCTTTCACCCATGGAAGCTTTTCCACACCGCAGAAACCAGAATTTGCAAGTGTGAGCAGGAAAGGCAACAGCTCATTCACATATTAAGGTAGATTCCCTAGATACTATCCATTATACATTAAATATTAACAGAAACAGAAAACTTAATAGAAAAACAACTTCAGAGAAACACAATCTAATCACCGTACCACAATGAAAGGAACAACAGTGTTAATAATACAAATACGGGTGTTCATATATGCTTTGTCAAAAACAGGGCACTAACAAAACATGAAACTATACCACCAAAGAAGGTGTGAGAACTTCTCAACCACTTTTCTACCCCACAGGAAAAAATACACAGCTATGAACAATATGGACACGTCCTATTTCAGGGTAGATTTGTTACAGAATTGGATTGGATTCATTCCTTTTTTAACCAGATACTGATATGTAATCACCCGGCAATCAATCACAGCCCACGTAACACGTTTAGGCTAAGTCAGCACAGCAATACTTCAATACGCCAAACCCTTAAAATTACAGGCTTGTTATTCATTCTTTAATCCTGAGGCTTATTATTAAGTAACTACTACAAATCATTCCATAACCACTGAGAAAGTAATGTGTAAGTTATGAAGTTATGAAGCTATGAAAGTCAGGAATTGAAGAGTGGACCTACATTTACACTTTTACGCTGCTGACAAAAACACTTACAAACACAAAGAAACACATCATGTATTCATTACAACACAAATAACACACACATACTCTGGGAAGCACATATGAACCGAAGAAGTGTGTAGCTGGACAACGGACTACACCAAATTAAGACCTTTGCAGGACAGTACAGAGACATATCCTCCTTGCTGTAATCTGTAATTCAAACCTGGTTACATAAGGATGGCCAAGTGTCAAGATAACTGTGTGGAACCTACACCTAAACTGCCAACTTTGTCACCAAACCCCTTCGGCAGTCCAGTCACTTGAAGAAAACAGAAGTAATAATAGGCTCTTCTTCACCTTCTCTGATATTTATACCTAATTTGGTTGCCAGCTTGGTTCTTTTTTAAACTCTGGTATTAGAGGAACCTGGGGCCAGCCAGGTTTGGATGTGTCAGAGCAGGAACACAGCACACTGTGCTGGACTTCGCCTCTCCAGGACCACAGTTCAGCTTCCCTGCATTAAAATGTTGTAGCTGTTTCAGAGCTACAGTTCTAGCTTTAGCCTGTTAGCTGAGGTTTTGCTAGTGGCTACCTTGAGAACGGTCAAATCAGACAGCTACACCGCTAACCGCGTTAAGTCGGCTTTTGGCCGTGTATGTACCTGAAAAACGACTTTCAAAGCAGCCCTTAATCACGCAAACGACCCACGTTTATAAGACTTTGAGGAGCAGTCAAGATAAAACATAGACTAGCCAGCGAGCTAACGTTACTTAGCCATGTCATGTTGTGTGACTGACTGGGGACGAGGGCCTGCTAATCTGTTTAGCTAACCTAGCCAGGCAGCTAACGGGTACCGAAACGAGCAGAAAGTGGGCACAAAAACGTGGTTATTCGTCAGACAGACGTCTCCATATGTTCGCCTTGTCGAGTTTACACTGAACACAGACTGTCTTATGTTGCGAACAGGCTGTCAGTGTGACACCGCGGTGTGCTAGCGGATAAACACTCGGTGTTTGTTTATGTAGCCTGTTAGCTCCTCTCCATTCTGCCTGTCTCTCTCTCTCTCACGCTCTCTCACTCTCTCTCTCGCTCGCTCGCTCTTCGGGTCTCGTCTCTCTGTTTTCTCCGGCGACCCGACAGCCTTCTCGGGACACTTACTCGGCCTGGGGCGTGAGCGCTGTGGACTCATGTCGATGCTGAGGTCGATTCGTCTCCGAGCTTCTTTATTTTCTTGCTTCAGCTTCTCCTCGATTCGGGAGAGTCTCTGTTCCAGCGACGACATCTTGGAAAAATTCAGCAGCACCATCGAGCGGCTCCGGCACAAAACTCACACACACACACCGCACTCGCACTCAGAGTCCCCCCTGCCGACAGTATCGGAGGACAACACACACGCGCACACGCGCGCGCGCACACACACACACACACACACACACACACACACACCACAGAGAGAGAGAGAGAGAGAGAGAGGAGAGAGAGACGGATGAGAGAGAGAGAGAGAGAGGAGAGAGGAGGTGGAGGGAGGGGGAGGGAGGGGGGAGGGAGGGAGGGGGGACTGCTCTACACTGCTGAAAAAAGCCCATTAGAGCTAATAATTGAGATTAAAACCATTAGAGACCACTAGTCTCTGGTAGGACACATTTAGATCCCATTAGGAAACCATCAAATGCGACTGGAATCAGTCTAAGAACACCTGTTAAACCATTATGATCCTGTACACTGTGATATCAACCCATCAGGACAACACTAAATGCCATTACTGACTATTGGACACCACCAGAAACCAACAGACTTTTAATGTTTTCTGTGATTTTTTAGCAGAAATTTATATTTCGGTTCAATACGATACAGCAAAATTAATTTCTCTACTTTTATTTGAGGTTTCAACATGAATTAGGGCTGAAGCAATTATTCAATCATGTTATTGATCATGTAAACAAAAAAATCATACAAATATTTTCTTTTTTCCCATATTTTTCCCCTTTTTCCCCATTTTTCCTTCACATTGAAGAGAGCGAGTTAACATTTAACAGCTTAACCTGAAGAGGGCAGCGATTCACTCACAGTGTGGTACCAGTGTGAGCAGATAGCGAAAGAAAAGAACCAGTAATGTCAGTCTGGCAGCATTTTCTGAAAATGAAGGACAGTCAGAAAAAACTGTCTATGAAAACAGCATGAATGTCTCACTTAGCTTTCCACAGAAGCACAACGTTACCGTCGACCAGCGAAAGAGAGAACATGCTGGTGTGGGTTCTGAAGCAGCTGAGGACGGGCCTCACCACTAATTTCCTTTATTCTTTCATTTTCAATACCACATAATCCCAAGGCTAATACCCAGAAACCAATGCTTTTGAAAGGGGATACCTTGTTATTTCTACAGTAAAAATAAAAGTGGCCTTTAAAAATATTTTCGGATTTTAAAAGTCGTGCTGTGTTCCAGCTTTGTCGGATTGAGCTAGCTAAGGTTACCCATACAAACACCACGAAAGCCCATCATGTTACATCACTAATGTTAGCCACTGGATTAAGCCGTATCAGTTTGTGTTAATTAGCAGTATTTAGCAGCTACTTCATAAACTTGAACATTGGGCAGCTCGTCCTGTCACATCGTTACATACAGTAGCCAGCTAACTACATACAACTGGTTAATTAGCTTAAAATACAACTTATTTTGTAAACAGTTTTCACGTGAAAAGAATGCCATCCGCATGTCCTGGGAACCTGTTCACACTTGGCTCATCTGGTGAACATTAACATGAAAAAGCTATGCCTGTTAAAAGAAGCTGCAGAGCTACAACTTTAATCTACATATTTACTACTGTATCAGTTTTAGCTACTGCTCATTACTTAATGTAGCTCAGATTATAGGTTAGGCTTAAACAAAATGCCACATAGGCCTGAGCAATATGACTATTTATCATTATCGTGATGAAATATCACAATAGAATATGCATCATACTGTGTACTTCTAGAACTCTGACCAACAGCATGTCATTAAAAAGACAAGCAGAATTAGTCCCTTTTTACACACTATGTAAAAAATGTATAAAACAGTTGTATTTTTTGATTGTATAGTTTTATTGTAATTTTAAATATATCCCTCTTTTTTCTGTTCCAACTGATCAGATGTCTGAAAAAATAAACACTGACATATATCGTGAACATTTCTTCTTGAAGTATCGTAATATATTTTTGCCGTATTGCCCACCTTTAGTGCCACTTTTTTTTCCTGTGGTGATAATTGAACTCTTGGTGAACAATACCTCAGTCTGTCAGAATGTTGCCAAACATTTTATTATTACAGCTTTTCACATTTACAGGCCACATTTAAGCAGATTAATCGATTACTGGCAGATCGATCTTAATGCACATGAATAATTGATTACCAAAATATTCATTTTTTGCAAACATAATTATAAAAGTATGATATTTTTAGACTTAAAAATGGCACAGCGGAGTTTTTCCTGATCCATTCACATTAGTGTCTTAGCAGTATAGAAAACAAAGACTGTGCTCTATAGTGCCCTGGTCTAACGCACTAGCCACAAGCTAATATTTATGCCTCGAGCTAACACACTAGCCATGAGAAGAGAAACGTTTCTAAATTCTGGGAATGTTTCAAGGAACATTAGAGATACCATGTAGGATTGCAATATTTTCATAATTTTAATATTCGCAGTATTATGGAATATTTATTGTGGGAAATTAAATGACCCATGTAACTAAATATATGGAAAAATAAGGATCAACGTGATAAGCCTATAGTTTATAACATTTGTGGCCTTCTAAATTTCCAAATGCAACACTGGGATGCCAGAAATGCAGACATACAGAAACATAGACACAGCAGTCATTCCAACAAGTCTTTATAAATAGAGCTTAACTCAAGAGTTTTGATGGTGTGTAATAGTCGTACATTGGACACACTGATTCGCAGCCAAACAGATTCAACACTGACCTTCAAACCACTGGTATAACTTCTTTACGGAGTGGATGGTAGCCGTCTCTGATTTTGTGATGGGTGAGCCATTAAGGTCAATAAGCTCTGAAGCCAAAGTCCGTACTAAAGGTTGTGCTACATATTTATCACAGTGTATTAATGTTTCTGTGGTATGAAAAAGTGAAAATTAATTTTGCACAAAAAAAAAACAAAAAAAATCCATCCATAATATTTGACAAGCCAGTGGTTTCAAAAAAGGGATTTAAAGTAAAAATAATTCTGCTAAGAAAAAAAACAACACGTGCATGACTTTGCCATACATTTCCACCTAAAAATAATGAAACAATAAAACCTCCTATTCAAAAAAATAAACCAAGAACTGTCAGCAGCCCTGTAGTTTTAAAAGTAAAATCAGGTCCAATCCTTAAGAGGAATAATCCAGTGTTTTTCAACATGTTGCATATGATCAGTTACCATGGTCAATAAATTTGATGATAATAATTTTACATTTTTCTGTACTTAGAAAAGAAGTGAAATCCAGTGACTTGCAATGCATTTAGAATAGAATCCACCGACTAGTTGCTAAATTTTCTCAGTAAAGTGTAAGTGAAATACATATTTTTGTTGCCAATTTTCATGAATTCTTCAGTTACAGGTATTTGTAAATTAAGTCATAAATCTGTAAAATCTGTATAATCTTTATAAATCTGTATAATCTGTATAATTCTTTCTTTAAATTATGAGCTTTTAGTAGCCATTCTGCTGTATGGATATTACGTTATTTGATTATATATATATATATATATATATATATATATATATATATATATATATATATATATATGTATGTATATACACACACTGCAGACTTTGGCATACTGCCTTATTAAACACATCTGATACAGCTCCTCGGCTAATTAGCAAGGCATTCATGAACTGAGCATTAGATGAGGGTAAACCTTAGTATCTGCAGCTCTTTGGCCCAGAAGGTCCCCAGTTTGACATGCCTGCTATACCTTTACCTGAATGTAGTATTGTTCCAGCCAGACTGTAAAGCATTTCACAGCCCATTTTGTTTGCTGAATTATATTTTGTCTGTTTCTGGCTAATTTCAGTTTCAGAATTTAAACAAACAAGTTGCATATCAAATATTATCCTAAGTTATCTAATGCATCCAGTATCCGTCATTTGCAGCAACATATTATCAGCATAGTGGGCCTGATTGCCATGTACACAGTAGTAACACAGTAACACAGCAGTTGCTTTTTTACCGTTGGCTTCAGTGTTGAAAACCTGGTTAAAGCTTTATAAAGCAGCTTTAGCAGCATTTTCCTCTCATGTCTGTCTCATCCTAAGACCTTTAATGTTAAAGTGTAACAGCTGGAGTTTTAAATTTGTGTAATATGGTCTAATTCAGCAACTGCTCAATGGTTTCTATTGAAAGAGTTTTAAGCTAACAGGTTTTCTGTTGTTTTCTAAGTACAGGAAACACATCAGAATTATTGTCTGTGGTAAGTGATGGAACAACATACATGTAGCAGAAAACGCTGGAGTATTCCTTTAAGAATTTCAGAGTAATAGTACTGGTCCAGGATCAGTGCCTTTCACATGTGCTAAAAACTTTTCTAGAAATCAGCCCACATATAGAGATTTTAGATCCTGTGGGCTTTTTATTCACACCACAAATTAAGTTTGCACTTGACTAAATCCATGAATAGTGATGCTCCATCTTTTAAACTCCTTTAAGTCTTAAATTAGGGTTTCCTGTTTTTCACGGTAAAAATGGTGGGTACAATCCATTGTTCAAAGAGTCCTCTATTTTGGCATATTTGAGGGCCAATTTTGTCAAATTCACCTTTTCTGCTCTTCTAAAATACTAGATACATCCAGAATAAGCAGTGAATGTTGCTTATGTATATTAGCTCATATAAACCTTAGTTCATGATTCTTACAATTGTGTTTTTTTATATTCATCACATCACACCGTCCATTCAAGGCAACCTTTTCAGTTCCTTTGACTAACATGCTTCAAAGTAAAAGAGTTCAAAGTTAAAAGTTTTAAAAGGGAAAGAGTATAAAGTTAAGGCATTTTCATTCTCCGTTCGCAACATTTCAGAGATCACAGTGTGTAAAAAGTCTCACTTGGTTCAGACACCTCACAGGTAAGGAGGGAAGCTCTCAGTGTCTCGATCTTCCATTAATAAATGATTTTGAAAGGCAGAAGTGAGAGACAGAAAGAGGCGGTATGGGAAAGACTACGTTTGACCACACGTTCTTTTTCCTTTCAAATACACATTTATCTGTCATTGTTGTTTTGGAAATTTGCTAGTTGGCCCTTAGCACCTCCTCTCTTGCCGAGTCCACGATTCTCTCACTATCCATCTCTCGTTTCTTGTCCTTTGTGTAGTTCTTTCTCCATTACAGCGTAAAACTCCACACATTCATCAAGCCGTAGTCTCTGCAAACGTCATTCTGGCGTCCATAAAATACATAAGCCAGCCAAGATGGCCTGCCCTTATTTTTCGCCGAGTCACAGTGTAGTGGTAATGGCATAGCTACGCCGGTATCACAGTCGAAGAGAAAACAGAATAATCCTGGACAACTTCCACGTGGCCCTCAACCTCCCTGTGACATTCAAGGAAGTTCAGCAGAGGTCGGAGACATAGTCAAAGTCGCGGAAGCTGTCCTGGTCTTTGCGCGAGAGCACGCGGGGTTCCCGAGGCGGAGTGAGAGTCGGCACCTCCGTCGTGAATTCTTCATCAAAGTTACTGACGTCCTCTTTGTCTCCAATAGAGGGAACGAAAGGAGGAGGAAGTTTCCGAAGAAGAAGAGCCTCCCAGTCCATGTTCTAAGAGAAAGTAAATGGGAGAGATAGTACAATTAAAAAAAAAAACTTCTCATACAGAAGTCACACTATTCCTTGCTTAGAGATGGACATACACAGACATTTCCCAACATACTCTGTACTTAAAAGACTTAAAGCTGACCTAAGAGCCTTGTGGGGGAAAAAAAACAATACAAACATAATAAAATATACTATGAAATAATATAATGCTATGAAAACTACATTTTATTATGTTCCATAAATGCATACGTGTTCAAAAGTAGTCCTGGGACACATCTATCATCAACTTGTTAATGTATTATAGAAACTGTTCTTTATCATATTCAAAAGTACATTATGTCAGCTATAATTAATCAGTCAATACTTTGTTTCCAACTGAACTATAGCAAACTAGAAAAAACTTTCCCATTACCCCCATTTTACTCTGAAAAATCTTGAGACACTAATCCAAATGCACTCATATGTCACATCCAAACCAGAGATCTCCAAACCTGAGCTAGTCCTGCAACTGCAATACAACTGACTGGACATTTCATTCATATTCTGAAGGGTATATTGGTTAATTAAAGGTACATTTGTTAATTAGCTCAAGCTTGCAAGTAAAATTATTTAGTGAAATCAAGTGGATCATACAAACTCATGGCAGGGACTAAACATACACATCATCTCATCCTCAGCATACACTAAAAAAAATCTGAAATCCTCTTTAAACTATAATTAAATTAAACTTTTGTTTCGTTTTGTACAAAAACATCTGAGTACTAGCTAAATTCTGCATGATGCAGTACATGCATGAAATCAGAAAGAGTAGCTATAAGGCACTGCACTGAGAGAATATGAAGACAGAAATCTCTCATTCATACCCTGAAGAAAGGCTGCTTCTTGACCTCTTCAGCATCTTTCTCTCCTGAGCCCAGCCTACGCTCCGGGTTCCTCCTTAAAAGCTGTAAACCAACACAAAACAAACCCGAATGAACTCCCAAACTGAACAGTCCAGCATTCCTACATGTTGTTTTTGCATCAAAATCTTTTTTTTCTTTTTTTTTTTTACATCATTCAAAAACTCCAGCTGACTTGTACATTGTGTGCATTTCAGATGGCATTTCACACCTTTCACTATCAGATGTTACATTATGTCATGAGACACAATTACATTAATAACATTTTATCCTTGTCCCAAAAAAAGTAACAGAAACAGCAACAAAGTGTGTAAACATAACTGTTTAATACAGTCACAAATACATCAGTTCATGATTTGCTCTGTGAGCTTTTGTGTGTGTGTGTTTGTGAAACTCACCCTCCTCATAATGGCGATAGCTTCAGACGACAGGAATCGTGGGTAACGGACTTCATCATTCACTATACTGTCAAACACCTCCTCCTCATCATCCCCTGGGAATGGAGACTAGAGAGAGAGAGAGAGAGAGACAGAGAGAGAGTGTGAGAGAGAGTGTGAGAGCGAGAGAGAGAGAGAGAGAGAGAGAGAGAGAGAGAGAGAAGGAAAAAAGACAGGGAGAGAAAGAAGGAGAGGAAGGCGGGGAGCAGACATACCAGAGAAAAATCATGAATAAGTGAGAAATTTTTAACCTTCTATTTATAATGGGCTAGATGTTTTGCAGACTTTGTCACACTTCCTCAAGTGAGTATAAACACCCACATTTACAACCAGCAACAGCAAACAAGCATATTTTGTGCGCTTTGAGGAACTGGCTAAAGTGTGGACATCACAGGACTTTCTAAAAAAAAAAAAAAGGACGATGCGACAAATGGTAACTTGCTAATGGCTCATTTATGATATGGCGCCAATTTTTCGGTAACACTGAAACAATAAAAACTGATACAAATAAAGTATCAACTATCAAAAGTATACAATTGTCTAGACAAGCTTTCTAATTAATGACTTTATGGTTGCTGACACAGGAATTTATTAGCACACACAGCTTATATAAACTCCATAGAAAAACACTGCCAATAGAATTTAATGCTATGGAGCTGCGGCACATGAGCCTAATATCACCATGTTCAACACCAAACACTGGCTAGAGGCATATAAAGCCCCCAGCACTGGGTAGTGTAGCAGCGGTGGAGCTTCATCCTTTACCTTTGGGATGAGCTGGAGTATGTTTGTGATCCAGAACTAATCATCCATCAGTACCTGACCTCACCAATGCTCTTGTGAACACATTCAAATCCTTAAAGCAATGTTCCAACATCTAGTGTCAAGTCCCTTAGAGAAGATACTGTTACTGCAGCAAAAAGAGAACAAACTCCCTACAGACTTTTGAACATTATGGTTCAAAAGATCATAGTGTATGATTTCATATTTCTAATGTAAAATTCTTGGGGACTTCTACCACTTGTACTTTGGGAATTGTACTACATTATCTCTCTCACCTCTCCAACCAGCATCTCATAGATCAGGACTCCAAGGCCCCACCAGTCCACGGCTCGTGTGTAAGACGTGTCCGTCAGAACTTCTGGAGCCAAAAATTCTGGAGTTCCACAGAACGTACTCGTCCGGTCCCCATATCCCATACCTAAAAGAGAGACTCATTTTAACTTTTTACGCTACTTGAAAATGCCAGGTGTGCTTCACATTATGCGAACATTTCATCATGATTGGACGAACAGAAATAGGCCAAAATTACTTGTTAAATGTAGTTATGTGAATGTACATTAAATTCAACCAATGAAATGGACTGTTTTTTACCTTGTTAGTTTACGTAGTTGCTCATATAACACACAATCCACTCAAAAGACAAAATTATTATTTCTCCATAATCTTTGATCAAAGTGTAATGACTTCTGTTTTTTGGATAAGTCATCGTATACCAAGGGCGAGGTAAAAATACATTAACCAATCATTATTATAGCATGTTTTCCCCCTACCACCCCTGCCCATCATTGAGTGAAAACACTGATCACCAACTCTGCTCCGAGCTGCAGGTACAGGCTCAAATAAATATATTTTGTGCATAATTTCCATACTGTCCCCTCCTCCTTCTGTGCCTTCTCTACTACCACTACTTCCTTCTTCATGGGTGCCAAGTGCTGCAGGAGGTGAGTAGTCCACCACAATTAATTGCAGATTAGAGTCCTGGTCTGACTCCATGCTCGTTTTCGAATGCCCGATCTAATCAAATCCCAATGGATAAACGCATGTCCTGCCCACAGTTATTTCCCGCCCAAATGTTCTGTTTTCATTTCCTGTCTCGTTCTGATTTCTGATTCACATTAACTTTAAGTTACGCTTTCCTCTTCTTGGGTAGTTACCACTTTGACGAAGCAAGGTTTTGGTCAAACAGCACCAATATACATAAAAACCTACCTTCTTTACACAGTCCAAAGTCGGCTATTTTCACATATCCATCTGTGTCAAGCAGCAGATTGTCCAGCTTCAGGTCCCTGAGAAAGAACACGATCAACATTAAAGTTACTGTACAACTACAACTATATATAACATATTATATGATAAAACAACAGGAGTATACTGTGGACAGGACACAATATAAACACATTTGGAGGATATACTTACCGATATACAATCTTTTGGTCATGTAAAAACTGAAGGCCTAGCACAACACAGGCAGCGTAGAACCTGTAAACAAGCACAGATGCCATGAGATAACACACACATATATCTTATATGCCAACACACTTACATAAACCCAACGGACACAACACAGGGCAAAACAAAAGATTCCATTGATACTGTGACACTAAGGGTTACGTCAAACCTTCAAAAGTGGTAGGGAAAATGTATTGGTTCTTTATAAATAAATAAATTAATTAATAAATCTTGGCTAAAACTATGCTAGTGGGAGAGTCACCTGACTGACAAAAGAACATTTGACCACTGACTAACTAAAACTAATCACATGCTCTACATACACAGCACGTGGCTCGGTGAAGACGTCAGCGTGGATGTGCATCATTAGGTCTCCGCCGGCTGTGTACTCCATTACAAAACACACATGCTCCGGTGTCTGGAAACACGCAAACAGATTCACCAGGAACGGGTGCTGAGAACTGTTGACGATCTCAAAGATCCGCTTCTCACACATCAGACTGAGAGAAAAAAAGAGAGAGAGAGAGAGAGAGAGAGAGAGAGAGAGAGAGAGAGAGAGAGAGAGAGAGAGAGAGAGAGAGAGAGAGAGAGAGAGAGCACAACAATAAAGACACACAAAAACAGTAAGTAGTCAGAGATTCACTAATAACATGAACTACTTAATCATTCTCTTCTTTCTGTCTGTTTTTCACATCTGGGACTTACACACACAATAGCTGCTAGAAAGCAGCTGTAAAGAAAACAGTGTGTCTTAGTCAACATTCCACTTATGAGGTAAGCAATAATTGCGCAACAGAATTTCCTCTCAACCTGAAAGTAGCTGACCGTGCGCAGTACAGATAACATTCAATATCGCAATCTTTTCTGAATATATCCTGGTATCAGAGGATATTTCATTATATTTCAGTTTGCATTAAAAGAGTAAATGAACCCATTCTCCTTGAGTACTCCAACTCTATTTGAAAGAATGTCCTACAAACCGAACAGAGCTTGTTTTGAGTGGACTTTCTTTCTTTCTTCACTATTCATTTGGTTTTGTGTTTTTTGTGTACTCACCTCTCCACTTCATCTCTGGCCACGATGTCTCCTTTCTTCAGTGCTTTGATAGCGTACATAGTGCCTGACTTCTTATACTCCGACAGCAACACCTGAGAAAGACAAAACTGTTTTAGTGGCAAAAGAAAGAATACCCACATCGAACACACACAGAAACAGGAGGACAGAAATAAAAGAGGAAAAAGTACAGGACAAAGCTTGCCTTGCCAAAATGGCCTCTGCCGAGCACAGCGATCAATCTGAAGTCCTGCAGCCCCAATGGTGTCTTTTTCTGTTTGCTACAGGTCCACACACACATACATAACATGTATGAGTTAATGATTATCCCTAAAATCTTTATTTAAAATACAAAAAATTAATCTATGTTGAATAACAAATTGTTATTTTTATGTAATAGTTATGCCCAAGACACTACTACAAACGGCATAGGAGCATTCCTAAACCTCAGCACCCACTACCCTGAATGATGTCTCCATGTTACAGCCTGAGCAGATGAGATGAGGCTGAGCAGAAACAAAGATTCTGTCTCTGTCACCTGTCCCTCGAGTTCACTCGCTCAGATTTCAACGTTTATCCTCCAAACGTGCCTCAGCGCATCGTCAGTGACCCAGAATTGCTGGTGGTTTAGCGTTCTTGCTAAACTAATGTTAGCCTCTAAATTAAATGAACTGAAAGTAACTTAAGCTAAACAGCTCCATCTACACAAAAACATAAGATTTCACCAGTCAGATTTGAGTCTTCATTCTCTAAAATTGCAAAGCTACTATGAGCTGGAATGAACCTGTGTGGAAGCGTGTAAAGCTGTTAAGGCCTTCTTGCTAAGTCAACACTAGCTTTCAGTGCTAACGAGAACCTGAAGTAAAGGTACCTTAAATTAACAGCTCCACACAAAAAACACAGGTTTAATACAGCAGAATGCTACATACTACTACAACAGGTACACCATATTTGACAGTGTATGAAATATTAATTTGACACCATCATGATTTTAAATGCCAATATCATTTATTTTAGCTAACAGCTTCCTGCACTAAACATTTCAAGCAAGTTAGCTAGCTAGCAAGAGCAGGCATGTTCTGTATCTGAAGGCAAGTTTCCTGCCTTTCTTTGCGTACATACTGAGAAAGTTATGTTCTCAATGGAAAAATATGAACTCTGCACTATGGTAACACATTTGGTATAAATATCAGTCTATATAATCATTATTTTAATGTTTTTTTAAGTGCATTAGGTTTTAACAAGCAGGGCAAAATACAGCAGTGAAGCATAAAAGTGAGTGTGAGGACCTGCTGAGTGAGTGTGTTCTGCTGTTTCGCTGAGGTGTAGAAGATTCTTGAGGAGGGCATGGCTCAGTGGCAGGCTGTCTCTCCTGAAAACAAGCAAGGAAGGAGAAAAGGAAAGAAATGAACAACGAGAGACGGTACAAGAGAGAAAGAATGGACACAAAACCAATTAGATGAGGTATGAAAACAACAATCACAAAATGACACTGACTACACATCAACTATGTTTACATGCACTCGGAATGCTCCACTGACTGTCACGCAGTGTTTTGGCGACATTTTGTTAGTTACCGACATCATGAGACATTTACACGGAAAAAAGGAAAAAGGAAAAAAGAGTAAGACGGAAACAGCATTTTTTTCAGTGAAAAAAACGATATTAACAATTTATGCCAAATGTACTCGTTCTCAAGTTTCTTTCTGTAGATCTGTACTGGAGCTACAAGGCTAATGCAGCTAACATGTACACCCATTACTAGTACATTGAACACCCACATAAATAAATCTATTAGAGACTACTGAAGATGTGATTTGTGGTATGTGTGTGATAATTTAGGCATGCAGTCCTCACTCATAGGTATCAAGCTCTAGTGACAGTAACCCTTATATTCACAGCTTCCAAACTGTAATTCACTAATACTCATATAGAACATATGAGAAAGGCAGACATACAAGGCTTTGTCTCCACAGAGACAAGGGTGAGAGAGGGTGTTCAGTGTTATGCTTGCTCTGCTGTTTAAGAATCATTTTTGTGCCCAGATGCTTTTGGGAAGCTCCAGCTCTGACAATCTGCTCACATAAATGAGTATGCTCCCACTCCCCCACCTGTGGTCTGTGTAAATTTGTTCTTTTGACAAATGTCACTTTAAGAGCTCTTATACGGATTATATAGATTATCTCTCACTGGAGTGTGTGCATCTGTCACGTCTCTCCTGAGGTCCACTCTCATGGGAGAGTCACAGTCCAGACTCAGTTTCTCCACAGAGATCTCCCTAAAACACACACACAAAACATACAAACCCATCCATCCATACACACACGCACAGGAAAATAAAAAAGAAATGAGGCCAACATGCTGGAGCAATATACTGCACTATGAGCGTTATTTTAAGCCCTCGTTGGATTAGATATGAGTGAGAGTTTTACCCAGACTGTATTGTGTGAGCTGAACTCGGACTGTAGGTTCCTGTGTTGTTAACTGTTGGAATAGCATTTCTTAAAAGCCGCACCCACGTGCCGATGTCCACGTTCATCTGACGAGCACGCAGGAACGCTTTACCTGTGGACATACACAACACCTGTAAGCTACTACTGATCCACTAAAATCAATATTCTTTGAAGAAACAAATTTGAGGCAACCAAGAACAAAAATCAAAACCACAACCAAATGCCTAAATAATAATAATAATAATAATAATATATTCACTATATATATTATATTCAATTCAGTATTTTTTATAATATTAACTATTTACAAGGCAAATGAGTAAAGGCTAACTACTAGGTAATGAGTGGAAAAAACCTTTCATTATTAAAAAGTCTTTCAATTCTCATGATCACTGACGTGATTTAGTGTTACAGTCCTATGCAAACGTTTCAACCCGCCTGATCAAATTACTTCTTTTGTTTATTTTGGATAAGAAAATAAACTAACACATCCTTTACAGGGAGTACAGTGTTTGGGTTTTTTGGATCAAATTTTTGAAAATAGAAAAAAATGACAAGGCATTTTGACTTATTCTCACTATTTTCAGAAAAAATGTTGATTTCAGTGCAATTTGCTGCATTCTTAGACTCTACATCAACACTCTGTCCACTAGAGGGCGCAGTAAATCATTTCTAGATTTTGAAACCTTGTCTGTCACCCAGCACAGTCTAAAATCCAGCCTTCTATCTCATCAACTTTTGTTCTATTTTATTCACCACTCATCTATTCATTTATGTATTTATCCATCTAGTCATGTGTCTATGGTCCTAAGTAGAGCTGGGTACTGAACTTCTTTACTGACAGAATTACTTCAATACTACAGAGTCATTTAAGGCCAATTTTCAATACCTAAGCAGTCAATATTATCAGCATGAGTAAGCCAATACGCATGCTTGTTCTAAAATCTCACCTGCTGATTGGCTGCAAGTAAGGTATTAATTTCAGCACTTATTTAATTCTGTGCAGAGCTCCTTTGATTAGTATCGCAAACTGATGCAATAACTGACTTTTAATTCATTATATTTTGTAGGTATTGAAAAAATATTGTTCTAGTGTTAGCATCAAGTGTCAAGGTATCAAGATATCCATACTGAAATATTTTGAATAATACTCACCCCTACGCTTAAGCTCACTTTCTCATCTTTCTCTCTTTAATCAGTCTACTACTGTCTTCTCAGTACCTTTCTTTTCACACTTTTCTTCCTTATCATGCATTTCTGTACATTATACTACTTAAACTAAAGGCCTGTTCAAGTTGTTTTACCAAGGAAATCCATTATTTTAATCCAGTACGAATCTGCTACATTTGTAGCTTTTACAAGTCTGCTAAATCATAACTATGGAGCTCCTATAGTAACAGCAGTCCTGTTCAAATCACTGTCAACATCATAGTAATGTATTAACAAATCCTGGTAATAGTTATCAATGTCTCTGCCTTTTGGTGACAGATGAGGATAACTGCTAAAATGGGGTTAGCACCGTTTCTTTATCTGCAAAACAAGAGTAGTGTAATTGAAAACATTTCGGTAACTGATTAATTAGAATGAGAATCACAAAGTTACCTCTCAACACTGATTTAGTTAAAAGAGCCCATTTTACTAAGCTAATGATATTCTAACTGGTATTCACTGGAAGTTGTTGTTCAGGTTTTTTGGGTCAGTTTAAATCTAATCTGATCACTGAAGTGTATGTCTGGGCTATGATGTTTTGATCCAGGCTCTCCGAGGTACTTTAGAGAAATTACAGATACTTTATCCGTAATAAGGGCCAGTCAAACCCATAACATATTACATTACTCTGCCTCCTCTGGTAAAACGAATCCAGCTTGAATAGGGCCGAAGTGCATACATTCAGAGAACGCAGTGGAAATTAGAGCTTGTGTCTGTCAGCACATCATTACATTTAGTTTGAAATGATCTGAGCAGATGTGGTGCAGGTGTATGTGAGTATGCAGTAGGTGTGAATCTGCAGGGCTGATGCTGCAGCATTACCCTGCTGTTTAGAGAAGACTTTCTTCTGTCTCTTAAGGCGTGGAACCCTCTCAATGACAGGGTTAAAGAATGTCACCTGAAGCACACAAACACACTGATAAACTGCCACAAAAACTTACACGAGAAATAAGAAGTATTTTTCAGCAGTGATTATATGAATGTGTATATATGTACATCAGAGATCTGCAATATCATGGCGAATACAATGATCCTGACTTTGTACTTTTTATTTGTGTATCTATATATATATCTATATATATCTATATATATATATATATATATATATATATATATATATATATATACACACACACACACACACACACACACACACACACACAGTCATCTATATAGTACATTATTATTACATAGTATATAATTACTTATATATTACTACATAGATATTTACGTCTATACAATACATATGGAGAAAATGTGACCCCACATCCTGACAAGGTATAAAAACAAATATGCATGTGTGTTTGTACATACCTCAGCCAACAGCAGGCCCTGTGGTTCTAACTCCAGCTGAACTCTGTGTTTCTGATTGTCCAGAAAGTCCTCCAGCTTCAGAAACTTCAGTGCACACAGAGAACGGTAATCTCTCCAGTACACTGCAATCTCCATCTCTCTGCTCTACACACACACACACACAAAGAGAACATTTTCAAAACAATACATATACAGGCAATAATAGAAAGATATTAACAGAGTCTGAATGAGAATGTCAAATGATCTACATAAGAGAGATAAAGAAATTGATAAGATCTTACACTTTTCTTATGAAAATATTACTCAGATAAGACTGGGGTGAAACGAGTCAGACACAAAAAATTAAGCCATCTGTGAGACAAGTGTAAAAACTCCAAAGACCAAAGTTTCTCAGGAGCTGAATTTCAGAAACAGGAGAAAACTGCTGAAGGCTCACCCTCTCCAGCTCTATAGTGAAGGTCTGATCCCAGGCCTGTTCTCCTACAGTCCTCCATGCCGTCTGACCCACCACAGAGTTATCCAGCTTCAGCACTGCACTCACCTCCGCTGTACCAGAAGTGTTAATGGGATCTGTTAATACTCAGCTAAATAAGCTAGTATTTCACAAAAGAGGGTTTTTTTCAGCCAGATAACTTAAGCCAAAATTAAAACCTGTCCAATAGGAAAAGAGACAATGCGTATGTTTGTGGGACTGCTACTGGAAAATTTTCACTGCTGGCTTAAATATCCAGCTTTACTGAGAAATTCTGCTTCATGACATTATAAAAAAAGCTTTTCTAATTGTCATATAAAGACTACTCGCTGCTAATGTGGCCGTAAGACTAAGATTTAGGTAAAAACAGTTGGTCTTAGATCAGTATAAAAGGCCAACCAAAGCCCATATAGATTTATAAACTGTTAACATATTCAGCATACTGGATTAGACAAACAACATAAGCACCAATATAAAACAATACTTTAAGCTGACTGACATTATCTTCCAGTTTGTTTTTAACATTCACATATTTACATTTCCCTAAACAGAACGTTTGTGTTGGGTGCATTTTCGTCTATTGCACTGAGGCAAATGTTTGTAAACAGAATAAAGCATAAAACGGACAACACATACCATGGGTTTCACAAACAACAAAAATATGACCTCTGATTTTGTCCTCTAACACCTTTAGAGAGCAGCAGTGAGTAATGCTCAGGCTGTTTTGTCATCAGTTGGGAGCTACTAAATAAGCTAGGAAGTAAGACAAGAGGTAATCAGCTAATTTAGCCACTTTTGTACTTTAATAACTGCATAAAATGAACAAAAAAGGAATACAATTTTTAACTGCAATTATTTATATGGCAATTAATCAGCAGCAGCTAAAATTTAATGATTGTGACAGGTATATAAATTGCATGCACAGACTTTTTAATTCACTTTAATCTTTATAGCTATTACTGTGGCTAAATACAGCTCTGGCCACTTCTGAGGAAGAGCAAAATGTCCTCACAAAGTCAGAAATTTCTTTCTCTGTGGGGTCATTTAATTCCCACAAAAAGAGTAAAAGACAGAGCAAACACACACACACACACACACGCACGCACGCACACGCACACACACACACGCACACATACACAAACAAAGTTTATGTGCAGTAACTCACAGGAGAGTTCGTCTGTTTTGAGCGAGTTCTTGCCGCTCACGCTGCCACTGCGGCTGTAAAGGCCCTTCCCGCTGCGCATAAACGAGCGACCCTCACCCGGACTGTAGCACGGCAATACCACCGGGCTGCCACGGCAACGACCCGGAACCACCTCCATCACGCCCACACAGCCCAGCAACGTCACCTGCAGCGTGCCTGAAACACACACATAACTAACAGGTTAAATGTCCGAAAGTAATTTGTTATAAATTATTGTAGTCTTATAATATTATTATATCACAGCTGTTGGAACCAATACAAAACCTTGCACATCCAAAATGGAAATTCTTCAGAAGGAAAAAATGTTCTTAAATTATAATGGAAGTTAATATAAAAAGATTTTTTCCAAGTAAGGAAATTTTCCAAGTAAGAACATTTTCCAAGAAGGCAAATAACATTTACAGTAGGCTTAGCAGGCATGGTTTGGTTACACTTGATTGAATGTATCATACTGTCGCTGTCCAAAGAAAATCATGTATTGACGATATGTTTTCTAAATTTTAAACACATTTTGATGTAAAGGTATACGCTGAAATCCTTAAACCTTGCTTGTAAACAAAAAACACCTCTTAACATAGCAAAGTTTTCATTCAGTTTCTTTTAGAACTGTAAAACTGCAGAATGTTGAACCAAAGTATCATTCTAACTAACATGTGTGCCTCATTAAAAGTCCTCATAATGTGAAATTACTATTGTAAGAAGGTCAATATTTCTGGGTGCAGTAATTTTATCATAGATTTATTGCCCTTAGTATTATTCTAAGATGTGGAAAATGGATAAAACAAAGAAAACCCTGTGCGGTTACCAGTGAGCGGTGATGGTTTGGAGAGGGTGCTGTACTGGTTGTGCAGGTAGGGGGCGCCGTGTCTGGAGCTGAAAGCGGGCGAGGAGGCCAGAACCAGCTCCTCTTTAATTAAACACGCTTTAGGGTGATCCTCAGGCAACTCAGCCAGACGCTGGTCTAAAGAATCCCTCAACAAATCCAACCTCTGAGAGGATTCACTCAGACGACACTGAGCCTGCAGAGAGAGAGAGCGTCAGAGCGTGAGAGACAGTGTAATTAGCATTATGCTTATTCAATCTCTAAAAAGTATGGACAAGAACAGGAAAAAAGAAAAAAAAACAAATAAAGGAAAAAAGGATATCAAGTGTAACGACTTTTAGGTTCAATGCTGTTTGATTTTTGTTAGACAACAACACAATCACAACCCTGACAAGTTATAAGCTACTTAAAAACATACAACAGTATATGCATAACTTAAGCCTCACACACATATTCACCCACTTTACTCCGATAGGATGTACCCACATGCCTAAACTAAATGAGAGGCCCTTAGAAGAGCATGGGGGATGCATTGGTGACATATTTTTAAATTTCCATCATACATTTTTCCCCTTCAACACTGTATTGAAATCAATACAGTCTTAATAGAATAAAAAAAGTAAAAAAAAAAATAAAGAGGAAGCGAATGAGGGGTAAAAACATAATTAGAAAATCCTGGAGTAATAAAAACCTGTATAGTCTGTGCTTAATGATAAACTTTATAGGACATCTTTGTAGAACTGAAAGAGCACCTGGCCAGATGGTACTAGCTAAAGGTGTGAGTGTTTGATTTCACCTCTGACATGGCCTTCTTGTCCTGCACTTTACTGGCCCCCAGCAGCCTCAGTACATTCTTGGCTCCCTCAGCCACAGCATGCTCCACTCGGTAATGATGCCTCAACTCCTCAATCCTCAGCTCCATTCCACACGGGTCAGGCTTACCTGAATACACACACACATACAGTTGTTCGAAACTACTCTATTTTCCACTTTTACAGATAGGCAAAAGTTTGACACCTGCTCATTCAATGCTTCGTCTGAAACCAAAAGAGCATTAGTGAGGTCAAGTACTGATGCTGGATGATTAGCTCTGGATCACAAACTTCACTCCAGCTCATTCCAGAGGTACTGGATAGAGCTCCATCACTCTACAGAACACAGTTCCCCACGCTCCACACGCTCCACAGCCCAATGCTGGGGAAGGGGTGGGGGTTTTATACCCCAATAGCTGATGCTGGGCATTGGTCATGATGACCTTCAAAGTAGCTGACTAAGAGAGTTACTAATTAGAAGGTTGGTTTGGTATGTCTTATAGTACGTCAGCTATTTCTTTAAGAAACTGTGACATGTATTAGAATTAAAGTCAGAAAATTAATACTAGGCTTTTAAAATACTCAAGTTGTAATATATACAGTATGTTCCTAACACAAGCTGTAAAAGAAACCAGAAGCTATTTTGCTTTGTCTCTTATTTTAATAGATGTCAAAATGACTTATACAGCCATAGCCAGAAATGTCTCAATGCTGTGTGTGTAAACAGAAAGCCCAGCAACTGTTTAATACTAGCCTTAAATATCAGTGGGCGTAGAGGAATCAGAGGATTCTTGTAATGTTCTGCTATGTAAACACAGAAAGCACAGCAGGTACTGAGAAGAAAGTGTTTGGAATACTTTCACCTAGAACTTCTACTAAGAAACAGTCTGCAGACAATATTTACTGTAAACACCTACAGTCTAATCACAGTGCAGAGAGAGAGAGAGAGAAGAGAGAGAAGGACAGAGAGAGAGAGAGAAGAGAGAAGAAACAAGCAGAATGAGGAAAGGGGAGAGAAAAAACAGAAAAAGGTAAAGGGAAGAGAAAAAATGGGATATAGAGCAAGAGAGAGAGAGAGAAAAAGGAGATAAAGAGAGGGAGAGAAAAGAAAGAAGAGAAACAGAGAAGGAACATGGAAACAAGGAGAGACAAAGAGTAAGTAGGAAAGTGGGGAAAGAGTAGGAGAGAGGAAAGAGCGAGGAAGAAACTGAGAGACAGAGAGAGAGACAGAGACAGAGAGAGAGAGAGAGAGAGAGAGAGAGAGAGAGAGAGACAACAAGAGAGAGAAAAACAGAGAGAATGTAAATGTGAGATGTAAAAAGAAAGGATGAGAGCGAATGGAAAAAAGGATGAAAAGGTGAGGCTGGATGAGAAGAGATGCTTTCATGTCCTAATAAGGCATCAGACAGGGAGTACCTCGAGGGAAGTGTGTTTGTGTCTCGACTGAGAGCGCGAGTGTGTATGTGTGTTTGTGTGTGCGCGTGTGCGCGTGTGCTGATGTAATAATATTTGTGTATGTGTTTGACTGCAGGCGGCGGCGTCTCTGTTCTGTGTCAGAGCTGTAATGGAGTAAAGTGCATTTAACAGCATTACAGACACAAACAGGCTTTTAATACTGAACCACCGTCTCCAGACTGCACACATTCAACAGCTTCTGCCTAATGACCTGCACTGAGTCTGTGAGTGGTGTGGGTGAACTATCCTGTATACAGTGGACAGTGATGAAAAACAATTACACATAACCCTGACAAATCACAGTCATCGATATTGATAACCAGAATTGATAATTAACTGTAATCATTGATAGAAAAATCAACAACTGATTTTTACACTTTTTTGCATGAATTACAAAGAGCACAGCTCTAAAGATGCTAGCTGTTAATGCTAGCTCCCCCGAATTGTTTAAGCTACAATATACATCACTGCAATGACAAAGTTTTCAAATGACTAATTAGAATAGTGATACAGCAAATCTTCTGTGTTTCCCCCTTGCTGTGCCTTGCCTGAATATTTGTTGCATACCTCAAGACTGTTGTCTTGCGGTAAAACAGTGAAAAACGTCCACACTGCTGACACTGTCACTCTGCAGCATCTGAGGGTGATTATGCATGTGTCAAGTCAAGTCTAGTTTATTTATATAGCGATTTTTAAAACACTAAGCACCTTTACAGAAAAATCCAGGTCCGAGCCCCCATGAGCAAACCAAAGAGAGGAAGAAACCTCGAGAGGAACCAAGACTCAAAAGGGAAACCCATCCCTCTCTGTTCGACATCGGAAAGCAAGTTATCGGTTATGATTCTTCGGATATTCTGGAATTCATATAGATAATAATATTCAAGTTGTAATATTAATCAACCGATATATTGGCCACTGATGTATAGAATACAATAGAAGAATAGAAAAAATGTATTGTCCATTTCTGAAAATGTGTCTTTGGCTTAACCAGGTTGCACAAAATATAATAAACAGATAAATAAAAAAATGACATACAAACACAAAACACGACATATAAGAGCACACCTTAGAACACAAGCCAGCTTCGAATACCCCAGCCATCATTTGGAACGCTGGCTTCTATGCCAACTTAAGCAGACCATTCAGTTACTACATTAAAGAACGCAATTCTGCCTACTGTTGTTATTCACTTTATATGGTAAACATATCATTTTGTCCACTACTTATTTTCTAAAGAGGTGTTGGACGTTTGCAAGTATCTTAACAATGTTCTACTCTTCTAAGTTTGGGAATCATTGTGTGGGTGATAAGGTCACATAACTTCTGCCCAGAAACGTGATGCCATTTAAACAAACACTGTTTTTTTATTTAATGAATATTAAAATTTTTCATTTACTCTAACAATCCTAACGAGTGTATGACTTTGCATCTAGTCCCAAGTCATGTTAGGTCAACACGCCCAGTCATTACAAGTGTTCGTGCACACACACACGTACACTGACACACACACATACAATCCACAGCGATCTGCTTACCATTCTGATCAATAAAGCGACTGTACTATCAATCCAATAATGCAGTGTGGTTCAAAACACATACACACACACTCCCCTCTGTACATACAGAGATTTAGCTACTCATCGATCTGTTTACTATCATCATCAATCAAAGCACTGCATCTTCATAGCAATAACACAATGTGATACAAGGAGGAGCCTCACAAAGAATAAAAATAGGCAACAGGCAAACTCACCCTGTATGTCCTCGTTGTGTTCGAAGGCCTGCACTGCCTTACGGATCTGCATGCGGATGATGTCTATCTTGGTTTTGCTGTCCTGAAGCATCTGCTGGGCCGTCTGTAGCATCTTCTTATCCTGAGACACACAAACACACAATCAAAAGTTAAGCATATGAAAGGTAGAATAACACATCACCAGCTGTTCAACGGTTTGGGGCATCCTTGTGGTATTTTTTATTTTACAATGCGCCAAATGTTTTCATTGGGTAAGAGGTCTGGACTGTAGGCAGGCCAGTTTAGCACCCAGACTCTTTTACCACAGAGCTGTACTGTTGTAACATTCACAGAATGTGGTTTGTCGTTGTCTTGCTGAAATAATCAAGGCCTGTCCTGAAAAAGACATCATCTGGATGGCAGCGCACGTTGCTCCTAAAACTTTATATATCATTTGGCATTAATGTTGCCTTCACAGACGTGTCATCCATGCCATGTACGCTATACCAACATGGATGCTGGCTTTTGAACTGTGTGCTGATAACAAGGCAGACGGTCCTTCTCCTCTTTAGCTCAGAGGATGCAGCGTCCATGATTTCCAAAAGGAATTTCAAATTTTGATTGGTCGGACCACAGATTTTTCCATTTCGCCTCAGGCCATTTTAAATGAGCTCAGTCCCAGAGAAGGCGGCAGCATTTTTGGATCCTGTTTGTATACGGTTACTTCTTTGCATGGCAGGGTTTTAACATCCACTGTGTGTGTTTTTAATGCAGTGTCACCTGAGGGCTCGAAGATCACAGCCATCCAATATTGGTTTTCGGCCTTGTCCTTGCACACAGAGATTTCTCTGATTCTCTGACTCTTTTAATGATATTATGTATGGGTATATTTTTTTCAAAACACAATAAAATTTCTCAGTTTCAACATTTGATATGTTGTCTTTGTACTATTTTAAATTAAATCTAGGGTTCAAATGATTTGCACATCATTGCATTCTATTTTTATTTACCTTTTGCACAGCATCCCAACTTTTTTGAAAACGAGGTTGTATTACAAATTATTCAAAGCGGATACATTTTGCCATGTGAACATTTTTTCTCCGGAAAATAGTTTAAAGGGAGCAGAAATATGACTATATGCAAACTAACACTGGAGGACCCTGAATTGATATAAGGCTGGCAACCTCACCAAAATACCCTGCACAAACCATTACGCTGCAATATGCCATTATAGAATTATTGTACATCATTCACGGTTTTAAACAACCAGCACTGGGTGCATCCCGATACATCATTTGCAACTTGTTTTGTAATTCTCAAATGGAGATGGAATTATCTTATAGATATTTTGGGTGATACAACAACAGTAATCTTTTATTCATCCAAAGAAGAGGGGTAGGATGAGTTTATCCAAGTGAGATGATTTTTGTGAGGGGGAGGGAAAAAATACATGTAATTTGACCAGGGGCGCCTAAACTTTTGTATACAACGATATCATGTTGACATGTAAAATGTCTTCAAATATCATATACTACATTTCTTCCATATCGCTCACCTTTAATTTGAACTACGTTTTCAGGTTGCAGCGAAAATCTTGCCATGTTTGTGTTTGAACAGCGAGAAATGGACTGTGTTTGGGTTACCTTTGTAGAGCCATTGGCGTAGATTGGGATCATGTTTTCGGCTCCTTGCTTGACTTTGAGCTCAATGTTGAGCTGTCTCTCCAGGGCTGCGATGCGTTCCTGATGAGCAGATGCTCGGCTCTCTGCCCCTGGAGACTGGGGCACATCATCTGCAGGGCAAATGTCACAGTTAGGTCCTGTTACCTTGAAATAGTAACTTGTAGGAAAATCAAATGCACACAGATTACCCCCTACCCCACATATAGTCAGTCAGCCAAGACATGTTTTGTGCCTAAAGCTTGCTTCTTTAGTTTTGCGCTGGAGCTACGAGGCTAACGCAGCTAACACGTACTGGAAGCTTGGCACTGTGCAAACTGCATGCCTAAATCATCAGACACTTGTCTTCTACAGAGTTATGAAGTAATCTATGCTACTACTGCTACTAATGCTCCCACAATGTACTTCTGTCAATTTTTATAGACGTTAGTATGTCATACAGTGTCAGAAAACACATAAGCAAGTGTGTGACGATTTAGGCATCCAGTTTATATTTAGTGAAATGTGAAATTTGTTTTTTTTTGCCATGCAAAAGCTGCTCTTTTTGCTTATATGAAGTCAGCTTCTTAGGATTTAGGATTTGATTGAGTGTGACTGTAAATCAGCTGTTGGTAAATGTCTATTCAGTTATGATTTACAGATTTGTTCACTGCATAATTCTTACTACAGTTTACGGACATTGAAACACAGTGTAGAGTAAAACTTCTGTCATCCATTATTGATATCTCACCCCACAAAACATGTGTTTTTCTCCCATTTAAATATTCATGTGAACCAGAAAAACATCCAGCTGTGAACAAATCAACATTGATATACACTAAAACTGCAGGGAACGCATGATCCTCCCAAACGGATGTTTAAGCCTCAATTCAAGGCTGCTAGACTTAGCTTGTTTCACCGCAGAAAACAGCCACAGGCTTTTGTAATAAATGACTCAGAACCAACTGTCTCATCTAGCCATTTTGACATAGCTAAACATAGCCAGTCATGATAATGCAAATTCCTACAATTCTGTGATGTAATCATCCAGAAAAAATGTTCCAGAACAAACTCAATTTCAAGCGATGCCCCAAGCCAACATAAAACAGTTTACCCACACACCTCCAAATTACTGAATTTAGGTGCTTCAGCCGCACTCACTGTTAACAGATGTGTAAATTCAAGCACATAGCCATTAAATCTCCATAGACAAACAAAGGCAGTAGAATGGGTCATACTGAAGAGCTCAGTCACTGTAAGTGTGGCACTGTCATAGGATGCCACCACTGCCAGGTCATGAAATTTCTGCCCTGTGAGATCTGCCCCAGGCAAGCATCCAGGAGCAACAACAGCTTAGTCACGAAGCAATACACCATGCAAACTCACAGAGCGAAGACACCAAGTGCTGAAGCACGTAGCGTGTAAAAATCACTTGCAACACAAAGCTCCCAACTGCCTCTAGAAGCAACATCAGCAGAAGAACTGTGCATCGGGAGCTTCATTAAATGGGTTTCCATTGCCGAGTCGCTGCACACATATCGGAAATCACCGTCAGCTGAAGCACGACGCCACTGGACCCTGCAGCAGTCTGCAGCATTCACTATCTGGCAGGCTGAGGGACAAACCTGGGTTTGGCAGATGGCAGGAGAACCTTATCTACCTGAATGCATAATGCCAGCAGTAAAGTTTGGTGGAGGAGGGATGATGGTCTAGGGCTGTTTTTCAGAGTTTTGGGCCCCTAGTTCCAACAAAGAGTAAAGGTAACATTACAGCACACAAATATATTTTACACAATTATTTGCTTCCGACTTGTGGCAACAATCTGGGGAACGCCCTTTCCTGTTCCAGGATCACTGTGACTTGTACACAACGTGAGGTCCATTAAGACACAAATTGACAAGTTTGGTGTGGATGTACTCCAACCCTGAACTCAACCCCATTGAACACCTTTGGGATGAATCACAATGTTGATTCTGAGTCAGGCCTTCTATTCCAATATCAGTGCTTGACCTTACAAATGCTCTTTTGACTGAATGGGTACAAATTCCCACAGACACACTCCAAAGTCTTGTAGAAAGCCTTCCCAGAAGAGAGGCTGCTATAACATCTGGAGGCCATATTAATGTCCATGGTTTTGGAATGGGAATCAAATAAGTTCATATAGGTGTGATGGTCAGACGTCCACATAGTTTTGGCACAAGCAATACACCTATCTGGCCATAATTAACAAATTAACACTGAAACAGGCAGGCTAATTACCCAATTAAATTAATTAATAAACCCAATTCTTTAGGTTTGCCATTCCAAGGCTGTTACAACACAAAAGTAACGTTGAGTAGTTTTAGGCATTTAAGTAGCCAGCTAAGTATTTTTGTTACACTGTTTCGTATTAGGCTTGTCTTGTCAGCTAGCCTGACAATACCCACTGCCGACAACACAACTGCCCCGCATCCCTGTCACCAAGAGACTCTGTCATTAGTCAGCTCACCACGCGTGTCGTCAGTTCCCTTGACGACAATATGGGCATCGAGTTCCTGCAGCTGGGCATGGAGCGAGTCGAGGCGGCGGTTGGAGCTGCGCAACTGGTTGTCCACCTGCTGAGCATTGCGCTTGTCGGTGGTGGCCCGGCGCAGATTCTCCGCGCCCTCCTTTATTTTTAACTCCTTACGGATCTCGCGGCGGATTCGCTCACGCTGCTCGTCCAGCCGCTGCTGCACGCTTGAGTCTGAAAAGTCTGAGCTGTGGTCCAGGCCGAGCTGCTCCAGGACAGACAACCCGCCAGGGTCACTCTGCGGAAAGAGAGAGAAAAGTTTTATAAAGCCCTTTTTTCATTTTTCAAATATTATTTACTGCAAATGCTGATATACAGTTACTTTATATTTGATTAACTTAAAAAAATAGTAACTGGCTTATGTGCAAAAGTTCAGACACTCTACTAAGTCAGTATTTAACCCCTCTTCTGGCAGATTTCACAGCTTACAAACATTTTCTATAGTCAGCTAGCAGCTGTTTTACCCACTCTTCCCTGCAGACCGATTCTAGTTTTTCAACATTCTTGGGCCGTCTTGCTCGCACAATGCGTTTAAGATCTATTCACAGACTTTCTATGATATTCAAGTCAGGGGACTCTGAGGGCTACGCCAAAAGCTTCGGCTTGCATTTTTTGAAGTAGTTCATGGTGGAGGTATGTTTTGGATCATTGTCCTGCTGTAGCCGGTCGCTTTCATTTTCAAGTTTCTTGACTGACCGTGTCACACTTTCTTTCAGAATTTGCTGAAATTTAGTCAATTTTTCCATCTACCCATGCAACGTTTCCTGTGGCACAGCCTGCCACTCAACCCCAAAGCATAACAGATCCACCACCATACTTAACAGTAGGCAGAGTGTTCTATACATCAAATGCTGCTCTTTTTTCTCTACACATACCTTTCGTGATAGAGTTCTATTTTTATTTTATCAGTCCACAGCACTATCCAAAATACCTTGGCTTATCTAGATGTTGCTTTGCATACTTCAGACGCTGACTTTCGTGATGAGATCACAGGTGAGATTTCCTTCTGATGACTCTTCCCTGCAGATCGCATTTGTGCAACCAACACTGCACAGTAAAACAGGGCACCTCCACTCCTGTGTCAGCTAAATCTTCCTAAAGGTCTGTTGCTGTCACATGGTTATTGTTAGTGTTAGCGCGAGGTTTGGAGAGTTACAGAAATTATTATCTTTTTAAGATAATCAAATATGTGTACTGTGTGTGGGTTTTCACTTAAACTTTTCACTTGGAAAAAAATGATAAATGTCATTTGGTCTAGGAAAATTAAAACAGTTATACAGCGTACTATTCACATGTGCTCAGAGGTTGAATTAAAAAAAAAATCGAGAAGAATGGTGGGTTCAAATGACTACTCTGGGGGAGGGGGCTGGCTCTGGATACATTCAAGGCAAATTGTTTTGAAAATCTCAAACACAGATGGAATTATTAACTAAACATCTTAGGTGATAATAATAGTCTTCCAAAGAACATGGAAAGGGGGATGGCAGTCAGGCCACTAATGATAAATAGCACCAATTAAATAATCGTGATTAACAATTTATGCTTTTTTCATCTACTGTAAGTTATTAAAGTTGTACGTTATTAAAGTACTAACCTAAAGTGGTCAAATTGGCTGATTAGTTATCTTGTTTTCTGGCTCACTGTTACTATAAACATGCGGTAGCACAACTCAGAAGATAGAAATTGTATTTTTTGACCCAATACGCGTCTCAATATCCATCTATTTTCTTCTGTTTACATGCATTTGCCTCCTAACTGATAAAAACCCACACTCAATTCAGATTCTGTTCATTACAACTTATTGAAACTTGTTGAAACATATGATTATGGACTAGGGCTGGGCAATATGACGACATTTATCGCTATCATGAAAAAAATTACGTCACAATAGAACACACTATGCTTTTCTGAGTATATCAGGGATATCGTCAGTACTTAAAGAACACTCAACTGCATGTATTATTGCAAAGAGAGCATAGTTAGTCTGGCTTAAGTGGATTTAGTGTAACTGTGAATTAATGAGCAAAAATCATTGTACTCATATTTTCAAATGTTGTTCTACTGCTTCATTGTTGTCTGTTTCAACTGACTAGATGAACAAAAAATTGTAACATTGTGTATATCGGCCACTCCTATTATGTACATACAAGCCCTACGTGTGCTGCATGCCAGATTCTACGATAAAGATTCTCTGATGACAGGCCTAAAATGCTACTGTGATTCAGCTTATGTCATCCTGCAGCGCCACCTTATTCTAATAATGTAACAATGCTAATTGTTTTGTACACTGTGTCCTGGCTAGCCATGCAATTTCAAGGCAGGGTACTCTTGATAAACTGGAGGCAGGAGGCACATTGTGCAATTTGTGTCTACAGCAGCATTACTGTGGCAAATATTACAGCCTATATATCTGCCTTGTGCTATGTGTTATTCTCTGTTATGCCAATAAAGCAGCCTGAAGTGAACTGTAGTGAACAGGACTGAGAAAGGCTTAAGACACATTGATCAAAAGAAATAAAGTCTTTTTGTTCAATAGTTGAGGTCCACATCATTCACTTCATAATAGTTTACTATTCATGCGATTAAATGTACAGTTCAAATATTGCTCAGAATGACCAAACTGCTTGAAATCCTTGAAGTAGAACTGACTTTTAACAAAAACTTTAAAATAAATAAATAAATAAATAAATACTCTGCTTAGCTGTGAAAGCATTGCAGAAATTCTATACAAATACAGACCTGTTTCAACCATTTAGAGTCACTCGATGCTGTATGTGAGACAGCTTCAAAAGCTTGTGACGAAACAGCTGAAGGAAGCCACGCAAATGCAAACTCTCTGAATTTAAAAAGCAAACGGCCCTGACAGAAGGCTAAACTGTAAACACAGAAGTGGCTGGGTCTGAGGTTGTGCCTTGAGACCAAAATAATCGTCAGGAATAAAACGACGAAGTACAAAAAGGGAAACAAAGCAACACTAAATGCTGGGCAGACAGATCAAAGATCTTTCAAAGCAAATACACAATCAGCTGCAAAGCCTCTAAAAAGCACTTAACACATCAGCTCAAAACTAAGCTATTGTTTTCCAGGAACTGCAGAAGCTCGAATTCCATCGAAACAAATCTGATTTCTGATAAGCCAGGAAGCTACGGTTTGCTGCTGTTGTGACCAGTGTCATTCCAAAGCTACTCAATCCATCAACTAGCCTTGCAGAATACAAATAGAAAATGAAGTAAAAATACTTAACATACCTTAAGAATGACACCACGTTTGAAGTGAAAACAAAAAGTGAAAGAAGAATGTAACGCTATTGGTTATTAAGGAAAAATGTTTGCCATTAAGGACATTCAGGATTGTGAAACTACAACATAAATATAAATGTCAACAGCTTAATATGTTTACATCGCAACCCAGGTCAATATTGCAAAGACTAGTTTTAAAATGCAGCTCAGCAATACAACCAAGTAAACACGCATTCACATCATAACGACACTGCGGTAAACAACTCAAACATGTCTGATGCAACTCACTCTTGCGGTTTATCACACAGCTAAAATTCATGGAAAACAACAAAAACGCTGTGAGCAACGGCACTCCACCTGCGTGTCCAGGTAATCCCAGCGATCCCAGTGGTCCCATTCCCCCGACCAGCACATGCTGTTCACTCCAGCCCTACTTTCTAACCACTAAACCAGAACTGAGACAGAGATAGAGACAGACAGAGAGAGAGAGAGAGAGAGAGAGATAGAAAGGAAGGGAAAGCCATGGTTGGGGTCGCCCTCCCTGGGCAGGATATCCGGCTGAGCCTCAGCACGGTCACTTCCTGTTTCCTGTCAAGTTCGGGTTGACTGGCCGGCACCAGTGGTTTGGTGTTTTGGTGGTGATTCAGTTCTAAACCGACAAAAACGACGCACTGAATTTGAAACGACGGGTGTGATTGAAACGTACCCATCATTTTCACATGAATAAAATGTATTACATCGACACTATTCTGTCCTTTTGGCAATAAACGTTTTGACGTAATATATAAGTGTGGAATTAATGTACATATTTTATTTAAGTAAATTAAGTGCATTAGTAAAGATTTAACTGATGCCCATCAGCTCAGTGAAGAATGTGATCTACAGTAATACCTATAAGTTTATAGTACATGGGTTTACACGAGCACATGCTGTGCCTTTATAATCACTCTGGTTCAGATTTTTACCGTCTTCATTCTCTTCCTTTCATAAGCACTGATCAAACAGCAGAACTGCTGAAGAGAGAGAAAAAGAGTGGGAGTAAAAGATGGAGGGACAGGGTGAATTCTCATAATGACAAATGAGAAACTGACAGACAGCAAAAGAGGGAGAGAGAGAGAGAGAGAGAAACAAAAGAGACAGACCAGACAGAGAGAGAGATTGAGACAATTTTGTTTCTATTTCTATTTATTTGCTGAGTTTAATGTGTATGTGTATATATATATATATATATAATAGATATATATATATATATATATATATATATAATATAACACACACACACACACACACACACACACATATACATACACACACACACACACACATATATATATATACATATCATATATATATATATATATATATATATATATATATATATATATATATATATCAGCAAATAAACAATAATTGTGCATTAACTGCAGAAGTGTGTTTTGAGAGGAAGAGAGACACGGACATCATTAGCTCATATTACAGGATGTGAACACAGGTCTAGAAAAACTCTTCCTGCAATTGCATCCAATTCAGATTCCTTGAATGCAGCTTCACTTAAACAAACACAGGCTAACACTAACAACCAACCTACATCCTCCTATTAGGGCCACAAAAGACATGAATTCGAGAGAGGTACAGAGGAGAAAACTGCCTAAAAGGCTCTCAGTGTGACTAATAAGCATAACACAGTAAACAACCAGCCTGCAGAATTATTCAAAACACTGTTACGCTATCAGAACAGGAAGTAACTGGACTGCTGTGACAGCGAACGGTTTTTTCCCCCCACACTTGCTGTGCATCTCATTACTATGGTACTTCTTGCTATTTTAACCATTAAACCACTGGTTTTATTATAGCTGTCTATCATTTACTGGTATTATTGTGGTGTTACTCTATTTAACCACATAATTACATAATTAATTTCCCTAGCTATATAATGAATTACATTTACATTTGACTTGCATTCTGTATCAACAGCTTGAATCTGCACTTTATGGTATTT